CCCACTGCCAGTTTGAAGAAAGGGTGACGTGGGGGCTGGACCAGAGGAGAGGGGCAGAGGACACCAAGGAGGGGCGCCAGCCAAACAAAGGCAGCTGCCCTCAAACAGCCCCACGTGGGAGGTGGAAGGAAGGGGGTGGGGGGTCAGCAGGGTCCAGCGGCAGTGCCAACGCCAGGCCCCCAGCCCTCGATCCTGGGGGGTCAGGGGGCGCACCACGGCCGGCCCCAGTGCCAGCCGCACAGACCCGGCCCTCCCCCGTGGCCCGTCCCTGGAGAGGCTCCTCTCCTCCCTCTCCCCTCCCCCACCCCTCGGAGGGGGGAGGGGCCGATGACATCACGGCCACGGCGGGAGGGGCGGTGCCCGGCGCACATCACTTCCTCGGCGCCTCCGCCGGCGGGGCAGGCGGACGGACAGTGGACCGCGGACCGCGGACCGCGGACGGGGCACAGACCCTGGGCAGCGCGAGCGAGGGGCGCGCGGCCCCGGCCCTCGGCGACCCCGGCCCATGGCCGGCCCGACCCCGGCCGCAGTGGACGAGCTGCCCGGCGCGGCCCGGCGCCTCTACTCCAGGTGGGCTGGGCGGCCGGCGGCGGGGACCCTGCGTCCGGGCGGCGGGCGGCGGGCGGCCCGAAACAAAGGCGGCGGCGGCGGGAGCGCAACGTGGCGCGGACGCGCCCTCCCTGCGGGCGGCGCGATGGGGGCGCAGAGGTGGGAGTGCGGGGGTGGCAGGGGAGGGCGCGGGAGTGGGGCGCTGGGGGTGTGGGAGTGGGGGCGCGGATGGGCGCTGGGGGGATGCTGTGAGAGCTGGGGACTAGCCCAAGCGGACAGGGTGGGCAGGGTGGGTGGCCGGGTGGGCTGCTGCCTGCTGACCCCCACCCCGGGACAGAAACCCGGACAGAGCTGGCGGCTTCCCCTGGCAGCTGGGCCGCTTGGCACAGCCCGTGTGTGCAGGGGGGGCTGCCAGGGAACCCCCTCCCCAGCCTGGCATCACCTCCCCGCCGCCACGGCCCAGGTACTCGGGGGCAGCATGGCCCGAGAGACCAGGCTGTCTCGTGGGTGCCGCTCTGCCCCACACCAGCCCATCCTGTGCCTGGGTCCAGCGGCCTGCACGGGGCTTGGGGCTGCAGAACCAGCCTCCAGGTGGGTGTGTGCCTGCCTCAAAAGACACCTGCCTTGGGGCAGATTCATGGGTGATGGCAGCAGCCCGGGCTCTGCGTCCCACGCGCCAGGGAGGACGGTGCCCTGCCCAGGGCTGCATGCCTCCTTGGTGACTCCAGGCCTTTCAAGGGTGTTCCACAGGGCGATGCCCGGGGCCCAGCCCAGGCCGTGCAGGACCCTCTGAGGGGGCCGGCAGCCTGTGCGGGTGTCCAACAGAGTGGGGCGGGCATGCGTGCTGGGCAGGGGCAGTTGTTGGGGGCCCCTCCCAGAGGCAGGCCTGGCTGCCTGCAGCGAGCCCGACAGCACCCACCACCCTGACTCGAAGGACGCTATCACCCAGCTCCCCTGGCCACCCCTAACACCGTGGCCTCCAGCTGCTGAGCCTGCAGGGTCCCAGCCGGGCAGTCCTTCCGCAGCAGACCTCTGCCTGTGCCCCCCGTGTGCCGAATGAGGGCGTGGTGGTGGGTGCAAGGCCTCGCTGCCCCTCCCTCCCTTGGTCTGGTCTGTGCTGCTGGCCAGAGACACTGCCCCCATTGTGTGTGCTGAGCCCTGGGCCTGGCTTCTGGGCCCCGTGCAGGGGGAAGGCGTGTGGGGGGTGCGTTCGCTGGCAGCTGACGCTGGAGGCCTGCCGGAGGGATCCCCTCCACGGCTGCCACGGGGTGCACAGCTGTGCCGGCGGGTTTGTGCCGGGGTCATCTGTGCAACGGAGAGGGGGCCTTTGTCCCAGAGAACAGCAGGAGTTAACCTGGCTGCCACTGGCTGTGACAGTGTGTGTGAGAGAGACAGACGGACGGACAGAGAGGACTGGGAGACCTCTCACGGTTGAGCCTGGGGTCCACATCATCCTGGTCACTCCACAGCTTGACGTGGGAGCCTGGGTTGTAGGCCGGTGGCGGAGCCTAGTGGGGACACACCAGACAGGACCCTGGCTTAGGGGGCAGCTCAGAGGGAACACTGGGGCCGGCCTTGAGCCTGGCAGCCGAGGCCCATGCTGAGCTGGGTTGGGTGAGCCTGGCACAGATTTGGGATGTGAGGCCACAAGCTTTCTGCAGGGCCGATGAGGCCTGTGGGGTTTGGGCCCGACTGCGTGGCCATGGCCAGGTGTGGGCAGGGCCGCTCCTGGTCGGAGCTGGCTTTGGAGTCTGGCAGGAAGGGGTGGGGGCACCCGTTTTGGATGGGGCTGTGGGGTAGGAGAGGGGAGGCCTGCCCCCTTGAAGCCTGCATGTTGGGGACGGTGGGGGAGCCCACCATGATCTGGAGGCTGGCCTCTGGGACTCGGTAACCACATTACCCCGTGAGCCGGCAGGCGGTCAACGGGAGCTTGGCAGACGGCGCCCAGCCTCCTGGCCGCTGCGGTCTGACTGCTGGGAAAGCCGGCCCTGGCCAGCCCCTCCGGGGAGAGTGGTGTGGGGCAGGCGTGATGTTTTCGTGGACACGCACAGGTGCAGCAGCGGGCTGGGGCAGGCTGGGCCCGAGGCGCCCAGGGCCCGGGCAGGTCTCTCCTGAGGTGTGGAGGACGGGATGGACATTCAAGCATCTTTGCAGCCAGATGGCAAATCCTAAATGGGAAGGCTGTTCCCCCACCCCAGGGTGTGGGTGGTGAGTTTGGCAGGGGGAGCTAAGACCACAGCCTGGGGGCCAGGGAGCCCCGTCCAGCCTGGCCCCAGACTCCTGTCCTGAGAGCGGGACTCTTGGCAGCCCTGGGCGCGCACAGGCCTCTGGGAAGCCCAGGCAGCCCTGTGGGCTGGGTGAGCGGCAGTGGGCAGGAGGGCCGCTTGGCACACCACTTTGCCCAGTGCACACGGGCACCTACCCGCAGGCCTGCAGAGGTGGTGTTGGTATTCTTTGTTGTTAATCCTCACCTGAGGATACTTTTTCCGATGATTTTTAGAGAGAGTGAAAGGGAGGGAGAGGGGGCAGAGAGAGAAACATGATTGGTTGACTCCCTCACGCACCCCCGCTGGGGCCCGGGTTGAACCTGCAATCCGGGTACATGCCTTTGACCTGGAATTGAACTTGAGACCCTTTGGTGTACAGGTGACACTCTGACCGCCGTGCACACCAGCCAGGGCTGAGCTGGTGCTGGGCAGAGGTGCAGGGAGAGGGCCTGCCATGCGGGGCATGTCCAGAGGACAGGCGAGAGCGGCCTCAGTGCAGCTGGCAGGTGGCAGCCCCGGGAGGCGGAATGGGGGGCTGGGGTGGATGTGAACGTGCAGTTTGGGGGTTCAGCTTGTCACCAAGAGCTGGGCAGGGAGGAGCTGGTCTAGGTCCTGCCCACCTCAGCTGAGCTGTCCTGGGGGTGGATAGTGGCAGCTGGACAGAGACCTCAGGCTGGGTGGAGAGTGCCCAGCCTGGACACCCTTGGGAGCAGGGCCTGGTGTGGTGGGTAGCCTGGGACCCGGTCCCCCATTCTTCTTTTTTTGTTTTTTATCCTCACCCAAGGACATTTTTTGTTCAGATAGAGTGGGAGGGAGAGAGAGAGAAAAACATCGACGTGAAAGGGACACACGCCGAGTGGCTGCCACCTGCACAACCCAACCAGGGCCGGGGACAAACTGCATCTGAGGTACGTGCCCTTAGCGGGGACCGAACCCGGGTCTCTCCGGACCGCAGGCCGACGCTCTAACCGCTGAGCCAAACTGGCCAGGGTTGGTCCCTTATTCTGGTATTTACCACTCAGCCCCTTCCAGGACTCTGCCCTCCCAGACCCCACCCCCAATGTGCAGGGCTTGCAGGACCCTCCGCACAACCCCACTCATCCTTGAGCTCCTATCTCTGCTCAGACTCAGGTGGTCTCGGGCGGCGGAACCCACCTGGGCTCTGGTTCCCTCGCCCCGGAGCCGCTCCCCCCTCCCCGTTCTTCGGTTCCCAGCTGCGCAGCCTTGGGGACCCCTCCCACCCCAGTGCCCACCACAGAAGACAAGTGGCCTGGCTGGAGGGCTGCCCGTGAGTGCGCAGAGAGAACTTCTCGAAAGGCCCGTGGGGTCCCGGGGGCTCCTGGGGTGGGAGGGAGGCCCCAGAGAGACACCTTGACTTCTCACCACCCGGCTGCTCTGATGGGCCTGGATGGGGGACCCGCTGGCTCGGAGCCTCAGTGGCTGGACGTTGGCGCCCATCTGCTACTCCAGGGGGCTCCTCCCTTTGCCCAGGGAAGGTCACACCTGCCACCCTCCTCGTGGCCACAGGTGGCTGGAGGAGCTGGGAACCGGGCAGAGCGGGCAGCCGAGGGGCTGGCGTGTTTTAGGAAAGGAGCTGAGGTGGGGAGACGTCTGCCGGCCCTGGGCAGCCCCCCAGCCCCTGGCCTGGGCCCTCTGAGAGTTGGGAAGCACTAAGGGGATGACCTGCACCCTGTGCCACACCTGTCGACCCCGCTGCGGGCCAGGCCAGGCTTTGGGTCTGGGCAGGTGGGGGCATGAGCGAGCAGGGGCAGGGCCTCTGAGGGGGCAGGTGCAGACCCTGCCCGAAAGGAATCCTCGCTTGGCTCCAGGTGGGCCTGGAGGAGGGGTGGGCTTGCCCATCTCTGCCCCTGCCAGGTGGGCGTGGGAGAGAAGGGGCTGGGGCTGGAGGCTGGCACAGCCCGCTGCCCCATCTCCGTCTGCCCTTTTCTGTAGATGCTGACCTGGGCTCCTCTGTGCTCAGTGATGCTGTGGCCCAGAGCTGGCCTCAGGGTCGGGGGGGTAACAGTCTGTGCAGGGGTCGAGGTGAGTGGGAGACAGGCCACTGCCCCTGTCCCCTGCTGCTTGCCAGCCCCCAAGGGACACCCTCTGGGCCCCTCCCCCTGTCACCCGGCCCTGCTGACTGTGCTGATCCCTGGCTCTGAGCTGCCCTTGATCCACTGATCCAGGCCCTGGGAGCCCCAAGTGATCTGCCCGAGGACCTGAGGCTGCCAGAGCCTCAGCCCACCACCCTGGGGTGGGGAGAGGCAAGGGAACCCCGAGAGCTGGCCAGGAGGGAGGCCAGTGGCCGGTGCTGGCTGTGGCCATGGAGGGCCAGCCCGTGGCCCTGAGCTTGGCGGAGAAGACGATGTGCAGAGTGGTGTACGGCGCCCCCCGCCCCCGCCCGCTGCTGCTGTCCGTGGGCCTGGAACTGTGGGTGTACGTGCAGAAGATGCGCAACCAGAGGACGAGGTGCAGTGGGCACCTGGGAGGGCGCCCGGGCAGGGCTGGGTGATGGATGCGGCTGGGAGGTCAAGGCGCCGTTGGCGGTCTGGGGCAAGCGGAGAGGCTGGGGCTTCTAGCCCTGCACCCCCTGCCTGGTGCTTCTCCAGGGGACCCCCCATGTTGACGGGGGCCCATGTTACACCCTTCAGTCTGCATTCGCGATGACCCCCATCAGGATGACCGCATCCCCTTGATTTCGGGGCCCCGGTTCCTAAGCCAGAAACCTGTGCTCAGAGACAGGTCGGGAGGCCTCCAGGTCTGCCCGGGCCAGCAGGCCTGCCCTCCCGGACAGTCCCCACGGTTCCGAGCTCAGTCCCCTCCGCAGCCACCGGGAGGTCGGGGCAGTCTGCCCACCTGACCACTTGCCAGGGACAAGCAGTGCCTGATAAAGAGGCCCCCTGCGTGGCACCTCAGGGCTGCCCGTGGGCTCCGTGACGTGGCATCCGGATGACTTCCCACAGCCCTCGGAGAGGCACATCTGTGGGAGGCCCTGGCATGCGGGGGCGGGCGGGAGGCCCCGTGTTCTGGTGTCCTGAGGTCTCAAGGCCGTGTCCCTGACCCCTTGCTCTGCTCGATCTCGGGGAGGCAGGGAGGTGGTGGAGTCCCAGGCCCTGGGCTCTCCGTGGGGGGAGGAGCTGCTCCCCCCAGGACGAGTGGCCCTGATGTTGGGAAGTCTCAGCTGGACGAGGGGCCCTGTGACGGTGGGGGGCTTCCCCAGCAGAAAGCTGTGGGGTGCAGGGCCCTGGGTATAGTCTCTGAGGGGCTCACCAGCCCCGCCCAGCTTGTCAGCGTGGTGTTGCTGTCGTCGGAAAAGTGACTGCCCACTTCTCGATAGTGCGGCGACAGGGAGCGGGGCCTGTGTTCGTGTGGCGGGCATTTGGTCAAAACGGTTCAGAAGCACCAGCCTAGACAACTTGTCCATTTTTTTCCTTTATTGATTGTAGAGAGAGAGGAAAGGAGAGGGAGAGAGAGAGAGAAACATCGATGAGAGAGAACATCGACTGGCCGCCCCCTGCACGCCCCGCACTGGGATGGAGCCGGCAGCCCGGGCCTGTGCCCTGACCGGGAATCGAACCGGCACCTCTCAGTCCGTGGGGCAACGCTCCATCCACTGGGCCACACCGGCCGGGCTGTGGATGTTTTTAACTGCTCTGTAGGTTTTCCACAAAGTCAGAAAAGCTCAAAGCTGTGGAACCGAGGCAGGGACAGTAGGGGCTGGCCTGTGACTGCTGGGTCTGCCTGCCGCCTAGGTGGCCCCGTCACAGCCCGTCACAGCCCGGCGCCCCCTCCTCTCCCCTTCCACCCTCAGGGTGTCCTCCACCGTGGGGCTTCTGTGCCCCCTGGCGTGTGTATCCAGGGATCCAGGGCCGGGAGCGGGTCAGGCCGTGTCCTGAGCTTGCTCCAGGGCTGGGAGGCTCGGGGCAGGGCCCCACCTCGGTGCTGTGCGGCGCCCACCCGTAAGGGGCTTTTTCTCTGAAGGCCCTGCTCAAGGGGGGCCGGGGAGACAGCACAGCCTCCAGCGAGGTGTCGGGGGTCACGCAGGAACCTGGGGCCGTTTTCCAGGATTTGGGTTCAGCCTGGGACATAGTGCTGTCCACTTCCTCCCGCAGCACCAGCACCGTGGGGGGTGGGGGCGCTTGTGGGAACAGCTGTGTCTCAGGCCTCAGGCCGGTCCTGGCCAGCGGCCAGCAGAGCGCTTAGCCTGGGGGGGGGGGCAGGGGCGGGCGGGTTGACCCTCGGCTCAGGACAGGAGGTGAGGACACCGTGGCCCAGCCTCCAGTTCCCCCTGAAGGCTTGGGGATGTGCCCCTCAGTGCAGGCTGGGGGAGGGGCTGGGATCAGATCTGCCTGTGTGGCCTGTCGGCTCCCTGACCCTCTCTGAGCCCCCGTGGTTCTGTGGGATCCAGGCTGCCAGCGCCTCGGTCAGGTGCTCACCTGGCCGCAGGCGGCCACGCTCCGGGCAGCTGACACTTGCGGGTCGGCGGAGTGGGGAGCTCGGCCTGGAGCGCTGCCATCGGGCTGAGGGTCTTGCTGCGGTCACAGACGCCGAGTTCGCCCCAGGTGCCCTGCCTGGCAGTGAGGAGGCTGGGCCAGGTGAGCTGCACAGGTGTGGTCCAGCACAGTACCTACTTCTGGGCGTCTGTGCATGAGAGATTTACACGTGTGCGTGCACGGGCCGCAGCCGGGGCACCCTGTGGCCCACCGTGAGCGGAGGAGCCTGGGCCCCCGGTGACCCCTCCTCTCCCCGCAGGATGGAGGCCTCGTGCCTGGAGCTGGCCCTGGAGGGTGAGCGGCTCTGCAAGGCTGGGGACTTCAAGGCGGGGGTGGTCTTCTTCGAGGCGGCCGTGCAGGTGGGCACCGAGGACCTGAAGACGCTGAGCGCCATCTACAGCCAGCTGGGCAACGCCTACTTCTACCTGAAGGAGTACGCCCGGGCGCTGGAGTACCACAAGCACGACCTGCTGCTGGCCCGGTGAGCTGGGTGCCCAGTGGGAGTGGCAGGGACAAGCCCGGGGCAGGGCTCTCGGGCCGCAGGAAGTGTGAGCTGAGACACCTGTGAGTGTGTCTGTATGTCCGTATGTGGCCCAGTGGCCTGTGTCTCTCTCTGGGACTGTGCAGGAGTAGCCACCCCTCCCTGCCCCTGTGTTTCTGGGTGTCTCTGTCTCTTCTCCTCCAGCCTCCAAGCCTTTGCCCATGCGGTTCCCACCCCAGAACACCCCTCCCTCCCTTGTGCCTGCCCCCTCCTGCTCCTTCAGGCTGCGGTGACCCCTCAGCAGCCTCGGCGGCCAGGCTCCCCACCAGCCAGCGGGCCCCATATCCTGTCCCCAGCCCCCAGCCCCGCGTGGTGCTGGCAGGCGCGCCCCAGACTCACTAGGAGTCATCATGACGGCAGTTCTCACTCTGAGGCCCCCAACTCTCCCTGCCTCGATCCGGGGTTCCCCCTGAGCCCCGACAGCTGCAGGCCATGCAGGGGCCGCCCTCAGACGCGGCCCAGCGGAAGGGACCCTGAGCTCTGCTCCCTGACCAGGGACTGGGCCTCCCAGGCCCTCACCCGCCCTTGCGGCTCCCTTCTGAGCTCCTCCCGCCAGCTCCCAGCCTGACCCCTCCCTCCTTCGTCCCTCCAGGACCATCGGTGACCGCATGGGGGAGGCCAAGGCCAGTGGGAACCTGGGCAACACACTCAAGGTCCTGGGCCGCTTTGACGAGGCGGTGGTCTGCTGCCAGCGGCACCTGGACATCGCCCAGGAGCAGGGGGACAAGGTAGGCTGCGGCCCCGGGCGCCTCCCCTCCCCCTCCCACCTGAGCACAGACCTCTCGACGCCCTCCCAGGCGCTTGCGTTTGGAGCCCAGGAGCATTCTGAGTGGTGGGCACCCCAGCCTCACCTGCCAGCCTCGGGGTGATGTCCCCACCCGAGGCTGGTGGGCTCCTTGGGGGCTGTGACTTCGGAGACACCCCAACCTTGGTGCTGCCCACAGATTGGGGAGGCGAGGGCACTCTACAACATCGGGAACGTGTACCACGCCAAGGGCAAGCAGCTGTCCTGGAACACGGCACAGGACCCCGGGCACCTGCCACCCGACGTTCGAGAGACGCTGCGCAGGGCCTCCGAGTTCTACGAGTGAGTGGGCAGCGGGGTTGGGGCACCACCTGGGCCCCTGCAGCCGCCAGGGACTGGACGACAGCCTCAGGTGCAGCGCCCCCCCCCCAAGCTCCTCGGACAGTGGCAGCCAGGCTGGCCTCCTACCCCACGCCCTGCCCACACCTGTCCTCGGGCTGCTGGGCACCCACGAAGCCCTCGCTTTTCCCTCCTCGTGCTCACCCACAGCAGTGGGGAGGCGCAGGGAAGCTGCTGACCGAAGCGCGTGGCATTTAAAAAATATTTGCCGGAGCCCTGGCTGGGTTTGGCTCAGCGGTTGGAGCATCGGCCTGCGGACCAGAGAGTCCCAACTTCGGTTCCCGCTAGGGGCATGTACCAAAAAAAAAAAGCTGGAAAAGGGGCCGGACATTGGTTATACCTGAAAACCAGAGTCGGGGACAGAGGAGCCCCCAAACCGAGCCTAGGAGCTTGGACTGCATCAAGGGGCACCATAGCTGAAGGGACCCACGTGGCGTCCTGTGCCTGGGGGGAGGGGCCGTGGGGTCCTGCTTCTCTGACAGACTCTGCCCCCAGGAGGAACCTCTCCCTGGTGAAGGAGCTGGGTGACCGGGCAGCCCAGGGCAGGGCCTACGGCAACCTGGGCAACACCCACTACCTGCTGGGGAGCTTCGTGGAGGCCACGACCTTCCACAAGGAGGTGAGCGGACAGATGGCGGGTGGGCAGCAGCACAGCCCCGCATCCGCCCAGGCTTTGTCGGGCTGCTCCTCTGACACAGCTCGGGCCGGCCACCCTGGGCGGGGAGCACCTGCCGATGCGTCGGGGCCGGGGCTGCTCTGTGACCACCGGGGCTGTGGGTTGTGTCCTCAGCGCCTGGCCATTGCTAAGGAATTTGGAGACAAGGCAGCGGAACGGAGGGCCTACAGCAACCTGGGGAACGCCCACATCTTCCTGGGGCGCTTCGACGTAGCTGCAGAATACTACAAGTAGGCAGCACCCCACTCCAGCCAGGCAGAGGGTGGGCCCAGGGGAGGCACCACCCCACGGTGGGGAGGAGTCTGACTTCCCAGGCTCCCCAGGGCCCGGGGGTGGGGAGTCCCCGGCCACCCCAGAAGAGCAGACTGGCAAAGTCCAGGGCTGCCAGGGACTTGGTGAGCGTGTGCCGTGATTGGGGGGACCCCAGAGCAGGTATAGCCGTTCCCATGTGGACTCAGGACAGTAAGGACCTCGCTAGCTCCTGAGTATCCCCGACTAGTACCAGGACACTTGCTGGGCCATCTGCCTCCTGGCCTGAATCGCTGAGCAGTGGCCACTGGGCAGAGACCAGGTGATGTGCCCAGGTCCTGTGCTGAGCCCTGACGCTCACGTCAGGACCCTGAGCCAAGTGCTGCTGTCCCTGGGACCCCGTGGACATGTGGAGGTTCAGGATGGTGAGGCGACTGGCCAGTGTGGGCAGAGCCTGGGGGGGCCCATCTGTCTGCTCCCAACAGAGTCGGGTACTTGGGCCATCTGAGGATGGGACGTGCCAGGCCCAGAGAGATCCCTGTGGGATCTTGGCCCTGGAGGCCTCTGGGCGGGTGGCTGCTTGCCCCATCACCCCTGTCTGCCCCCGGGACAGGGGAGGGCGCGTGAGCAGTGCCCTGCCCCCTCCCCACAGGAAGACGCTGCAGCTGTCCCGGCAGCTCAAGGACCAGGCGGTGGAGGCACAGGCCTGCTACAGCCTGGGCAACACGTACACGCTGCTGCAGGACTACGAGCGTGCGGCCGAGTACCACCTGCGACACCTGCTCATCGCTCAGGAGCTGGCTGACAGGTGCGTGCGGATGGCCCAGGGCCCCCGCAGTCCCTGCGGCCGAAGCCGGGGTCCGAGGCCCTGCTTGGCCGCTGACCACCGACTGACCCTGAGCAGGACTGCTCGAAGCAACCCCTGGCACAAGCTGATGGGAGGGCTGCACCCCCGTCTCCCAGTCCGTCACCCCTTTGAGCCCCCCCATATCTACATGAATGTCAGTCTCTATGGAGAAACAGACAGACCGAAGATTCTTTTTTTTTATCCTCACCCGAGGACATTTTTCCTTTTTTTTTTTGTTTGTTTGTTTTGTTCAGGTAGAGTGGGAGGGAAAGAGAGGAAGAGAGAGAGAGAGAGAAACATCGATGTGAAAGGGACACATCGAGTGGCTGCCACCCGCACGACCAACCAGGGCCGAGGACAAACTGCAACCGAGGTACATGCCCTTAGCGGGAACCGAACCCGGGTCTCTCCGGACCGCAGGCCGACGCTCTAACCGCTGAACCAAACCGGCCAGGGCCAGACCGAAGATTCTTAAACACACAGCTGGACGCAGCGGCCTGGGGTGGGCTGCGGCCGGAACAAGGGGCTCAGAGCCACAGGCTGTGGGCCTTTCGTGGGTGGTAGAGGAGGGGTCTCCTGGAAGGCGGCCCTGCCGGGAGGCACTTTTTCTTCGGGGTGGTGATGCTTTGGAACTAGACAGTGGCAATGGTCACAGATTGTACCCACTGCCACCAAGTCGTGTGCTCTGGAATGGTTAAGCTTACGTTAGATGGTTTTCACCTCAATTAAAAATGACTGAACGGGCCCTGGCCGGTTTGGCTCAGCGGTTAGAGAGTCAGCCTGCGGTCCAGAGAGACCCGGGTTCGGTTCCCGCTAAGGGCATATACCTCGGTTGCGGTTTGTCCCCGGCCCTGGATGGTCGAGCGGGTGGCAGCCACTCGATGTGTCCCTTTCACATCGATGTTTCTCTCTCTCTCTCTCTTCCTCTCTCTCCCTCCCACTCTACCTGAACAAAAAAATGGAAAAATGTCCTCGGGTGAGGATTAAAAAAAAAAAAAAAAAAATGACCGAACCGACTGTCCCCAAGGGCGGAGGGAGCCGTGGGGTGAGAGCCTCAACGACCACTAGGGGGCGAGCAAGGCCACACCAAGAGCCCTGGCAGCTGAGCCTGCTCAGCCCCTCAACTCCGCTCGGTCACAGGCTGCCCCCCCACCTCCGCGGTGCAGTCATGTTGGGCCTGACCACCGGGAGGCTGGGGGCTTGGAATGGCTGTGGGCAGGCTGGTGGGCAGGCTGGTGGCCTGGGGGTGCAGGTGTGGACTCGCTTTCTCTCCCTGGCAGGGTGGGCGAGGGCCGGGCGTGCTGGAGTCTGGGGAATGCCTACGTGTCCATGGGGAGCCCGGCGCAGGCCCTGACCTTTGCCAAGAAGCACTTGGAGATCTCCCAGGAGGTGAGCCAGTCCAGCCCGGCCCTCAGCCCCAACCACGGCCTCAGCGGGTGCTGGAGGCCCCCAGGGCTGCCCGGCCCACTCCAGACCGGCCAGGTGCCTTTGGGTGCCCTGGGCTTTTCCTGATGGTCCCTGTGTCCTTTCCGGTCTGTTGCTACGTGCTGCCCCAGGGCTGGCCACCTGGTGGCTGCTGTAGCCAGGAGGTGGGAGTGGGGGGAGCAGGGGGCCTTCCACCCCTAGAGTCTCATTGTGCCCTGTGGGCAGCCCATGTCCAGGTCCTTCTGTCCCCAGCGGAACTGGCCAGGCTGATCCTGCAGGGTAGCCCAAGGCTGGGACCCACAGGGTTATCACAGGTGGAATCTGGTTCCTTGGCTCCTGGCCTGACCTCTCCTGACCTCACCCTCCCCTGCTCCTTGCCCCCGCCCTCCGCCTCCCTCCAGCACCTGCCCAGATGCCCCTCAGTCCCGTGTGCATGGGCAGGGCCTGGCCTGGAGGACCCTCCACCGGGGGCCAGCAGCAGCCCCTTGTCCGTCTGAGCACAGGCTGGGGCGTGGCAGTGGCCCCGGAGCTCCGGCGGACATACTGCGGGCCTGCCCTTTGGCTTGCTCCTGGGCCACGCACGCCCCCTCTGCCTGGGGTTCTCCTGGTGACTGTGCTCTGAACTGGGAGCTGGGGAGGAGCCGGGAGCCTGGCAGGCACCTGAGGGGGCAGCCTGGCCAGAGCAGGCTGACAGTCCCCGGTGGGTGCCCGAGGAGGAGGGCCCCACGGAGCACAGGGCCTGGCTGCTTGAGGCCCAAGCCTTCCTGTGCTGTGAGGGCGGTGGTCTGGGGTACTGAGGCCACCCCCACCCAGGGACAGAACCCCAGACTCAGCTCAGGGGCACAGTGAGGCCTGGTTCCCTTGGAGACCCGTGGAGGGCCTCCCAGCCCATCTGCCCACTGACCTGGCCCTGCTTGGCCACAGATCGGGGACCGAAACGGGGAACTCACGGCCCGCATGAACGTAGCACAGTTACAGCTGACACTGGGCAGGCTGACCAGCCCCGCGGCCGCAGAGAAGCCAGACCTGGCCGGCTACGAGGCCCAAGGTGAGTCCCTGGGCTGGGGGAGGGAGCCTGGTTCCCTGTGGCTCAGACCTGGGCTGAGGGGCGTCTGGGCAGGATGCAGGGCCTTGGTGGGCAGGGTGTGACAGGAGGGCCGCCTGGGGAGGGGACCCTGGCAGCACTGCGGCCTGGGGGTGCGGGTCCCACGGAGGGGAGCTCTGATCCCGAACAGCAGCATCCCTAACAGCTATTCAGCAGGGAAAGGCTCGCAGGAGGGGGACCCCCTATGCCTGGGGGTGTCAGCATTGGAGCCTTTTCTGCCCTGCTCCGGAGCTCACGGCCGGGGTGAGGGCATGCCAGGCTGTCCAGGTGCTGAGGGCACAGACAGTGGGCCCTTCTCCCAGGGCAGGGCAGGGACCAGGGATACTGGGGTGGGGACAGTGTGGGGAAAGGGGTGGGGACAGCGTGGGGAAGGGGTGGCCCGAATACGGCATTTAGCCCCGATCTTTGTGGTCTCTGAGGGCCTGTGGTCACCCGGGCCCCCCAGGTTTATCGCCCAGTGGCACCACCGCAGGTAGGAAGAGGAGGGGAGGGCAGAGGACCCCTCCATGGTGGGAGGGGCTGTCAGCCAGAGGGGCCCAGGGAGGGTGTACCAGGTGCTAACCGGGTCCCCGCCGCTGCAGTGACCTCATCACTCACGGGCTGCTGGGCGCCCCATACAGGTCAGCCATGTGCACACAAGGACAGACCGTTCTCTGCAAAGCAAACAGACTAATAAAGACGGGGGCCTGGGGGAGGGGGGCCTCCCTGGCCTGGCTTCCCCAGGTGGCTGCAGGTGGGTGTGGGGCAGGGAGGTGCGTCCTCAGGGTTTCTGACGATGGCCTGTCCTAGGAGATGGGGGGCACATGTCACCCCAACTCAGATTGCTGAGGACTGAAAGGAGGAAGCAAAGGCTTCTGGGACCCTCAGCCTGCCCCTGTTTTGGGGTGCTGTGGTTGAAGGGGATGGGGTGGAGTGTGGTTCCCGGGAAATATCAGGCCAGGGTTTTCTCTCTGGACCGCAGGCCGATGCTCTAACCACTGAGCCAAACCGGCCAGAGCAGGCCAGGGTTTTCTGAGGGTTGCAGCCCCAGGCCCTTAGAGACCACCCTCTGGGAACCCCAGCAGTAGGGGGGCAGGGCTGGGCCGGCGTCTGGAAAGGTTCCCACGGAGGCACGTCCCAGCTCCCGTTGTCCTGGGAAAGGGGGGCCGTGGTGGGTGAACAGCCTGGCTGTTCAGGAACAAGGCAGCTTCTGTCCTCCGCACACCAGCTCCTCCGCTGTGCCCGAGCCGGACCCTCCCTGGCCAGGGCCCCCAGAAGCCTCCGCCGCAGGCCCTGGGAACACGCCATCCTCCTGGGAGGGTGGGGGCTGTGTGGTCTGCCAGGCTGGAGGAGGCGGGTGTGGGGGCCGCCAGCCCTGGGGGCCCTGCTCTGGGGTGCAACTGCTGGAGGCAGGCAGGTGCCCTGAGTCTGGGCGCCCCTGGAGAAGACCCCCTCAGGTGAGCCTGGCCGGGCAGGGTTCCCTGCAGGGGGGCAGCATCCATTCGTTCATACAGTCCGTGCATTTCCAGCCAGGGTGGTGGGCGCCTGCCTTCCGGAAACTGACCCTTGGGGGGATGGGCAGTTGCATATCCAGAGCTGTCAGTTTGGGGGGTGCTAGAGGGGGACAGGAGCACCGGAGGGGTGTTAACCCAGTCATGTGGAGGGGCAACTTCAGGTAGGAAGGAGGTCCTGAGCTGGGTCCTGGAGGCGGCCCAGGAATTCCTAGGGCACCGTGGGCGTGGCCCTGGTGGGCGTGGCCCTGGTGGGCGTGGTGGGGCTGGCCAGCTGGAGGCGGGGCCGAGGGCTTTTCTTCCCCCCTCGTGAAAAAAAACAAGGGCCCTTTCTGCAGCTGAAGGACCCAGAGCTGGCTGCTGTTCAGTTGACCTCACTGCTCTGCCGCCCCCACCCCAGCAAAGAGGCCCCCCCCAGCAAGTCTGGGCAGGGGCACCTCCCTGTCATTGTTGTCTGTCTGAGCCCAGGTCAGTCCTGGGTGCCCCACCCTTGCCCCTCCTAGCAGGGGCACCTTGTAGATGGGCCATGCTGGATGGGGCCCTGCGACACCCCCTGACCAGCTGCCCTCTCTGTGGGATGTCCCCCTGCAGGTTGGGAGGGGTGTCGGTAGGGCAGAACCGCGGGTGGGCTTCAAGGAGGCTATGGTCTCAGTCAGCTCGGGCTGCGAAACCAAACACTGCAGACCAGGGGGGCTAAACAAGTTCTTTCTCACAGTTCTGGGGTCCGAGCTCGGGGGAGCACGGTGCAGTTCTGGAGGGCTGCCCTCCCGGCTTGCAGACGGGAAGCTGGGTGCAGGAGGGGAGAGAGAGCGCGTCCTCTGGTCTCTGCTCGGAAGGACACGGATCCCCCCACGACCGCCCCCCGCCATGGCCTCAGCCCCCCAGCATCTGTCCCAGCAGACACCTCCAGTTCAGAGCAGCGACTCGGAGGGGGGAGGGAGGGAGCCATGAGCTCAGGTGGAGGAACAGCGTCCCGACAGGGAAGTGCCCTGCGAGGCCGCAGGCTGGAGGAAGCCGCTGGCAGAGCAGCCGGGCTGTGTCTGGAGCAGATGAGCGAGAGGGGGGAGGTTGAGGTGGGCAGGGAGGGCCTCAGGGGCCCTTGTGTAACCTCTGGTGGGGTCGACAGAGGAGGAATGAGCTCGAACCCAGACCCTGGGTGCATCCATGGCCCTGCATGGAGGAAGGACTTTGGGGCGCGGCCAGGCAGGCAGGCAGGCAGGGGAGGCAAGGGTCCCCGCGAGGTGGGAGGGCCAGGTTGTGAAGATGTTTGCTGGGACACACGATCGCCCGGAGCTCTTCAGACGTGGACAGGGCGGGCGGTGCTCAGGGGAGTTTCCGGACCTCGCCCGGTCAGCTGAGGGTGCGGGCGTTGGAACTGGCAGGCGAGGAGGACCTGGGCACTCTCCAGACAGAGGGTGCATTTAGCTGGGCCCAGAGGGCCTGCCGCTGGCCGGCCGTGAGGGGACCCGCCCCGGAGCCGGACGCTGCGTGTCAGGGGCGTTCCTGCCTCTGGGGGCCAGGGACGTGGAGGGCCAGGCAGGGCAGGAGCGGCCGAGGGGGCCCGGGCCCAGCAGACAAGGTGGGGAAACCGGGTGGGGCCCTTAGGGTGTCAGGGGGCAGCTAAGAGAGGCCGCAGCCGGGCTCTGGCGGGCGATGGAGCAGGGCTTCCACTGGCTGTGGTGAGTAGGGCCCCTGCCCAGTGCCCGTCCTGCCCTGCAGCCCCTCTGCTGGGCACTGAGATGCCCTCCCTGCCCCCCATCTGCCCCCATTGCTGCCGGGGCCCAAGGGATAGGCCATGCCCCCAAGTGCCGTGGGGTTTGGGGATGGGTCCTTCTAATGGGCTGGGAGGAGTGGGGGGACCCTGACTCTACTCTCTGCCTCCGTGTCTGTAACCTCAAGACTTGGGGTCAGGCTGCCCCCTGTAGGGCTGGTAGGGGCAGGAAGGACAACTCCCTCCCTAGGCACTGGGGCGGCAGCCTCCAAGGACCCCTTCATCCCACCCTCTAGAGAACAGGGGGACAGGGTGTGGCTTCCTCAGAACCTGGAGGCCAGGGCAGGAGGGCAGCTGCCCACGCCGGCCCTTCCAGCTGTCTCTGGGCCGCCCGTTCTCGTGCGCCTGAACACTGGGTGTGGGCTGGTTTAGGTGACTGGTCGCCTGGCGCGGCCCCTCCCTCTGGCCACGGTGTCCAGGTGGGTGGCCCAGAGCCGGGCAGGTGCCGTGCCGAGGGCTGGCGCGGGAGGTGGGATCCGGGTCCAGCTCGTGTCGACCTGCAGGGCCGCAGAGCAGCTGAGCTGCACGCGTGGAGCCTGTGGGCGCTGGGTGACCACAGAGTGGGCGCTGGAGAGCCGGGCCCAGAACGTGGGAGCTGGGCCTTACGGGGGACACTGAAGCCAGACCCCCAGGCCCTGCGGGGTCCCCCATCTCCACAGCAGACATTTGGGGTGGGGTCAGCCGACCTGGAGGCCGGGGTCCGAGCTGACTGAGCCACCGTTTTGCAGGGGCCAGACCCAAGAGGACGCAGAGGCTGAGCGCGGAGACCTGGGACCTGCTGAGGCTGCCCCTAGAGCGGGTGAGCACGGACGGGGCAGCTGGGGACGCGAGGGAGGCGGCAGAGCGGCAGAGCGCGGGCAGCCGGCTAAGGAGGCCACCGCTGTGTTTGCTAAGCCGACCCCACTCCCGTCCACGCCGTGTCCCTGCCACGGAAGACAAATATGCCGCCTGCTCCCATTGGCTCCCTGAGAGGCCTGGCAGCACCAGCGCCCACTCCCTCCCATCACCTCAGGGTGCTGCCCGCTGGACACCCCGGGGACAAGCGGACAAGCCACGGGTCCTCACACACTGCAGACTTCCCTGCCCCTGCCCAGCCTGCTCCCTCCCACTCGGACAGTCTCACGGGGACACAGCTGGTGCCGGTGGAGCCTCTCGGGCTCTGCGAACCCCAAACGTACTTGGAGCTGGGCGGCTCTGCCTCTGCTGGCGGGTTTGGGGTGGCCCTGGGGAAGTGATCTACCCTCAGCCTCTGTCTCCAGCGTAGACTGGGCTGGTCGCAGACGCCCGTGGGGAGCCTGCTGGGAGATGAGGCTCGGGGTCCCCCAGAGTCACCTGTTGCTTAGTGTGGGAAGGTTGACATTTGGACAGTCGGACGCCCCGCCTGAGCTCCTCCGGGCCCTGCTCTGCCCTCCCCGCCCCCCTGGTCCTTGCTGGCCCTCTCTTTCTCCTCCCTTGTGTGTGTGACATGGGGGTGACTGTGCCCGCCAGGCCGCCTAAGGGTCCTGGGATTGCTGGTGGCCCCACCCACGCCTGGCCTCCCCCCACCAGGAGCAGAATGGAGACAGCCATCACTCTGGGGACTGGCGGGGGCCGGGCAGGGACTTGCTCCCCCTCCCCATGAGGAGCAGGAAGTACCAGGAAGGGCCGGACGCTGCTGAGAGGAGGCCCCGGGAGGGCGGCCACTCCCCACTGGACAGCGCGGACGTCCGGGTGCAGGTTCCTCGAACGGTAGGCAGCTTCTCTGTGGGCTCCAGCAGGGAGCCCAGCAGGGCCTCCGCCGCGGGGCCAGCGGACGGGAGCTCCTCCAGGGGCAGAGGGCACGGCCCTGGCTGTCCCCGGACCTGGTGGGGCAGGGCCTGCTGGCCATGCAGGGGCTGTGCCTCACTGTCCGCTGCACCCAGGCTGCGCGAGACGCGGTGGACAGAGCGAGGGGCAGAGACAGCTCACGGGCTGGAGGGGCCTCTTGCAGCCTGGCGGGAGTCAGGGTAAAAGCTCCCTCCGAGCGCTCAGCCAGCACCTCCCAGCCGTGGCGGGTGTGGGTGTGGGTGTGGGTGTGGGTGTGGGTTCCTCCACAGCGCTGGCTGCTCCCGCCTTCTTTCCCAGGAGGCCAGGGGGGGGGGTGTGTCTCTGCCCACCCTGTTTGACCGCAGCGCTGCCCAATGGACCAGGGTCTGTGTCCATGGAGTGAGATGAGGAGGGGACCCCTGCATGGGGAAGGGGCACCGGCCGCCCCGGGTGAATGGGGGGTTTGACACTGTGGCTGTGTTGCTGGGGGCCAGCCCCACCCAAGCGCAGGCGTGCAGGGCCTCGCCGCCACACGGAGGGCTGTGTGGTCCGAGGGCTTCAAGAACTTGCGTCAGGGCGTAGGGAACAGGGCTGGGCTGGCCCCGAAGGTGGGGGCCAGGGGAGTCTTGGAGTGGCCCAGCCAGAAAGGCCTGGGCAGGGGAGGACTCCCAACGCCGGGGCACTGGGGAGCCACGGTGGGCGGTGGAGCAGGGAGAACCCAAGCAGGGCTGGTGAGGGTGGGTGAAGCCTGGCCTGAGCTCCGTCCAGGGACTGTACTTCCCGGGTGCTCACACTGTCCGCACCCACCATTTCTCGAGTGGAGTGGGGCCGAGTGAGGCAGGGGGCAGAGCCTGAGCCCCAGCTGTCTAGTCCCTTCCGAGCAGCAGCGAGAACAAAACGAGACTTGTCTTTCTGGTCCCCCACACCCCTAAACCACATCAGCCCCCCTGCACCGTGGCCGGCTTGGAAGTTTCACGAAAAGGCCACCAGGCCAGAGCTGCGCCCCTGGTGCCTCCAGCCCAAGGATCTCAGCCTCAGGCCCCAGGGGCAGGCCGCAGCTCCCGGGGCCCAGGCTGTCCCGGTCCAGCTAGCGGGGCAGTAGATGAGCAGAGAGCCCCGCTCACGCTGTTCCCGCAGCACCCCCGTGGCTGCCACCCTGGGACCCTTCCTCCAGTCGCAGACAACAGTGGATGCTCAGGCTTGTCACGTGCAGCTCATCTACAGAACCCCGAGAGGGGAAACTGAGGCACACAGCAGCAAAGAATCTGCCCAGAGACATCCAGCTAGGACCGGTGGAGCTGGGGTTCCGAGGCCGGGTGGGCCCCTGACACCTGGAGCTGGGCCCCACGGAGAACAGAGCAGGGCTTGGGGTGGTGCTAGTGTTGGAGGAGGTTCTTACGGCAGTGCTGCGCCTGGCCCAGCTGCAGGCCCGGACCCCGGTGGCGGGCCGAGCACCCTGCCCGCCAGACACCCGACCCAGCTCCCCGGGCAGGAGGCAGCCTCGAGGGGCTGGGCCTGGGCTGCTGGCTGGGACCCCCCTGTCCCTGGGGTCTGAGCTCGCTGTGGAAGGAGCAGGGCAGGGAGGGCTCCGGTATCCCCATCCTGTCCTCGCCCCTCCTGCAGGGCTCGTAGCCACTTCCCCAGGTGCTGCTCGGGGTCGGCGGTGCGGTGGGCCCCTGCTTCATGGTTGGCCCCGCGCAGCTGTGCTGGGAGCCAGGACAGGGCCTCCCAGAGCAGGAAAGGGGCATCAAGGTGGGCAGCGGGAGGCCAGGGAGGGCCCTGGGGCCAAGGCGCCTGGGAGAGGCCGGGGGCTGCTGTGTGGGGAGGTGGCTGGGGGGTGCTGGGATACCCGGCCATGCCCACGGTGACAGTTCCAGCATGGGAAGGGCCTGTGTGCCCAGCTTCCCCCGGGGCCGCAGCGGCCCTGGCTCAGGGGTCCGCTAAAGAAAGTGGTGGCTTCTCCTGGGCTGACCCAGGAGGCCAGGGCCTGGGGTCGGGTGGGAGAGTGCCGTCCACACAGTTCCCACCCCCTCGCCCCTCTGGTGTGGCCGCCACAGGCCCTGAGCCAGAGAACTCGTGCCGCGCTCAGGGAAATCCATCTCGGAGTGTTTACGGAGTGCGCTGAGTGTGCGCGTGTCCCAGCTTCAGTGCCGGTGGGCGGGGATGGGGAGGGGCCCTCGCCAGGTCCTATTTAAGCATTCAGCTGACAGGCCCTGTGGGGCTCAGCTGCAAGGTGGCTCTGGGCGTCACAGGCGGAGTGGTGGCAGGGGCACCTTGGTCCTGCTCCAGCTCCACGTGGCGGAGCCCCTCCCAGCGCCTGGCGGGTCCAGCGAGCTGCGGATCAGTGTGAGTGTGGGCCCTGGGCGCCGGCGGAGGAGCTGGGCCTGGGCCGAACTGTGCTGGGGGGCTCCAGGGTGGGCTTGCAGTTTTCCCAGGGGACCAAGCAGTCAGCCGGGCTGTGCGTGGGGTGAGTCCCAGCATGTCCTGCTGTCTGCTCCAGCGGCCTCTGCCTGCCTGACGGCCTCCAGCCCTGCCCTCATCTGGGCAGCACCGGCCGTGGCACCACCGCTCGGAGGGTCTGGCTAAGCAGGCTGGGGGGGGGGCAGGGGAAGGGGGAGCCCCAGGGGAGGGGGGCCCTCGCTCCCAGTGAGAAACCAGAGTAAGACCCGAGGAGGAACTCTGGGACAGATGGAGCCTAAATTGGGGGCAGAGGCGAGGTCGGAGCATGGGGGTAGCCCAGGCCGGTCCTGCCAGGGTCCAGGTGTTGCCCTGGACTGTCCGGACCCTCACTGAGTGCACCTCTGGTCTCAGGCCACAGCCCACACAGCACACAAGGGAACGGCAGCCCTCGCAGGCGGCCTGGTCCGGCCAGCCCCCAGCTTCAGGCCTGGAGGGGCTCTGCCTCGGGCCTCAGGGACCTCTGGGCGGCGTGGGGGCCTCTAGCCCACGGCCACGTTGGCGATGGGGCCACGAGAGGCCTCGGGATCAGCCTGCCCCTTCGGGTGCGTGCCTTGAGCACCGAGTCCCGTCCAGGGAGGCTGGAGGAGTGTCGGGGTCACACCTGTCCCGGGAGGGGACCTGTGTGAGGGGCCGCTGTGCTCACCCCGCGGGGGTGGCCCTGGCAGCCCCCGTCTGTGCCTGCAGGGTCCCGAGGCCCTAAGGGCGCCCCCTGCCAGGGCCCCTCTGGGCCCTCATGCCAGCTGTTTCTTCTCTGGTCTGCTGCTGTGATCTCTCCAGGCACCCAGCTCTGAGCAGCCCCAGGAGGCCACTGGCCAGCTGAGATGGGCGGGGCGGGGGGGGGGGCTGAGCAGGGCCCCGGCTTCCAGGGGAGGTGCTGGGGCGCATGCACCCAGGGCCTCCGGCAGCCCTTGGGGGTGGGCCTGTCTGGCTGTGCCCTGTGGGGAGGCTCCGCAGACCTTGCCCTCCAGCCGCCCCCCATGTGGATGTGTAAACTGAGGCTGGAGTGGGGCAGGCTTGCCCAAGGTCACCCTGCCAGTCGGGACTCAGCCAGGCCTGGTGACCTGGTTTCGTTCCTCACCCCACCCATCCCCCTCCCTCCAGAACTGTGGCCCCTCCAAGAGCCAACCCCCTCCTGTGCTGATCCCAGCAGTGGGACTTGTCCAGGCCCAGCCGGTCACCCTAGGGTCAGCCCTCCCGACACCCAGCTGCACGGACGGTCTCCCAGAGGCCGTGCGGTCCAGCTACAAACCCGGCGCCCTGAGCCGGACAGCCGGGCTGCACCCCAGAGGCAGCCTCCCACCTCGGCCACGCTAGCGTTTGCTCTCTAGGGGCTTCGCCCTCACACGTCTGCTGTCCTCCGGGTCTGTCCACTGGCCCAGGACCTTTTAAACCTGTCGCCCAGACTCCTGCTTGGGGTGGGACTGGGGTGGACACAGGAGCCCTCAGTTACCCCTACTCAGTCTTCTCGCCTTTGGTGATACGACCTGACGCTGCCGGCACCTCTGGGCCCTGGCGCAGCCCATGGCGAGTATGTACCAAGGCCAGCAGGGCTGCCTGGCTGCCCGGAAGCGGCGACCTGACCGTGGACCTCGGGGGAGGGAGGCTCGGGCCATGCAAGTGGGATGGGTGTGGGTGGCCACACCTGGGCAGGAGGACGGAGGGCTCGGGAGCAGACACGGGGCCGGGGACCAGCAGGTGGCAGATGAGAGTCCTGACCTTGGCCCAGGCCCAGCTGCCCCCCGTGGTGTTCAGGGCCTGGGAGGGGTCGGTGACTGGAGCAGGGCCACAGAGGTGGCCGGTGCTGACTGCCCCCTGCCCCCTGCCCCCCAGAGCATCCCTCGGGCCCCATCCTCTGACGAGGAGTGTTTCTTCGACCTGCTGAGCAAGTTCCAGGGCAGCCGCATGGACGACCAGCGCTGCCCCCTGGAGGAGGGCCAGCCGGGGGCCGCCGAAGCCACGGCTGCCCCCACCCTGGAGGAGAGGAGTGGTGAGCACCCTCCGGGCGCCCCGACCTTGAGGTGCAGAGCCGCTGTCCCTGCCTGCTGTCCGCTCCTGCACAGCAGCGCCCCCTGGAGCTCCTGAGGGGCAGTGCAGACCAGCTGCAAAGTGCCCTTGTCGCTTTGAGCTCCCCGCCCCCGCCTTGCCCCAGCCCCGTCCTGGGGAACGTGTCATCGTCCCGCCCTCTGTCGGAACAGGGTGTCAGGAGCATCAGTGTCGGGAGGGTGTGGGAGGGGAGGCTCCTCCAATCACTCCTGGGAACCCCGAGGTGGGACCCCGAGTGTCCCCGGAAGTGCAGTGGGCTGTGCAGCCGGCAGAGCCCCGCCTGCCCCCTCAGGTCGGACCCTGTCGGGATCCCTTTGTCAGCCCAGCACCCCCATGGAAGTCCTCCCTGGGCTCGTCCCCTGTCCCCGCAGCCCAGCCCACGCTGACAGCCTCCCCCCAGACCGAGGAGTTCTTCGACCTCATCGCCAGCTCCCAGAGCCGCCGGCTGGATGACCAGCGGGCCAGCGTGGGCAGCCTCCCGGGACTGCGCATCACCCACAACAACCTGGGGCACCTACGTGGTGACGCGGACGCCCAGGAGCCGGGGGACGAGTTCTTCAACATGCTCATCAAGTGCCAGGTAGGCCTGCAGCCGGGAAGGCCGTGCCATCCCGGAGCCTCGCGGCCCCTCCGCCGTCTGCAGGGAGGCCCCCGGCAGGCCACGGGGCGCTCCGCCTCCACCTGAGGCTGGGTCTGGGGGAGAGGGATGACAGGCTGGCTCGGCAAGTGTCCCCGAGCGCCCACAGGTGGTCAGAACCCCCCCAGAGAAGGCCACCCCAGGATGTCCTTAGTTTAGCTGTTCATTCAGAGCTGAGGGGGTCACCAGGTCCCCAAGGCTGTGGCCTCGGGGAGCCCACCAGCCTTCCACTCTGGAGGGAGAAAACCAAGGGCCAGACGGCACCCCCGGAGTGTGGAGGGCGGGAGAGGGCTCCCTGTCACGGGGTGGGGCTGGGGTCTGGGCCAGCAGGAGGGGTTGGCGGGTCAGCAGAGCCCCCCGAGTTGGTGGGGAGGGGCCGCTGCCGGGTGCTGTGCAGAGGCCGGGCAGTTTGCACACCTGACGTTCATTCCCACAGAAGAGGAGAAAGCGCAGCCCTTGGCGAGCCTGGGGAGTCTCAAAACCAACCCCTCCCCAGCACCCCCAAGCCCCCCAGCCACATGCACGCGGGCGCCTGGCCCTCCTGCTCCAGACCCTGCGGAGAAGTCCACACGCCTCCTCGCTGCCCTCGGCCCACCCGCACCAGCCCTGAGCCTTGAGCCCTGAGCCTCGGGTCTTGGGCTTGGAGCTGCAGCCTCCTGCTCTGTCTGGGGCTCGTGACCACAGCGCCGCCGGCGGCCTTGGAGGCTGCCCCGCAGCTGTCGTTCGTCCCACTGTCCCTGGGGTCAGGGCTCCCAGGGCTGCCCCGGAGCTGGTTCCCCGATGGAGCCAGGGAGGCTCGAGGCCATCTGACCCTTGCTGAACTGGCACTGTCTCTGGACAGCAGCCCCTGCCTCGGGGTTGTCCACGGGGCCACCGCCCTGGGAGGGCGAGGCCACCGACCCGTGTGTCCGTGTCTGCCCAGTCCTCCAGGATCGATGACCAGCGCTGCCCGCCACCCGACGGGCTGCCCCGTGGCCCCACCATGCCCGACGAGGACTTCTTCAGCCTCATCCAGAGGGTGCAGGCCAAGCGGATGGACGAGCAGCGGGTGGACCTCACCGGCAGCCCAGAGCAGGAGGTGAGCGGGCCACCGGAGCCTCGGCAACAGTGCCAGCCTGGCACCAGCTAAGGCCTGGAACCCACACCGGGCTCACCTCAGCCTCAGTCCTGGACGCCTGGACGCCTGGACGCCTGGGGAGGGACTCGCGATTGCCCGGGATGCTCACGGCCCGAGAAGCTGAATCCTCCTGAGGCCACGGCTGAGGGCCGGCTGAGCCCCACCCTTCCCACTGAGCCGGACGCTGGCACACTGCCCCCTGGCATGTCCGTCCCCAGGTCAGGGCTGCCAGGTGGGTAGGGCATTCTGTCCTCACCTCTGCCTCGGTCGCAGGCAGGCCTTCAGCATGTGGGCCCCAGACCCCGGTGCTGTCCAGACCTTCTGTACCCTCTCCCTGCCCCCACCACTCCGTCCTGCCAAATGTGAACCCTGCTGCCTCCCCCACACCTGAAGGCTCTCTGTAGCCTCTTCGGGGCACCAGCAACACGGGCGTCTGTCCTCCAGAGCCGGTCCCAGGAAGGCCAAGCGCAGACGTGTCCCAGCCTCACCCCCGGCGGCCCCTCCCAGACCTCCCTCCCTGCTACCTAGGCGGAGGAGGGGGACAGGAAGGCATTGCAGGAAGCCGCCGTGGAGGTAGTTCCTGGGCCCTGACACTGAGCCCCCAGCCCCATGGGGTCCTGAGCAGTTGGGGCCCGAGGGGAAGGATGGGGTGAGCGCCGACATTCCTCAGCTCCAAGCTCTGAGGCCCAGGATTGGATGGGCCTGGTTCCGGGAGGGCCCGTGGGCATGCAGGCCCCAGCACAGGGGCCGTGGGGACAGCGGTGGGTAAGTGAGTGGGGTTGGGGGGCCTCGGCTCAGCTCCGGGCCCCTCAGCGAGCACCCAGTCCCCCCTCCACCAGAGATAGGACGTCCCTGCCTCCTCCCATATGTGGACGGGGTCCATACAGTCCTGAACACCCAGTTGGCCCATGGGGCTGGGCAGGAGACAGGCCTCCTGGGGACGGTGCCCTCGGGTCTCACACACCCCTCCCCCGTCCCCCCGGCACCCCCTCAGCCTGGGGTGGAGCTGCAGCGCCGCGGCCCCCAGGGCCTGGACAGCACCTCGTCCTGGCGGAGGGGCCAGAGTCCTGCTCAGAGCACACAGCCTGGGAGCTCTGGGCTGGTGGGAGGCTCCCGGGGCCTGGGGGGGGCCGGCAGGTGTGGGGCCAGGTGCCAGAGCCCAGGCTTCTGCTCGGCCGCGCGTACTTGAGTGTCCTGCGTATTTATTGCCCTCATGTTTTCCATGTTGTCCGTGGGTCCTTTCCAACCCAAGAGGTACATTTGTTTTTCTGGAAAATAAAGTCTGCCAAGTGAACACTGTTCGTTTCGATTTCAGACTGGGGTGGTGAGCTAGCCTGCGGGGCAGAGGACCGGGGGCCCCCGAGTGCCACCCCCGCCCAGCAGCCTGGTCCCTGGGAGGGGCCGCACCGTCCGAACTGGACTCCCTCCAGTGCGCCTGCCTTCCAGAGTCCCCCCAGGACCGAGGGCCAGCTGGAGCCGGGAGGGACAGTGGGCCTGTGCCCTCACAACCGCAGTGCCACTGGCTGATGACCCTGATGGGACAGCCTGTGAAGGTGCAGCGTGGGGACAGCACCCCACAAATACGGACACCCCACAAACAGCCATCATAAGGCAGTCCCCAGTAGGGTCTGGGCACCGGGGGGAGGCAGGGGAGGCCCTGCTCACCTCACTCTGCCGTGACCCCCACACTGACCACGGCCTGGAAGCCCCAGAGGGGTGAGGGTGCACCGGGAGGGAAAGCTGGCAGAACGGGGTGGCCGGCGCTCCGGAGATGGAGAGGGGCCCCGGGCACTTCTCCTGGAGCCCCCCAGTTCTCAGTGCTCCGGACGCTGTAGGGAGCACCGGGTGCCATGACCGCTCAGCGGCTCCGCGAGGTCAGCACTCCCAAGGCTCTGAGAAGTCCTACAGGAAGTCATGTGATGTCCAGCCCCATCGAGTGTCCCCAGGCTTCTGACTCCCTGATTTGACCTTTCGGAGAGGCCCCTGGACTGAGGCTGGGGGAAGACAGATCACTGGGGGTGGGGGACAGAAGCCAGAGAAGCCCCAAGGGCTTCAGACATGGCTGGAAAAGGGCAGAGGCCTGGGGAGGGCCACACTGGAAAGGTAGGTTTTACTGTCCTGCTGGTGTGGTGTGGCCAGTAGATCAGGAGACGACACCACCATAACGGCAGGTGGTACTCTCACAGGTCGCACGGGGGGACACCAGGCACGGCCCCACGGGAAGGCTGCGGGTGGTCGAGGGAGGGAAGCGTGTACTGGAGCCCAGCAGGCCCACGACTAGCTGGTGCACAACTCCGGGGGCTCCGGCGAAGAGCTGCCCTGCCGGCTGGTGCCTGCCCAGGGGAGCCCACAGCGTGTGTCATCTCTGGGAACTGACCAGCCCTGCCGGGAACGGGGAGGCAGTCCCTCCACGGTCAGCATGGCTCATGTCAAAACATCAGGTACAAAAAATAAAGCATGTCCAAACCACAGGCTCCATTTCCCACCCATGAGGGGAAGATCCCGGGTGGCTCAACTAGAGCCCGCCAGCTCCCCGGGGCCTCCCCGAGCTCTGTGCCCAACTCGGGGGGCAGAGGCGGCCAGGCCCAGCCCCCACTCCTGTTTCAAGGGCAGCCAGTCCCCGCGTGGCCCCGGTGCCTCCACGGAGGAGCCTGCGGGGGCCGCTGACAAGTCTGCAAACGGCACGGAGCTCTGGGCAGGAATAATGGAGGGTTGTTTGCCGAGGGAAGGACAGGGGGTAATCGAGGCAAAGCACGAACCGCCGGTGCTCCGGAGAACAAAGCCGAAGCTCTGCGTGCCGACACGGCGATCATCAACTCAGATCCCGCGGGGACTCGACTAGCTGGTGATTCATGCTGAAGGTCACACAACCCAGAACACTTCTGGAAATAAACACCCTTTCGTAAACACAGGAACATCCTGAGAAGGCCGTCAAACAAGGCTGCGAGACGAACTGCACGCCCCAGGGGTGGGGGGCCCACGTGGGGCACTCAGCCCCCGCCTGTCAGATGGCAGCCCAGCTCCCACTGCCCTTGTCACCAAGGCCACCAGCCCATCTGCAGCTTCGGTGAGCAGCCTGGTTTGTGTCCGGGGGATGGCAGGTGGCAGGGGAGGGGTCTGTGGGGCCTCCCTGTGTCTGGCCAGAGGGATGGGACCCACAGGGTACGCTGATGCTGCCCCCAGGAAGAACAGTGGCTAACTGGCCATCCCTTCCAGGCCTCTCCCCAGACATATGGGGCACAACTGAGCCACCTGTGCCCGTCCTAAGGCTGCTCTTCCCGTCTGTGCACTGACAAGTGGCACTATGAGCACCTTCATCCGAGACGGCAAGGCAGAGGCTGAGACGGCACAGTGACCTCCCCAAGCCACACAGCCAGCCAGGATGGGCTCTGATTCCGCGGCCAGCCCCTCCCCACGCGGACATGGCCTGCACTGGGCGAGCACAAGGGCAGTTCGTCTGAGCAGGGCGACAGCGGTGGAGGGCTCCTGTGAGTCATTCTGACCCCAGAGTCGGGGACAAGAGAAGAGCACAGAGCCGTCATCTGCAAGTGCTGTCTGTTTATTTACAGAAATGGGCAAAGTGCCGAGCGGCCCGGGGCAGAGGCCGTCTCAGCTGGGCTCTGTCTTGCCAGGGCAGGTGGGATCCTGGTCCTCAGAGCCTTCCGTCGCAGCAGTAGATTTGGGGGCCCCCACAGCCTCTAAAACCAGCTCCAGGGCCCCGTCACCGGCCACGCGGTGCACCTTCTCGCCTCTGGCTGCGAGGATTTCTTCAATGTTCCTGAGAGAGAAGGAGGCACTGTGGGCCCTCACCAGTCCTGCAACTGTCCCTCGAGGGCACCCAAGGCCAGGCTCAAGCCAGAAACTCGGGTCCCTGCACAGTTGTGGCAGCGGGGCCACTGCATGCTGCCCCCTGGGCAGCAGATGATACTGTCCCATTCCCAGGAGAGAGTGCTCACTCAGAGGCCAGAATGAACTGTCCAGGCTACCTGGCCACAAGGCTCCTGACCCCCCCCCCCCCTGCCACTGCTCTCCACAGAGGGGTGAGGCCAACTCTGCAAGCCCAGGGCCCTGTCCACACCACCTCACATGCACCCCCAAGTCTGGGGTGGTCAACGAGCCAGCATCGATAGAGGACAAGAGACTGGCTGGGATCCCTGCTCCATAGCAGGCACTCAAGAAATCTTTGAACCACAAAACGAAAGGAAGTCGTTGCTTTCAGAGTCAACCTAGCCTGACCCTTCACGTTAGGGGAAGCCTGTGGCCCGGACAAGTGGGTCCTGCCTGCTGTCAGTGAGGGAGGACGTCAGGCAGTGAAGCAGGGCCAAAGGGGGCTGAGCTAGGGAAGAAGATTTGGCAAATAAAAACATGTCCCATCCTCGGGGCATAGTTATACAAAAGTTACTTGTGGTTTATCTGAAATTCAAGTTTAACTGCTCCTCCTGTATTGATAAGGCAGGAGAAGGGGGCCTGGTAAACCTCATCTGCAGGAGGGTGCCCCGGGGAGGTGGGGTGGGGCCCCTGACTTGGGGCTCTGTTCCCCCAATCCTGCCCAGGTGTTCTCACCTTTTCCCATCCAAATCAGAGAACCAGCCCAGGTTGTCCGCGATGATGTGGTGGTTCTGGCAGCCAGGGCAGGTCACAATGACCACACCCTGGTGATAAGCCAGCTTGGAGATTTGCTTAGAGGACCGGGTCCCACAGACCTGGTGGAGACAAAGAACAGGTGAGGCCAAGGGTCTGGCCCTGCCCCTCCAGGAAAGGCCCCTCCCATTGTAAGGACTAGCTCTACCCCAGGACAGAACCAGCCCTCTGCCTAAGGACCTGGGTCCTGAAGGATAAATCCACCCCTCCTCGTGAGCCGGCCCCACCCCTTTCCCAGAAGGCCCCGCCTCCCTGAGATAGACCCACCCCTCCCCCAGAAGGACCCACCCCCTAAGTGACAGCACCACACTCCACCGGGCCCCGCCCCTGTCCTAGAAGCACCAGTTCCCTAAAGGGTGGCTCCACCTGTTTCCCAAAAGGCCCCGCCCTGAGGATAGCGCCCCGCCTCCACGGGGCCCTGCCCCTCTCCCAGAAGGCCCCGCCCACGAGAGATAGCTCCATTCTCCGCGAGGGACACACCCCCGATGGATAGTAGCTCCACCCTTCAGTGCGGCCACGCCCGTCTTCCAGAAGGGCCCGCCTCCTAAGAGGTAGCTCCATTCTCCGCGGAGGACACGCCCCCTGAGGCATAGTTCCACCCCTCCGCCAGGAGATAGCGCCCTTCTCCGCGAAGGACACGCCCCCTGAGGGGTAGTAGCTCCACCCCTCCGCCAAGAGATAGCGCCCTTCTCTGCGGAGGACACGCCCCCTGAGGCATAGTTCCACCCCTCCGCCAAGAGATAGCGCCCTTCTCCGCGAAAGACACGCCCCCTGAGGGATAGCTCCACCCCTCCGCCAGGAGATAGCGCCCTTCTCTGCGGAGGACACGCCCCCTGAGGGGTAGTAGCTCCACCCCTCCTGGCGGTCAGGAGATAGCGCCCTTCTCCGCGAAGGACACGCCCCCTGAGGGGTAGCTCCACCCCTCCGCCAGGAGATAGTGCCCTTCTCCGCGAAGGACACGCCCCCTGAGGGGTAGCTCCACCCCTCCGCCAGGAGATAGCGCCCTTCTCTGCGGAGGACACGCCCCCTGAGGGGTAGTAGCTCCACCCCTCCTGGCGGTCAGGAGATAGCACCCTTCTCCGCGAAGGACACGCCCCCTGAGGGGTAGTAGCTCCACCCCTCCGCCAGGACATAGTGTCCTTCTCCGCGGAGGACACGCCCCCTGAGGGGTAGCTCCACCCCTCCGCCAGGAGATAGTGCCCTTCTCCGCGAAGGACACGCCCCCTGAGGGGTAGCTCCACCCCTCCGCCAGGAGATAGCGCCCTTCTCCGCGGAGGACACGCCCCCTGAGGGGTAGCTCCACCCCTCCGCCAGGAGATAGCGCCCTTCTCCGCGGAGGACACGCCCCCTGAGGGGTAGTAGCTCCACCCCTCCGCCAGGAGATAGCGCCCTTCTCCGCGGAGGACACGCCCCCTGAGGGGTAGCTCCACCCCTCCACTGGGTCCCATCCCGCGCCGCCTCCAGCCCCAGCGCGGTCCAGCGCCAGGTGCGGCTCCCTGCTCCGGCCCCGCACGCGCCCACCTTGCAGGTGTAGACGAGCTGGTACTTCGCCGCCCTGGGCCTAGGCTCGGAGCTCCAGCGCCGCCAGCCGCAGTCCCGGGGCCGTCTTTTCCCCGCGGCCTCCGGGCGGGCTCCGAACCCCCACAGCCGCCTCAGGCCGGGCCCTCGGGGCCGCGCGCGGCTCACCAGCGACGACACGCGGCACACCGCCGCTCGCAACATCCCTCCCGCCGACCCTAAGCGCCCCGCCTCGCCCTCGCCCTCGCCCGGCGGCGCTGAAGCCGCGCCGCCGCCATCTTAGAAGCGGGCAGCGGCGGAAGCGGCCCCCGTGCGGGCGGCCGGGGCGCGCTCTGCTGCCCCCTGGCGGCGGGCGGTGCGCGCTGGCGGGCGCGGGGACGGGGGTGCGCGCGCGAGTAAGGCCATCATCAGACGCAGCGGTCGTTTATTTGGGAGCTGCACTAACACGCTCGTGCGTCTGCATTACTGGAAGGGAGGACACGCCGGTGCACGACCCAGTGCGCGTGCCGGTGCGGAAACGGGCGGCGTCCGCGCCGCGGCCGGGCGATCAGCTGCGGGGCCGGGGCCGGGCCGCTAGGAGCCCTCGGTGTCCGTGTTGTCGCTGCCCGTGGTGTTCTCCCAGTCCACCTCCCCCTGTCTCGAGGCGTGCTGCATCTTACGGAGCGCCCGCTTCCTGCGGGAGAGCCGAGGCGCAGTGTGCGCAGGTGCGCGCAGGTACGCACAGGTGCGCGCAGGTGTGCACAGGTGCGCGCAGGTGCCGGTCGGGGCCGCCCACACGCACCCGGCTCCCGGCCCGGCGCCCACGCAGGCCCACCTGCGGTAGTTCTCAAAGCTCTCTTTGAGGCGCCGCCGCTCCTTCTCGGGGGGCTCCCCGCCGCTCAGACGTGCGTCCTGCAGCAACCCGGAGGCTCAGGCTCTGGCCAGCGCCAGGGGCCCCGCCTCTGCCCCGACTGCGCGCCTGGGGCCCGGCCCGAGCACGCAGCACCCGCTCCGCGGGGGACAGGCTCGCCGCCGGCTGCGTCCTGCGCGCACCCCGGGAGGGGAGCGGGGGTCTGGGTCCCTCCTTTCGGATGACAAGACAGACCCAGCCGCAGCCCGCGTGGGCGGGGCTCCGGGCCAGGCTTCCTCTATTCCTTTGCTGCGGGGGACTCCGGGCAGTGGAGCTGTCCGTCGGCGCTGCGTGGCCCGCACAGAAGACAGGCTTCCCACGGCTGCCGCTGCCCAGCACTGCCCTGCTCTGGCCACCCCTCTGCCCACTGCCTTGTGTAAGGGAGGGGGTTCAGCTTCATGTTCCGAACACTGCACCCCAAGAGCCCCTGGACAGAGGCCCTTGTGTATCCCCACCCCCACCCCGGCGTCCAGGTGGAGGAATCCACCTCCCCACACCAGGGGCACCCCAAGGCTGCCTTACATTGGGGTTCAGTGAAAGCCGCTCCTTCTGCAGAGCCTCAAAGGGCGGCTCTGGGCTCTCTCTGTCAGCCGGGACACCTGGAAAGGAAGTTGTGCCTGTGGGTACTGCCCACCCACTAGGACCAAGCTTGGCAGGGCCAATACTCAGCCCCTCAGTCCTGGCCAGTCCTGCACCATCTGCTAGGTCCTCACTCGGACCCCACAAGGACTCCCAATGCACAGAGGAGGGCACTGGGGCTCACTCCTCTCTCCCAAGAGACCCTCTGGGGCTCCTCCCACCAGGATGGCCTGGCCCCTCCTCAGTGGGGGCTGGGGTACTGCAGCGGTTGGGAGCAGATTTCAGGCTGCTGGGACCCCTCCAAATGTGCCAGGACCAGGACGGGCCCCTAGGACTCTTGGATAGCAGGTGCTCTGAGGGGCTGGCTCCCCTAAACTGGCCATGGTGGGGGACTATGGACTCCGTTCTCAGGGACATCATAGTGGGCTCAGGTCTCTGCCTGGAGCTGACACCTTTCTCTTCCTCGGCCTCTGACCCTCAAGCCACGCTGGCTCCTTCGACAGGTGATGCCAACACCTGGTGGGGGCCCCTGGGCTGGCTGGGCCTGCCACCGTGTGGGTCCTGTGCCTGTCCCCCTGTGGGGCCTTGGTGGCCTCGAGCTCGGTCTCTGGGCCACAGCAGACCGCCCAGCCCACACTTCTCCATTTGATGCCCCTTCTTCCTCTTTTGCCCCCTTTAGGAGCAGGGGTCAGGCCTGACGCTGAGGAAGTCTTCTTTGGCTTCCCACGCAACCTCTGCGGTGGCCCCTTCCCCTCCCCGTCCTGGCCCAGCACTGGGCTCTTCTGGAACTCTGGCACCCACCGTCAGAGCGAGCCCCTCGCCCCGGTCCCCTCTGGGCCAGCTCCTGGCCACCCCCGTGCAGGCCTGTCTCCAGGCGGGCAGAGGGAGCCTGCCTGCTACCTGAGGCCCCCAGCTCCCTGTCACCCTTGGTAGCCCCTATTTCCCGTTCTGTCCCCGCTTCCCAGACAGGCACACCTGGGCGTTAGCTGACTGCCACCTCCACTGCTCCCTGCTTGGTGAGGGTGCAGTCCTGGGGCCGGAGCTGGGACACAGACCCTGCAGACCTGGCCCCGGGCTAATGGGACTCTCGTGTGCTTGCTGGGGGACTTCACGGGGTACTTCTCCCTCCCAGCCTCAGTGACCCCATCTGTAAAATGCAGTTGTGAAGACCACAGGGATAGGGCTGAGGGACCCATCCCCAGGCACCATGGGGCTTTGCGTGCCGAGGGTCAGGACTGGCATCGAGTGAGGGCAACAAGGAGGCCTCGGTGGCACCCGAGCTTCCTCCTCACCTTTGTCAGAGAGCTGGGCGTCCTCCTCCAGGTCCCGGGGGATGGAGAGCTTCCAAAGAGAGACGGGCAGCTGGTTAGGACGCTGCCCCTGTGGACCTGGATCTAACCCACTGTCCCCAACGCTGTCACCCTCTGCACAAGCTTCTCGGGGACCTCTGCTGCACAGCCAGGCCAGGGGCGCAGCAGGAAGGCCCCCACAAGGGCCTGCATGGGTGCTGCCGGGTCTGTCCTGCCCTGCGGGCACCAGCTGCTCTCCCTCTGCCCAGCTGAGTGTTGGGAGGAGAGGGGACGGCCCAGCTCACCAGAGCCGGTGGCAGGTGGCCAAACTTCTGGAACTCCCGAGAGAGGTGTGTGGGGCTGTGGTCCAGCAGAGGCTGTGGCTGGGAGCCCACCCGGGGGTCACACTCACCTCCTGGGAGTTCCGGGGTGAGCTGTCCTCCAGGTCGGAGCTCTGTGGTCACAGAAGAGGGGCCGGTCAGCAGGCTGTGGGGGAACTGAGCCGCCTCGGGAATGGGCTGCGGTGGGATGTGATGGAGGGTCCCAGGCCAGCTGTCCTCCAGGGAGGTTCCCCCTCCCCCTCACCACACCCAGAGCTGCCTGCTAGGTCCTGAGCTCCTCAAGGTGGGTTCCACTCCAGGGGGCTCAGGAAGGCCCAGGACCTCCCGGGGCCACCAGGGACAATGGCAGAGCCACGCAGGACTGAAGCCGTCCAGTAGTTCCTCCTCCAGGCTCTGGGGACCTGGCTGCTCCCGAGAGGCCACCCGTGTCCCGCTGCAACAGGGCCCCCAGGGAGGCGCACCAGGATGAGCATCTCCAGCTGCTGCCGCTTGAGCCGGCCCTCCGCGGCCAGCAGCTGGCCCTCGCGCTGGAACAGGAGAAGCTGCAGCTCGTCGGCCTTCTCGCTCAGCTCCCGCACCTGCTTGCGCAGCGTGTCCTTGTCCTGCAGGCCGCGGGCGCATTGTGTGTGCAGCTCCTCCCGCGTCGCGATGGCCTGCGGGAGACCCTGGGTGGGACCGGCACAGCCCTGCCCGCGCCCAGCCGCCCAGCCGGCCTCCTCCGCCTTGCCCAGGGGCGTGGTGTTGGGCTTGTAAATGTAATGAAGCCTCCTGGTGGGAAGTGTGGGCCGTTCAGGAAGGACAAAGATCTGCACACTCGCCCTGCGCTGTGGCTCAGTGGTTGAGCATCCACCCTGCACCAAGAGGTCGCCGGTTGAATTCCCGGTCAGGGCACGTGCCCAGGTTGTGGGCCCGATCCCCAGTGGAGGGCGTGCAGGAGTCAACCAATCCATGTTCTCTCTCATTGATGTTTCTATCTCTCTCCCTCTCCCTGCCTCTCTCTCTAAAACCAATAAAGGAAAAAGAAAAACGACGGATGCATCACACCGTCATGCCCACCCCCGTGGGACACCGAGTGTGAATGTACAACTGCACCACGGCCAGACCACATCTGAGGGCAGAACGCGTACCTACAGCCTGCAGCCACCGGCCAGGGGCAGCCATTGTCCACAGCGGCTGGTCCAGAAGGTCTGGCTGCCAGTCAGACGTGTAGGAGGACCACCCACACCCCTGGTGACAGTTGGTCCCCAACAGCCAAGGTTTGACTAATAACTGAGAACTGTCCGAAGTGTGTCCCTGCCTCCCACTGAGGACCAAGCAGATGGTCCCGCGCACTCACCGGAGGCCCAGCCCCGTCCTCCCCAGGCCCACAGCCCCCCTGACACGCATGGGCTGTCAGGGTGACTAGGCCTCCACTCCCCGCCTGCTTCTTCGAGACTCCGCAGGTGCAGCGAGGGGCCCTGCTCCCCGCAGTGCCTCCCAGTCCCCACCACGGTCGTCCCTGCCCTTGAGACCATCCGCATGCCTATCGCTCCCAGCACAGAGGTATCGAGAAGCAGAATTGCCGGGTTAAAAGGGATCTGCGGTTTAAGGCTCCTGGCATCGCCGGCCGCCCTCTGGATGTCGCTGGGGCTGACGGGGGAAGGGGGGCGGACAGCAAGGGGAGCGGCTTCGGCGCTGGGTGGCACGCTGCCCCATCCGCAACGGCAGCCCGCCGAGGCTCCCAGGGTTTGTAGGTTTTAAAAAGTCACTTGCAAAACCAGACAGATGGCTTCCGTCACAAACACGGAAACGATATGTACACTGAGAAAATCTGGAACGTCCAGTGGACGATCTCAGAGTGGACTTCCTGCCGCGGGCTGGCGGAGGCGGGAGGCGGTATCGATATCGTTACCGGTCACGGTTTTAAATGAGCACATGCTGCTTCGTCCTTTAAAAACCACTTGGACCACGCCCTCCCCTCACCCCACCCGTTGCTCTGCCAGCGACGTGGATGAGGGAGCCGCCCCTTGTGTACCCTTGCCCACCACAGGTGTTGGTTACCTGGTCCCGCTCGATGGCCACCTCCTCCATCTGCTGCAGGATGGCCTCGATGCGGTCCTTGTACATCTTAGAGTCCTTCCGCAGGGCTTGGCACTGCAGCTCAAACATCTCCTTCTCCTCCACGCACTGCGGGAGACACAGCCAGCCTCCACCACCCGCCGCCCGCATTCTGGAGGCTGGCGAGCCCCTCGGGCCCTGCCCGCCCTGGGCTTCCAGACTGGTGGCTGGCCCTGACCGTCCGGGGCAGAGCGGGCAAAGGGTGGGTGAGGAGTTGGCCCGTGTGCCTCCAGGAAGGGGACGTAGGGATGTGGAGCTGCGAGCGAATGCCCCGTTCCAGGCACCGCGTGCCCCCCCAGCCTGGCTCGGCCCCCAGGCCCGTGTCCGGCTGTCGCAGCAGCATACCCGGGCGCGCAGGGCCTCGGCCTGACGCAGGTCTTTGCGCAGGGCGAAGATGACAGTGGCCTGCTCCTGGTGTTCCCGCAGCGCCTGCTGCCAGTCTTCCTCCAGCACCTGGATGTAGGGGCTGCTCTGGTCCAGCTTCCCCTCCTGTGGGTGGCGCAGGGCACAGGGCGGCAGGGCAGCGGCAGAGCCGGGAGAGGCGCCCGCCCCGCCAGCCCCGGCTGCGCCCGCCCCAGCGGCCCCCACCTGCACGGAGGCCTCCAGCTCCTGCACCCGCGCCTGCAGCAGCGCCTTCTCCTGCTGCAGCTCCCACAGCAGGTCCTGGCTGGGCCGCTGCTCCATGGCGTGCCGCAGCTTCAGCGTGTGTTTGCGCTCCACCTTGCAGTCGTCCTCCGCCTTCATCAGGCTGTGCTTGAGCCTGTCGACCTGCAGGACGGCGCCGTCAGCCTGGCAGCCCTCCCCGGGCGGTGGCCCCGACGCCCCGGCGCCCCCCACGGGACCGGGGCACCTCCAGCTGCAGGTCGCGGTTCCGCATGAGTGCGGTGCCCTTCTCCTCACTCTGGCGGGCCAGGCGCATGGCCAGGTCATAGTTCTCGTCCTTGCAGCGCTTCAGCTCCCGGCTGCAGGCCTCACACTCCTCCTTGAGCCTCTGCACGCGCTCCTGGTGCTTGCGCAGCAGGCTGTCCTTGACCCGCAGCTCCTTGATGAAGTCGTCCTTGGAGCTCAGCAGGGCCGTGAGGTCCTGCACCTTCTTCTGCAGCTTCATGACCTCCGTCATCAGCAGCTGTGTGAGGCCCGACTCCCCGGAGGCATCTGCGGACATCCGGGCCAGTGTCAGCCGGTCCCTGCCAACCCTGGGCTCTGGACTTGCCCAATCGCTCCTGGGGACAATTCCTGGTCCCTGCTGCTCCCCACAGAGGAAATGGACTGCGATTCTGACTCAGCACCCCCAGGGCAGGGTGCAGCCAGGGGCCCGGCACCCATCCCCCTCTCTCCGATTTTGTTGGGATCTTGACCGGAAGCAACAGGACTGGACTCCCGGCCAGGAGGGCACTGCCTCGCCTTTGCCAGGACTAACAGGCCCCTGACCTCTTGGGGTCAGACGGTCTTCTGGGCAGGACAGGCTCTGGGCCACGAGTCGGCCTCTGCACCCTCACCTCCCAGCCGCTTCCCGAGGAACAGGATGGGAGCCAGGGCCAGACACGGTCCCGGTGTGAACCCTCCCCATGTCTCTCCCCATTTCATCCCCTGGGAGGCGAGACAGGAAGGGGCCCGCCAGCCCTGTGGCTATGCCCACCCGTGAGGTCTCCTGCCCCCCATCCTGTCCCCGTGACCCCAGGCCCCACAGCCGCATGCCCGGCCTCACCGATGATCATGGAGAAGACGCGGGCAGGCTCCTTGCCCGTGACCTTCTTGTAGAGCTGTGGGTAATAGAGCTCCAGGCTCTCCAGGAAGGCCACGTAGCCCTTGTGGCCCGTCCGCTGCAGGATGTCGAGGAGCAGGCCTGCAACAGAGGGGCCTGGCTGGGCCGGTGGTCGCCGCGGGAGGGGGTCTGGGCTGGCTGACAGCCCTGAAGGCCCGGACCCGGGCCAGCGTCCAGGTGTCGCCCGCCCACCTCTGGGCCCTCCCAGCGGCCTCAGCTGCCAGGGAAGCCCCAAGCGCCGAGTACACAGGTGCGGGGATGCCAGGGATTTCCCAAGCACATGTGGCCAGTGGGGGGCGTGCCAGCAGCAGCCACCGTGGGGCCGGCTGCCGGCCGCCGGGAAGAGGGGGCGCGGCACTGACCCACTTTCCGCTTGCGGATGACCAGGTTGGGGTCACTGAGCACCTGCTCCTCGTCATCGGGGTTCAGGACCTTGCACTGCCGCAGGTAGGGCGTGATGCGTGCGGGGTCGATGACCGAGATGAGCTTCACCCTGAAGCTCTCCAGGGCACTCCAGCACTCGTCCTCGTTCTCGTAGTCCGACATGGCGGGGGGCGGCGCAGTCACTGCGTGACCCCCACTGAGCAGTCAGTGCCAGGCAGGACCCAGGCCTCCACCGGGGCGGCCAGAGCTCTGGGCAGAGCCCCACGAGGCGGGGTCGGGAGAGGTGCGCAGCCTCAACCTGCGCTCCGTCTCTGCGACCAACGGAGGGGCCACAGTGCTGGTGACCTGCTCCCCATCAGCTCCGCGGTGGCCTCCGTAGCCTTCCTTGGGCCCTGCTCCACCCTTTAGCCGCCCTGGTGCTTCTCTCTCCCGGAGTCACCCAGGAAGTGTTGGGGGAGGTGTGGAGATGCTCCAGGAACAGGTGGAGTCTCAGAAACACTGTCCTCTGCACCAGGCCCTTTGGCCTTAGTCCTGCTCCCGGACACCCCAAGGGCCATGGAGCTGGAGCTGACAGGGACGGCTGCCCCAGCGTGGAGGGGAGCGGGCAGGAGGAGCTGTTCGTGCCGCGGCTGCCCACGGGAACCTCCTCCCTGGCATGTGGGGAAGGGAGGCTCCAGCCCCAGCCGGCGGGTGCCCAGCCGGGGCGTGCCCAGCGGGGCCAGAAGCACGTTGGTGAGTGACCCTCCCACCTGCATGGCCCCACGACTTCCTCATTCCCCGATCCTCGCGCTCACATCCCAGTCCAATCCTCCCTCCTTCCGCCAGCGGGTGATGCAAGTCACCCGGCGCTGCCCAGGGTGGCCGGCTCCGAGTGACACTGCTGTTTGGGCAGGGCCGCCTGCAGGGGAGCAGGGCGGGCACTCGGGGTGGGGCCGTGTGCGGTATCACCAGGGCCGGCCTGAAGTGTGGCTTTGGCGCTGGCCCCGGGTGCTCTGGTCCCAGGCACCCAGCCACCTCTGGGCTCCCCTCCCGCCTCGCAGAGGAGGCTGGCTCTGGGTCCCACTCTGGGACTGTCGTGTCAGCTCTCTGACTCCCTGCGCAGGGACACCCATCGCTTTCCCTTCTACAGCAGAAGGCCGAGGCGGGGGGCAGCGATGAGGCTGCTCCTCCGGCTGGGGGGGACAGAGACCTGGACCCAGCCACCTGAGGACTGAGGTAGAGCCTTCGGCCACGTGGGAAAGGCTGGTCCCAGCCCCGGGAGCTCGAGCACAGTCCTAGAGACCCGGGCGGGGGCAGGCCTGGGCTTTTGAGGAATTTCTCCGACCTCCTGCTGTGCTAGGCCACCCTCCCCCCCCCAGCCCAGCAACAGGCGAGGCAGAGGCGCCCAGGGAAACACAGCCACTGGGCGGATGGTCCTCAGACCAGTGCTGGGTCCCTGCCTTTCCAGCCGAAAGCCCGCAGGCCCTGCCGGACGCCCCGCCCAGCCAAACACACAGCTGCTGCCCGGGCTGCGAAGGGGGACAGGGCAGCAGCTGAGGCCACGGGTGCCCTCTGGGATCTTTCCTGCAGGACCTGCTCCTGCTCCAGAAGCCCCAGCAGAGCCCAGCATCTCCCCTGCCCCCTCAGGGCATGGGCCGGCCTACCTTGGGGTCCTGGAGGGGGCACCGTGCGTGCGGTTGGAGGCTGGTCAGCCAGCGCCGGAGCCACCGATTCAATGAGGGACAGGAGGTGCTGCTGGCAGCCAGGGAGGGGGGGTGGAGGCGGAGGGAGCCCTGAACTTCCTGAAGGGGGACAGTCCCAGGTGGCTGCCTTCTGATTGGCCCAGCCAGGGAGGCACAGGAGGCCAAGGAGAAAAGTGGAAGTTGCCTGGCTCAGCCGAGAGCTCCCCAAGCCGGGGCTGCCTCAGCACCCAGGCAGTGCGAGTCAGCAAAAGCTCCCCGGACGCTGGCGAGTCCCCCACTGTCCAGGCTGCTGTGGCCCACACCAGCTTCTGGAGGCTTTTCGGGCACGGGGAGCTCTGTGCCCGGCCCGTTCACCTTCAGCAGCCCCGTGGGGACCAGCATCCAGGCGGGGGCCAGGCCTACGTAGGGGGTGTGAGTGTGGGGAGCTGGGCCAGGGACCTGAGGGCATCAGCCAGACTCTGTCCCCTCCCCCACAGCAAGGCCAGCACAGGCGTCGACCCAGTAGGGACTGCAGGGTCCTGAGGGCAGGAACCAGGGAGGCCACTGCAGCCTGCAAGGCACGGGCCGGCCACCCTTGTCCCATGTCACCGCCAGACAACACCGCAGCCGGCACCCTCGTCCCCTTTCCACCAGGACCTGCGGGGCAGTGCCAGCTCTGGGGGCCACGGCACCAGTCCTCCCTGGGAAGCTCCAGGCCTCCGCTCACCAGGGCAGCCATACCGGTTGGACAGAGTTGCCGGCAAGCCCGTGGGTTGAGGTGGCAGCGGCAGGACAGGCAGGACAGGCAGCTGCCGCGCCCCCAGCTCCGCCTCCCCCGGGTGCTCCCTTCCTGAGGGTCCCTGAGCCTCGGGCGGCTGCTCGGCCTCCCGGCCCACCCACGACCGTCAGCTGTTTGGCTAAAACCTCGAGAGTCCTGGTACAACCAGGTGCTGCTGAGTCTTGGTGGCTGTGTGGCCCTCCCAGGGGACAGCAGGGACCCCATGTCATGCCAGAAGTGGGCAGTCAGGGGTTCCCACAGGAGTGGGTGGCCGCACTCTGACCCAATGGCTGGCCTGTGCAGGGCCCTCCATCACCCCGTCTCCCCACTGGTAACACAGGCTGACAGGGGCACCAAGTAATGACGCCGGGTTCTGGGGTACATCAGGGTCAAGCTAGGACTCAGGGACAGAAAATATCCGGACAATCCCTGCATATTTGGAAATTAAATACAAGCCTTTAAATAAGCCAGAGGCCAGCGGAAATCAAGGAAAACTAGGAATCAGTTGAAAGAGTACAGGTGCAAAGCGAACCCCACACGGGCAACAAGTGTCAGGTGGGCCTGGGCGAGGGTGCTGCATGCTGCCTGGGGGTGAGGGGCAGGGGCAGGGGTGCGATGTGCTGCCTGGGGGTGAGGGGCAGGGGCAGGGGTGCGATGTGCTGCCTGGGGGTGAGGGGCAGGGGCGGGGGTGCGATGTGCTGCCTGGGGGTGAGGGGCAGGGGCAGGGGTGCGATGTGCTGCCTGGGGGTGAGGGGCAGGGGCAGGGGGTGCGATGTGCTGCCTGGGGGTGAGGGGCAGGGGCAGGGTGCGATGTGCTGTCTGGGATGAGGAGGCGTGGAGTGGGGGAGCAGGGTGCTGTCTGGGGGTGAGGGGCAGGGGCAGAGGTGCAGCTTGCTGTCTGGGGATGAGGGGCAGGGGCGGGGGTGCGATGTGCTGCCTGGGGGTGAGGGGCAGGGGCAGAGGTGCAGCTTGCTGTCTGGGGATGAGGGGCAGGGGCGGGGGTGCGATGTGCTGCCTGGGGGTGAGGGGCAGGGGCAGGGGTGCGATGTGCTGCCTGGGGGTGAGGGGCAGGGGCAGGGGTGCGATGTGCTGCCTGGGGGTGAGGGGCAGGGGCGGGGGTGCGATGTGCTGCCTGGGGGTGAGGGGCAGGGGCGGGGGTGCGATGTGCTGTCTGGGGATGAGGAGGCGTGGAGTGGGGGAGCAGGGTGCTGTCTGGGGGTGAGGGGACGGGGGCAGAGGTGCAGCTTGCTGTCTGGGGATGAGGGGCAGGGGCGGGGGTGCGATGTGCTGTCTGGGGGTGAGGGGCAGGGGCGGGGGTGCTGTCTGGGGGTGAGGGGCAGGGGCGGGGGTGCGATGTGCTGTCTGGGGGTGAGGGGGCCTGGGGCGGGGGTGCTCTCTGGGGGTGAGGGGACGGGAGCAGGACATGGCTGGACCTGCTCATTCCATTTCTGTCGGACACTGTGGACAGTAAGTCAGCGAATCACAGTGAAGTGCCCATGAGGACGGAGTGTTGGGAACACGAGCCCGGGAGGTGCCAGCCGAACCCACACTGGGTCTTGGGGACGGAAGCCGCCGGGGTTTGGTCTCATGCTGGAGAAACAGCCGCATGAAAGGGAGGAGCACCCTGTGGGCCGTCTGGGCCGCCCGTGTGGTCTGGGCGGCAGGGGAAGTGGGCCCGGTCCTCAAGTTGGCACCGAGGGCTGGCAGGCTCTCGGCTTCTCTTCCCCACACCCTGCACGGCCCGGGTGCAGGGCCCGAGGGTTCCAGGGTCCAGCCCGCGGCTCCTAGCACGTCCAGGAGAGGCCCGATCCCCTGGCCGCTGCCCAGTATCTCAGGGACCACAAGAGCCCAGCTCACTTTCCAATAAAGAAACAGAACGTTTAGCTCTGGCCGGTGTGGCTCAGTGGTTAGACGTTGGCCTGTGGACCGAGGGGTTCAAGCCCCAGCCTCGGTCGAGCTCGCATGGGAGACAACCGACTGGTGTGTCTCCCGCATCGACGTTTCTCGCGCTCCCTCCCTCTCTTCTGCTCTCTCTAAAAATCAGTGGCAGCCCTGGCCGGCCTGGCTCAGAGGTTAGAGCGTCGGCCTGCGGTCCGGAGAGACCCGGGTTCGGTTCCCGCTAAGGGCATGTACCTTGGTTGCAGTTTGTCCCCGGCCCTGGTTGGGTCGTGCGGGTGGCAGCCACTCGATGTGTCCCTTTCACGTCGATGTTTCTCTCTCTCACTCCCCACTCTATCTGGGCAAAAAATGGAAAAATGTCCTCGGGTGATAAAAAAAAAAAAAAAAAAGCATTTAAAAATCAATGGAAAAACATCCACAGATGAGGATTAACAAAAAACAAAACAAAAAGAACATTTATTAATTCTTTCAAATACTCCCATTTGGACTTGGGGAGCGGCCAAGCCCCTGTGACAACATGGTCTCTGACGGCAAAGCCTCCCAGGACCCGGCTGCGTCCTGCGGGGCGGTGGTGGCTGGCTGGGTCCAGCCGGGTCCTGACTCCTGTGGGCGGCGGCAGTGGGCTCAGGGCCGGGCAGTCCTGGAACCAGAACACCGGGTGGTGGGCGCCTGACCCCTGCCAGAGCCCACGGCGGGGGTGGGAGCTGTGCCTGGGGGCAGGGTCCCAGAGGGCGGCCCTGAGCCGGGGTGGGCTGCAGTGCCGTCTCGTCTCCGTGGTGTGCGCCCCTCCCTGGCCCACGCTGCCTCGGGGACCACGTGTCCTCCCCCACTCGGGTCTGTCTCACGATCTCAACCAAAGGTCGTGTGCCTGCCTGCATGGGCTCATGTTCACGGGAAGACGGCACCGACAGACTGTCGGGCAGGGGAAGGTGCCTCAGGACAGACGGACACTGAGTCAGGAATGATCAGGGAAGGTCTCTGCAGGACAGAGGGACAGCACGAAGGGCCTGGACGCCGGGGTGTGCTGAGTCTGCTGGCCCCCCGCCCAGGACTCTCCAGACTGGACCCACCTGCCCACCGCCAGCCCCTCACCTGCTCACAGTAGCCTCCTGCGCTTCCGGGGGTGCCGGCCATGTCGGGTCCTGAGCACGTCGAAGTCATCGGAATCATCGGGGGAGGTGGGGGCTCCCTGCACAAAATCCAGGCAGGGGGACAAGAGTCACCATCCAGCCAGGATGGATGGGATGGGGCCGGGGGAGCTGTGGATACGCCCCAACCCTGGGGCAGGCCACCCTTAGACATGCCGAGCCCCAGCAACAGAAACACTGGGCTCGGTGACACCACTACACGGAGGGGCCACGGCAGGCCAGGCATGGAGGACGCCGCCCTACCTGGGGCCACACGCAGGCTCTGGTTTTCGGCTGACCCCTGCCTCACCTGGGGGTTCCAACCCGCTCTGAACCCCCGGTGCCAGCCTTGGGTTCTGGTTCCCCGAGCCGGGCCAGCAGGACCATGTCTGAGGACCATGTGGAGGGTGTGGGGAGGCTGCGTACACAGCAGGGCAGGAGGCCTTTTCCCCTCCACAGCTCGGCAGCCCTGAGACCCCAAGAAGGTGGCACAGCCTCAGCCACAAACCCTGCCTCCCAGTGTCCATCAGCCTCGAGCCCAGCTCCGCGGCCACAGCTGCCCAGGCAGGGAAGGGGAGGGGAGGGCTGCCATGCACCCGGACAACCTCCCTGACTTGGCACCAAGTGTCTGAGCTGGCCTCGTGGGGACTCCCGGTGCCCACAGCCACGGGGGACACAGGGACATCCCCTGCACGTGCCCAGCGGGTTTCTCGTTGGGAAACGGGACGAGGGTTTGCCCCACGGCTCAGAAAGCCCCGAGAGGCTGGCGCCACAGCCAACACCAGGCGGGGTCTTGGTGTCCACAGACATGCGGGGCAGATGTGGGGGTGGGGGGGCAGGAAGCCCAGCCCATCTTCCCTCACACATGGCCGTGGGCCGAGGGTCCCCCACGTTAGCAGTGAGGTTCCTTCCTCCCGCAGCGCCACAGTGGCTGGAGGGGAGGTGCCTTCCGCACACGGTCTCCACGCAGCGGGCAGACTGCAGCCCGCTTCCTCCTCGGGGCCAGGCCGCAGCCTCTGGCTTGACTGCCACCTGCCCTCCCCCCGCCCCCGCCCAGCAGGGGCACAGTGAGGGGCGCAGGCGCTGAGTCCACGACCACCCACCTGAGCGGGGGCTGTGGCCGCCAGCCCTGCCCGGGGACTGCCCGGCGCCCAGCAGCCCAGCGCCCTGTCTCTGTCGGAGCGCTCCAGCCCCTCCAGGCCGTCCTCGCTCTCGGGGTCGTCCTCCAGGGCCGACAAGGTGGTGCGGGCACCACGAGGGGACAGGGTGGCCAGGAGCGCGGGGAGGGTGAAGGTGGCCAGGAAGCGGGCCTTGAGCAGCAGGTAGGCCGGGCTGTACTGCAGCTGCCTGCGCACCAGCCCCAGCGAGGCCGGCAGGGCCCCCGCCGCCCCGTTGGGCACCAGGGAGGCGGCTCTGTGCTCCAAGGTCTTCTTGTGCAGCAGGAGGTTGGACAGTGCCCGAAGGCTGCACAGGGTGGGGGGCTGGTAGGGCAGCCTGCTGGCTAGTGGGGGCACACACACCCCTCGCTGCCCCTTCAGCCACTCCCGCACGGCCGTCTCGCTCTCCTGAGAGAGCAGGCCTAGGTCCAGGGCTCGCTTCTCAGGCCCCAGCTGGGGTGGGGGCGGCCGCTCCGACTCCACGGGCACCCTGGTCTCCCCCAACTCGGAGGGGAGCGCACAGTGCGGAGGCGGCGGGCTGGGCCGGGGGCACTCTGCTTCAGGGTGCTCAGCCGGGACTGCAGCCTGGGAGGCCATCTGCCCAGCCACTTTCGCAGGGATCTGGGATGGCGGGGGCGTCGGGAGGGTCTCGAGGTCTGTCCTGGGGGGAGGGCCTGATGCTGGGTCCCTGCTGGCTGGGCCCTGGCTTGCTGGAGCCTCAGTCAAGGGCGACAGAGTCACTGACAGCCCTCCGGGGCCTGATGCTGGGTCCCTGCTGGCTGGGCCCTGACTTGCTGGAGCCTCAGTCAAGGGCGACAGAGTCCCCGACAGCCCTCCGGGGCCTGATGCTGGGTCCCTGCTGGCTGGGCCCTGGCTTGCTGGAGCCTCAGTCAAGGGCGACAGAGTCACCGACAGCCCTCCGGGGCCCGGGGGCCCTGCGGGTCTGGGAAGGCCCACCACAGCCGGCATCGGCACCGAGAGCAGCCCCTGGGCGGTGAGCACCCAGGCGACAGGCAGAGGGGTGCTGGCTGTGGTGTGCAGTCCACCCCTGGGGGTGCCCAGAGCTGGCGCCAGGCCGAGGGGCTGGACGGGCAGCTGAGTGGGGCTGGGGGCTGCAGGGAGACCGGGAGGTGCCTCGGGGAGGCCCTGCTTCCGGGACGTGGCGGGGGCCGGAGCCGGTCCCAGGCTGTCCAGAGGGCAGCTCGCAGGCACCTGGCTGGGGCCCGGATCGGGGGCCCCGGGGGCAGCTGGGGCCCTCACGGCCTCCATGGAGACGGGAGCCGAGGCTCCGGCGTGCAAGGCAGGGGGCTCCCTGTCCGTGGCTGCGACCAGGGAGCCTGAAGCACTTGGGCTGGCCACGGCGGGGGCCCCAGGCCCAGAGAGAGCCGACTCTGAGACGGCCGGCCCAGTGGTGGGGGGGCCCGGGGAGGCCAGCGGGAGAGGGGCCCGGAGGACCGCGGGCGAGGAGACCAGCAGCTGGGCCGGGAGAACCAGGGGGCCCGGCGCGGCCTTCCTGGCTCGGGCCTCCTGCAGCCGCTTCTCCCGAAGCAGCTCGGACACGGTCTTGGGCTTGGGCCGGGGTCGGCATGGAGCCAGCGGGGGCGCCGGGGGGTCCCGGCAGGTCTGCAGCCCCCGGCCCCCCCTGCGGCTGGCGCTGTCCTTTGTCGCCTCTGCGGCTGGCACGTCGCTCGGGAGGCCGCCTGAGGAGGACGGACACACCAGTGAGCCCGGCGCCTGTCGGGCGGCCTCTGGAGCATCTTCAAACCACGGCCCGCCCCGCTGGCCTTGCCTCTCAGGACCCAGATCCACCCATCCTGCTGGTGGGGGGACGTGTGGCCGCCGGGGAGCTCCCGTCCAGGTCCGTGCTGGGCGCCCCCGCTGTGCCCGCCCCAAGCCACCAGGCTCTCGTCCCGCTGCTGGGCCCCAAACAAAACCCTCATCGGGGGCCGTGCCCACGCTGCTCCCAGCCCGGGGCGGGTCTGGCTCTCCCCGTTAGACAAAGCCACCGAGAGAAAGCGGGAAGCAGTACCTGGGGTGTTCTGAGCACTTGAGGGCACCTGGAAAAGAAGGGAGAGTCAGCACCTCAGGGAGTCCACAGGGGCCTGGACCCCTTTTCACCACGACCAAGACCACGGCTCACCTGCCGCCCATAGTGGGACCACCCTGCAGGCAATGGCCCGGCCCGCAGAGCCCTCCTGGTCCCTTAGCCCCGCCCCCGGCCTCCTTCCGATGCAGCCCCCCCACAGACACCCTGGGAGAGCTCACTGGGCTGCCTCTGGGCTGGTCTACACAGAAAGGCAGGGCCGGGCTGTTTGGGCAGGAGGCACAGTGGCTCCGGGGCCTGGACAGGCACCACGGGCCACATTTGACACTCAGGTCATTTTGTGGTCTCCTCCCGTGGTGACGGGGCTCAGGACACAGCCTCTCGCTGACAGACCCCATGGGCTCGGCCACCGGCCAGCACCCACACCAGCAGGGCAGCCTCGGAACAGCAGCAGGACACCGTGCGAGGCTCACCCTGGACTTGTCTGACGTCTCGGGCTCCAAGCCCTCCCCTCACGGGGAGACGAGCAGACCCTCCCTGAGCTCAACCCCCATGGCCCCCAGACACCTGTCCTGGAAGGAGCTGGCGTCCTTACTTCCTGGCTGGGCCAACGGCCCCTGCACCCCGGGTGGCCTGGGGGGTGCAGGAAGGGCGCAGCAGCCAGGTGAGCCCAGGCCTGGCTCTCACCCGCACTCCTCACCTGAGCACCGGCCGGGGGCGGGGTGGGCAGCTGGGCCTTCCTCTCTCCAACAACCTCCATGCAGCCGGCGGTGTCGATCTGGAGCAGCTGGAGACGAGTGACACACGTGTGGCAACAAGCGACACCCGACAGGAGGTGCCCCAGGGGGACTCAGGCCAGCCCTGACCACAGCGCATCTTGGGAGCGGGTCTGAGGCCCCAGAGGCACTGACCGCAGCCCAGTGCACACCAGGCTGCTCACTGCCGCCCCCCGCCCTGGCCCAGGCCCCCGGCTGCCCCCCGCCCTGGCCCAGGCCCCAGCTGCCCCCCGCCCTGACCCAGGCCCCCGGCTGCCCCCCACCCTGACCCAGGCTGCTCAATGCCGCCCCCCGCCCTGGCCCAGGCCCCAGCTGCCCCCCGCCCTGACCCAGGCCCCCGGCTGCCCCCCACCCTGATCCAGGCTGCTCAGTGCCGCCCCCCGCCCTGGCCCAGGCCCTGGCTGCCAGGAGGCACCTCCCCGTGCCCCTCCAGGAGCAGGTTCAGGGGACAGCGGCAGGCACGCTGCCCCAGAGCTGCTGGCCACCGAGGCTGTTCCCACTGACCCACAGCTTGGAAACGCTGTGCCCCAAGCGCCTCCACCGCGAACTCCCGCACCCCAGACAGGGAGCTCCACGTGGGCTCACCTGGATAAAGAGGGTGAACACGGGGGTGCTGGCCAGGCGGGCATCCTGCAGCTGTGCCCTGATGCTGTCGGCTGGGGAAAGAGGGCACCTGTGCAAAGTGGCCCCGAGAGCCCCGGAGCCTGGGTGCCAGGCAGGGAGCCCCGAAGAACCCCAAATCCAGCTGGCACCACGCTCAACCCAGGGGCCAGGCCAGAGGGCAGGCTGGCCCTGACCGGTGCTCAGCTCGGCCTTTGAGGACAGGCCCCCCGAGAGCGCATGTCAACAGGCACCTTGATCTTCAGACAACCCACCCTGCTCAGCACCCAGGCCACTTCCCGGACCGACCACCGTGCTATGCAGGTGACAGGCTGAGCCCCTCGCCCCCCACGCAGGGTGCCCTTCTAGCACGAGCCTGCCGGTCACCCCGCCCTCCCCGGCCCCCAGGGCAGTACCTCGCGTGTGCACCACGGTGGGCCTCTGGGGGGTGCAGGGCAGGGTGATGTCGCCCACCCACGGGCTCACGGCCATCAGTAGCCGGCGCTCAAGGAGCCTCCCCTGCAGAGCATGTCCCCGGTGCCGCCGCCGCTCAGGGGGCCTGGCTGCGACGCTGCCACTGGGGGTGGTGCCCCCGGGCGAGCCGGGCGGGCGCGGCGGCTTCAGCTTTTCCCTCTGTGGAGGAAGGTGCCCGTCACTGCCCTCGCCTCCGGGGTGCCAGGGGGAGGGAGCCGGGGTCAGGGTGGGATGGGGTGCCCGGGGCGGGTGTGCACGCCCGCAGGGTGGGGGCTCGGGGGCGGGTGGACACAGGCAGGCCCTTACTAGTGCCCGACAGCGGGTAGCGGTGTTGGTCCTGAGCACCCGGAGCACGGTCTCCACAGGCACCTTCAGCAGACGCCTCCCACTCTGACAGACAGAGAGCAAGGCTGGAGGGCACGGAGCCTGGCAGCAGGGCTGACGCACACCAGACCCACAGCCGGCCCCGCCTTGGAGACACGTGCCCTGAACGGCAGCCTCCGGGGCCTCCCGGGGCGGCACACGCGGGCCGGCGGCCTCAGTGAGGAAGGCTGCTTCCTGGGCCCCATCCTCACACGGGCCAGAAGCTGATGTCCTCAGGCAAGGACGTCAGGCCAGCCACCGCCCTGAGGTTCAGCCTTGGTGACGGCCAAACAGCGGCACCCAATCCCCCTAGTCCTGGGCACACCAGGGCCACGCCCACCTTGTCTGCTGGCCCCTCGGAGCTCGTGGGATCAGAGTCCGCGCAGCGTAGGTCCCCGACATCCGTCAGGCTGGCGCTGTGGGTCCCGGAGGCGGCCTGTGCCCAGCCCACTTTCTCCGCTCCCTTGCTGCCACCTTGAGCCACATCGGAGGCCTTGGAAGGGCCGGGCGAGGCAGCTCCTGCTGCCCTCAGGGCGTGGGCACTCTGCCTGGCAGGAACCCACAGGTCCATGTCCGGCACGGGGTGCTGTGCCGACGGTAGTGCCCGGCCACCCTCCCGGGCATCTGGGGCGTCCGCCGGCTCCGAGTCCTCGCTGCTGCTGTCCCGGCTGCTGCTGTCCCGGCTGCTGCTGTCCCCGCTGCTGCTGTCCCCGCTGCTGGAGCTCCACCGCACACTGCGCAGGCGCCGCCGCCGCCTTCGGCCCCGACCCTGCCTCTGTGCGGGGAAAAGGCTGCTGAGGCTCAGCTTCCCGGGCGGGGCTCCGCAGCCAGGGACACGGGCAGGGCAAGGACGTGCGTGCAGGGAGCCCGTCCTCCCGGACCAGACGCCAGGGCCCCGGAGCTGAGCCCTCTGCCCACGGCGCCCTCGGCCTGCCCTGTAGCACGGGCTCGGCGGAGCTCACCCTGACCATGACCTTCCACTTGCTCAGACACTGGGAGCCCGTCCGGTGCGGGAGTTCGGAGGCTATTCTCTCCCAGTGACCTGCAACGCAAAGCGACAGGGCAGCTGCTCCACCGCCCGAGGACGCAGGCTCCTCGGCCGGAGGCCCCTCGGAGAAGTGCCGACCCCGTGGAGGACGCGGGTCCTCCCTCAGCGCGGGCTCCTCGGCCGGGAGGCCCCTCGGAGAAGTGCCGACCCCGTGGAGGACGCGGGTCCTCCCTCAGCGCGGGCTCCTCGGCCGGGAGGCCCCTCGGAGAAGTGCTGTCCCCCGTGGAGGACGCGGGTCCTCCCTCAGCGCGGGCTCCTTGGCCGGAGGCCCCTCGGAGAAGTGCCGACCCCGTGGAGGACGCGGGTCCTCCCTCAGCGCGGGCTCCTCGGCCGGGAGGCCCCTCGGAGAAGTGCTGTCCCCCGTGGAGGACGCGGGTCCTCCCTCAGCGCGGGCTCCTCGGCCGGGAGGCCCCTCGGAGAAGTGCTGTCCCCCGTGGAGGACGCGGGTCCTCCCTCAGCGCGGGCTCCTCGGCTGGGAGGCCCCTCGGAGAAGTGCCGCCCCCTGTGGAGGCCGCGGGTCCTCCCTCAGCGCGGGCTCCTCGGCCGGGAGGCCCCTCGGAGAAGTGCCGACCCCGTGGAGGACGCGGGTCCTCCCTCAGCGCGGGCTCCTCGGCCGGAGGCCCCTCGGAGAAGTGCTGTCCCCCGCGGAGGTCGCGGGTCCTCCCTCAGTGCGGGCTCCTCGGCCGGAGGCCCCTCGAAGTGCTGTCCCCCGTGGAGGACGCGGGTCCTCCCTCAGCGCGGGCTCCTCGGCCGGAGGCCCCTCGGAGAAGTGCTGTCCCCCGTGGAGGTCGCGGGTCCTCCCTCAGTGCGGGCTCCTCGGCCGGAGGCCCCTCGGAGAAGTGCTGTCCCCGTGGAGGACGCGGGTCCTCCCTCAGCGCGGGCTCCCGCTCACCCTCCACTGCCCCCGCGCTGAGGCCTCACCGGCAAGTAACAAACAGCTGCTTGTCCGCTGGTATGCTCAGTGGTTAGAGCACCAGCCCTTGGACCAGAGTTGTGGGTTAGATTCCGGCCAAGAGCACGTACCTTGGTTGTGGCTCAGTCCCCGGACCTGACGGGGTCATGTGGGAGGCAGCAGTCGATGTGTCTCTCTCTCCCTCCCTCCCTCCCTCCCAGTCTATCTGAAGATACATGGTGAGGATTTAAAAAAAGCTGACTCGGTGTGAGAACCGGCCCTTCCTAGAAAAGCCCCCTGGGAGCACCCGGCGGGGGGCCCGCCACCTCGGTTCCTTCTGCTCCCCTCGGCTTCTCCACGTTCTCTGCGGATCGCACGCGAGTTCGTGTGATGGGACGACCGGCGCCGCCCGCCGGGGACGCCCCCTGCTGAGTGAGAGGCCCAGGGGCCGAAGAGCAGAGCGCGGCCAGCCCCCCGCGGCTGTGCCCAGAGCTTACCGACACCGTGCTTCTCAATCAGCTCGATCAACTTCTCCTCCTCCTTGGGGTTCCACCGCCCCTTCTTCAGGCTGCAGTGCAGCCTCCTGAGGTAGCTGGAAACGACACGGCAACAAGGGCCGTCTCATGCTGGGTGGCCTCCCCCTTGGCACCGGGACCCCAGGCAACCCCCAAAATACAGGCAAACTGGACTTGATCAAAACTAAAAACTTGTGCCGGCTTGTGTGGCTCAGCAGACTGCACGCTGTCCCATGGACTGAGGAGTCCCGGTGGGATTCCCCCTCAGGGCACGAGCCCCAGTGGGGGGCGTGCAGGAGGCAGCCGATCGATGTCTCTCTCACACTGATGCTTCTCTCCCTCCCTCCCTCCCTCCCGCTCTATCTGAAGATAAATAGAAAGACATGTCCTCGGGTGAGGATTGGACAAAAAAAAACATTAAAAACTCGTGTGCTTCAACCGTTACTCACAAACCATACGCCTAAAAGGGGACTTGCACCTGGAATTTACCAAGAACCCTGGGCCGTGAACACAAACATAAAACTCGATGCAAAAGTGGGTAAAAGACACAAACAGACGTCTCCCTGGAGGAGACAAGCTCGGAGGAGCACACGGGCAGCATCGGGGAAACGTCCCCACACCCGCGGGACGCGCCAGCCCGAGGTGGCCAATCAGAGCAGCGGCAAGTGCCGGCCAGGCCGTGGGAGACTGGAATCCTGAGCACGCCGAGGGGCGGCCGCCACGGAGAGCAGTCTGGGGGTCCCCAGAAGTTACATCAGCACCACCATGTGACCCGCAGCCACACTCCTGGGTGTCAGAAACGAGGACACCGTGCACGACCTGCCCACAAAGCCCACGCCGCCCAGGCTCAGCACACGGCAGGTCGCTGCAGAGCCACCTTCCCCGCCTCCTACCGGGCACGGGCACGGGCGTTCTGGTCCCGGTGCCGTGACCCACACTGCTGAGGTCATGGTGTGCGGACAAGGGCGAGCCCCTGCGCGCGCCCCTTTGGGTGTGCAATGGCATCTGTGGCCACCTGGCAGTCGTGGGACTTGCGAGGGGCCCACGCTGTCCCGCACGGCAGCGGCTCCGCTGCCCTCCCACCGGCGCACAGGGCCCCGGTTTCGCCCTGTCCGTGTGCGTGAGGTGGGACTCACTGTGGGTGGACTCGCGCTTCTGACAAGACTAGTGACGTGAGCATCTTTTCACGTTTAATCTGTGGAGGAAGGTCTACTTAGGTCCTTAGCCCATTTCTTGTTTTTTTTTGTTAATCCTTACCCGAGGATATTTTTCCGTTGATTTTTAGATAGAGTGGAGGGGGCGGGGGGCAGAGGGAGAAAGAGAGAAAAACATCGATGTGAGAGAAACACATCGATTGGTTGCCTCCCGTACGACCTCGACCAGGCCGGGGATCGAGCCTGCAGCCCAGGTATGTGCCCTTGACGGGAATCAAACCCGAGGCCCTTCGGTTAACGCTCTAACTGCCGAGCCAAACCAGCCAGGGCCTCTGCACGTTTTGGAATTGCTTGTTTTCTTTGTTGGGGATCAGGGTTCATTGCTGAGGATCAGCAGGCCCTAGAGATGCTGGCTGTGCACGGCTCAGCGAGCACGCTGGGCACGGAGCTCATGCCCGGAAAGGCGAGCTGTGTGCTTGTGAGCTGCACCTCAACAACCCGTCTGATGTGCGAGCAAGCCCAGGACAGGAGGGGCTGCAGCCAAGCTGAATCTGAGTAAGGTTCAGTGTGGAAAACCCAGCAACCAGCTTCCCGACGGGCCCGGACCCCTGCATGTGATCACCCAGCCCCGCCTCCTCGCCCACCCAGGCCCCGGACCCCAAGCTGCCCCTGCATGTGATCACCCAGCCCCGCCTCCTCGCCCACCCAGGCCCCGGACCCCAAGCTGCCCCTGCATGTGATCACCCAGCCCCGCCTCCTCGCCCACCCAGTCCTGACTGCCTGGTGCATCTGACTCACCGATCTCGGCACTGGGCATCGCTCCGACCTGGCACCTCTTCCCGGATTTTAAACCAATCCTGCTCCCCGTACTTGGCAACCGCCTGAAGCAACTTCTGCAGGAAGGGACACAGACGGATAACCTCTGCGGCCGTCACAACCTCCCTGCCCTCAACTCCGTTCCAGTAAGTGATGCCAGGGGCCCAGCGGCCACTCAAGGAGCCCAGGTGCACTTCCCAGGAGGTGGTCCGCCCCAGGTGCCCCGCACCTACCGCATCCTCCTCTGGGGTCCAGAGGCCCTTTCTGAGGCTGGGGTCCAAGCTCTTGGTCCACCGGTAGGTGAGCTGCATGGAGTCTCTCCCTTCCATGTAGTAGACGACTGGGGGCAGAGGGGACGCATGGGCCCAGCACCTCCCGGGCCCCCCAGGACCCCTGGGCCGACGGCCCTCCCTGCTCCCCCAGCCCCCCCTGCCACCCTGCCCCCGCAGGCCCCGCGGGCCGAGACGCACTTCTGCGGTAGGGGATGTGGCGGCCCACGCGCATCTCCTGCACCAGCTGGGTGAGCATGTGGTCCTCCTCCTCCGTCCACTCCCTGCGCCTCAGGGCCTTGCTGTGCTGCTGGTACTTCTGCAGACACTGGAAGGCGCTGCGGCTGGTCTTCCGGGACAGAACCAGAGTGCGGCTGTCAGTGGAGCCCCCGTGTGCAGGTGGGCGCCCGGCCGCAGCGGGGCTGGAGGCGCCAGGCGGGCCCCGTGCTCCTGGGCAACAGTGGTCTGTCTGGTCTACTTCCTCCCACCAGACCAAGACAGGCCTACGAGGGCGCCCGCGATGGAAGCAGACACTTTTGGGGGGAAAAGACACTTCACACGACACCCAAGCCGCACGCTGACACTCAGAGCTGCAGCCCCGGGCCAGCAGCACGCGTCTCTCAGCTCGGCGGCGTGCTCGGCGCCCCACCTTGCGCGCTAGGGTCCCCAGGGTCTCTGCAGCCAGCTCGGGGCGGCGAAGAGGGCATGTGTGTGGGACCTGTGCAGTCCGCTCATCGAGGGTGGTGGCACCTTCTAACACACAACACTGAAAGGTGACCCGGGAAAGAAAGAACCGACAAGCGGACTTCACTAGAATCAACAACTTCTGCTTGGTGAACGACAACCTCAAGAGAATTAGAAGACAGTCCACAGACTGAGGGAAGATATTTGCAAAAGACACATCTGATAAAGGACTATCATCCAAAAGACACAACCTTAAAACTCAACAATAAAAAACAACCGGATTGGAAGATGATCGAAGACCTTCAGACACCTCCTGAGACAAGATGTGCGGGTGGCAAACGCGTGTAAGAGAAGCCCCACGTCACGTCGCAAAGGAAAGAAAGTGAAAACAAGACACTGCTGCCCACCCCTCAGAGCGGCAGACCCCGGGCAGGGCAACGCGGCGGCTGGAGGACAGGGAGCAGCGGGGACGCTCGCCCCCTGCTGGTGGGGCTGCGGGCGGTGCAGCCGCTTCCGAAGGCAGGTTCTCCGGTTCTTACAAACCAAACCTCTAACCACACGACCCAGCGATGGTGCTCTTTGGTGTTTTACCCAGAGGAGCTGAGCACCTCGTCCACACAGACACCTTCACTCGGGTGTGCACAGCAGCCTTGCTCAGAATCGCCCAACACCTGGGAGCCACCAAGACGTCCGTCCGTAGGGGACGGAGGACAGACCAGAACATCACTCGGCAGTAGAGACCTGGGCCGAGGCCGTGCAGACAGGGGAGCCTCACCTGCCTGTGACTCTGAGAACCAGACTGCCGAGGCCTCACACTGTGACTGCAGCTCCGTCTGTCTGGAGGAGGACAGACTGGAGACAGCGGAACGACGGGGGACTGGGGGGGGGGGCACAGGATTTTCAGGCAGTGAAGCTGCTCTGTGTGACGCTGTGACAGTGGACACGTGTCACCCCACGTCTGTCCCCACCCACAGAACACCCCACCAAGAGTGACCCCGATGGCTGTGGGCTGGGGTGAAGGTGAGGTGCAGTGTGGGTCCATCCTTGGTTTAAAATTTAAAAGGGGGTAGAGAAATCTCCCTCCCTCCCTTCCTCTCATTCTGCTGTGCACCTAAAACTGCTCTGAAGAAAAAAAGTTCTTCAAACTAAAGAACAACACAAATTCCAAGAAACCTACCTCCTTAGAAACAAGGAAACACATTCCTACGTAAGCTAAGATCTAAAGAGGCAATGAATCTGAAGTTAGAAATTTATGAAAAGGACATTTCCCGCCAAGCTGTTGTCAAAAAGGTGGCCTTGCCCTGGCCGGTTTGGCTCAGCAGTTAGAGCGTCGGCCTGCAGTCCAGAGAGACCCGGGTTCGGTTCCCGCTAAGGGCATGTACCTCGGTTGCAGTTTGTCCCGGCCCTGGTGGGGTCATGTGGGAGGCAGCCACTCGATGTGTCCCTTTCACGTGGATGTTTCTCTCTCCCCCCCCCCCACCTCCATCTGAACAAAATATGGAAGAATGTCCTCGGATGAGGACTAAAAGAAAAAACAAAAGGTGGCCTTAAATGCCTTTATTATCAAAGACAGTGAAGGTTAGTGTTTACCTTAGAAAATAAGAACAAAAGAACCACAAAGGAACGAGAGAAAGTGTTCTAAAGCACCCCAAAATACACTCCTCTGAGCCTGACGGGGCAGAGAAAGCGGGACAGGAAAGGAGGCGCCGGAAAGACGACGGCTGGTCTACGGGGCGTGTGGAAGGCAAGTGCACTCCCCGAGGGGCTGCGGCTCCGAGAGACGTGGAGGGTCACCCTGCCCGAGGCCTGCACCCTAGAACGCTGTCAGGCAAGATTTCGAAGGTGCCAAGTGATGAGGCCTGGCTGTGCTGTGACCCATAGCTCATGAAGACCCCAAACCGGGTGGCTCCCCACCGGCAGAACCCACACCCCTGGGGTCTGAGGCCCGGTCCTTACCCCCAACTCCTCGGCAATGTCCTGCCACTGCAGGTGGCCGTGCCTGGCCGCAATGGCCTGTAGCTGGTCCACCTCCTGCTTGGTCCACTCCTGCTTATTGATGCTGGGGTGTTCCCAGTTCTGCCAGAACTTCCGGATCTCCTCTGCGCTGCGGCCACCTTCAAACTGCAGAGAGACCCAGCCTGTGCCATCGGGAACAGTGGCAGGGGGTACACCAGGGGGCGCTCTGGGCGCAGGGCCAGTGCAGACACGCAGACGTGCTCCAGATGGGAAGCCAGCCTGGTGGCGCAGTGCAGGGCTGGTGGCCAGAGCGCACGGACTTACGTTGATGTTGGAAATCTTCGCCCAGTCATGGCTGTCCAGCCGGCTCCCCAGCAAGGCCTCCTCGGGGAGCTGACTTCAGGGGCAAGGGAAGCGGGTCAGGCAGGCCCCGCCGCCCTGGGCCCCCGCCGCCCCACCACGCTGCCCCCCCACCCTGGCCCCGCCGCCCCGCCACCCCGCCCCCGCCGCCCCGCCCCGCTGCCCGGCGGCCCGGCTCACTTGATCTCCCGGATCTCCTTCTCAGCCTCGCCGGTCTGCTTCTCCAGGACCTGCCTCTCCGCCTCACTCGCGACCTTGCTCTTCTTCTGGTGCAGGTACTCGAGCCTGTTGGCAGGGCAGGCACTGGGTCACCTGTGGGGGCTCTGAGGCCAGCTGGGCCTTCCGGCAGCACCCCGCACAGGGCAGGTTCCTCCCACGGCACCGCGGCAGGGGACACTGACTGGGAGCCTGGCTCAGACTGTGACCCGCAGACTATTTAACCGCCCGAGCTGCCTTGGCTTCCTCGCCCACAGAGAACGCGGGGACACCTCCTGGCCGTTACAGCGGGCACGTCGGCAGCTAGGACAGCAGTGTGTTTGCTGATGCAGCGGGGTGACTGTGGCCACCCCATGTCGCGGAGCCCGGCGTGCCGGCACCCAGGAGGCGGGCCGCAGATGTCCTGACCCTCCTGCCGGTGCCCAGGCTGCAGGCAAGTCCTGAAGCCCGCACTTGTCCACTTCCAGGACAGTCCAGAGAGAAAGCCTGCTGCTCCCGCAGCCCAGGAAGGGACCTGACAGTCACCACAGATAACCCTGACCCCAACGTAAGGCATGAGGCAACAGGTGGCCCCTGGGACCACTGGCTGGGCTCCAAGTGCTGTGGCTTGGTCACACGATGTCACCGCATCAGCACATACATAGAGGTCTCACGTGGCCCCACGTGCACAGGTGGGAACCTAGGCCCAGACCAGAGAAACTGCCAGAGTCAGGCAAGTAACGTGGGTGCTCGGCCAGCCCCACTCCCACGCGGCCACCCAGCCCCGCCTCCTCCCCGCACAGCAGGGCCCCCCGAGGTGCTGCTGCAGCCCCGCACTCACTTCAGCAACTTGGGCTGGAGCAGGCGCTGCAGACGGTCGCTCACCACTGACTTCCTGAGCAGGGCCTTCTCCCAGCTCTTCCCTGGGGACAGAGGCCGCGGTGGCTCCTGTGAGCTGGTGTCTCCCGGGGCCCTCGCCCACCCTCAGCTCCGACCACAGAGAGCAGCCCGCCCAGGCCCACGGCGAGGAGGCCTCACAAGGACTCTCGGTGTGGTGGAGGCAGGGGCTTCGAGGAGCGTCCCAGAGGCCAAGGCCCGGAGGGAGCCCTGGGGACCTGGCAGCCCCTGGGGAGAGTGGGTGGGGGTGCGTGGGGACCTGGCAGCGCCTGGGGAGAGTGGGTGGGGGTGCGTGGGGACCTGCAGCGCCTGGGGAGAGTGGGTGGGGGTGCGTGGGGACCTGCAGCGCCTGGGGAGAATGGGTGGGGGGCGCATGGGGACCTGGCAGCCCCGGGGAGAGTGGGTGGGGGGTGCGTGGGGACTGGCAGCGCCTGGGGAGAATGGGTGGGGGTGCGTGGGGACCTGGCAGCCCCTGGAGAGAATGGGTGGGGGGTGCGTGGGGACCTGGCAGCATCTGGGAGAGTGGGTGGGAGCTCCGTGGTGCCTGAGCTTGGCTCTTACATTTGGTCGCCAGGAGCTGCTCAAAAGCCTTGATGCCCTGGGCAGCCTTGTCCCGCGCCTCCTCGTTGGCAGGAGGACCCTGTTGGAGGACGCAGCGTCACCAAGTGGACAGACTGGGAGCCCGCCCGGCGCGCACTCGGCCCCTCTCCTCAGCCTCCTTGAGCAGCCCGGCCACGTGCCACGCCTGGCCCTGGACACCTAGGCCCAGAGTGGCTGCCACTAGCGACCTCGGGCCCCATACCGCCCAGGACTGGATCGCCTGCCAGCTGGTACCCGCGGCCACCTCTAAAGGACGTGCCCCGGGGCTGCTCCGTGGAAGGAGGAGAGGAGAGGAGGCCTGAGTTTCAGCACCGGCCCAGGAGAGCTTCAGGCCGTTGAAGAACATCATTCCGAACACCAAGGGAGTTCTCACAGCCGCAGCCAGTGGGGGCGCCGGCCCCCTGAGGAGCCCGACTGCTGCGTGACTCACCACCCCAGTGACCTTGTCCTTGAAGTATGGCTTCAGGAAGTGCCCAACGTACAGGTTCAGGGGCAGGCTCTTGCCGTCCTTCACCTTGGGGCCTTTGGATCCTGCCAGGTCCCACATGACTTCCTCCTGCAGACACAAGGGGTCCCTGTGGGCTGGGCAAACTCTCCTTGTGGAGAAGGCGCCTGGTCCTGGGAGGCCCGGCTGTGGGGTCCGAGGGGCCAGACCCTGTCCTACCTGCTGCTCCCGGTTCTGGGCCAGCAGCAAGCTGACCTCTGCCAGCTTCTCTTGGATGACCTCCTGGTACACCATGTTCAGCTGCAGGCAGGTCTCTGGGTCTTCGGGAAGCGTCTTCTTGGGGTCGTCCTCATCATTGCTGGCTTCGTCCCACCTCTCTTCTTCCTAGTCACGAGGGGGAGACTGCAGTTGGGGAAAGGGGCACACAAATGCTCCCCCGTCCTCGGGGCCACCATGGTGCGCCAGCCTCTGAACCCACATCCTGCCACCGGACCCGCAAGTCCCCCAACGTGGAGTTCCAGAGCGGACCCTTCCCTCACGGAAAACACAGGGATTCAATGTCTAGGAGCTGGGGGTGGGGGAGGTGGGAGGAAACGGTAGTTTCACTTTTTTTTTTAAAATCCTCACCCGAGGACATTTTTGCCTTTATCTTCAGATAAAGCAGGAGGAAGAGAGGAAGAGAGAGAAAAACATCGATGTGAGGGACACACCGAATGGCCGCCACCCACACGACCCCAACTGAGGCCAGGGACAAACTGTAACCAAGGTACATGCTCTTAGCGGGAACTGAACCCGGGACTCTCTGGTCCGCGGGCTGACGCTATAACCGCTGAGCCAAGCCGGCCAGGGCAGTACGGTTTCACTTTCTATAAGCGTTTCTGCAAAACTGGGACTCTTTGGGCCTGTGACTTGCGCCGCTGCACACGGCGGGCTCTGTGACGCCCGTGACTTGCAACTGCAACACGTGCACAGCTAGAATGGAAGTGATCGGCCCGTCAGCAGGCAGGGTCTGAACAGCCCCAAAGAATGGGAACGGGCGCCAGCCTGACCTCTTGCCGGGCACTGTTCTAAGAACTCGTGTGTGCAAACTGACTGGCTGTCACTGTCCCCACTGTACAGACCGGGAAACTGAGGCACAGAGGTGAACCGTGAAGAGCAGCACCCAGGCGACTTGCTGCTTGCCCTCTGTGCATCATGTCGAAATGAATGAGGGCTTGGGAAAGTCAGGAGGAAAAAAATGCCAGCCTAGCAACACTAGTTATTTGTGGAGACAACTTCAGTTTTTATTTTTTATCCTCACCCGAGGACAAGGATGTTTGCATTCATCTTCCGATAGAGTAGGAGGGAGAGAGGGGGGAAGAGAGAGAGAGAAACACTGATGTGAGAGAGAGACATCAAGTAGTTGCCACCCACACGACCCCAACCAGGGCCGGGGACAAACTGCAACTGAGGTACGTGCCCTTAGCGGGAACCGAACCCGGGTCTCTCTGGTCCACGGGCTGATGCGCTCACCACTGATGGTAAGTGGTTTGATGTGTCATCTTTAATAACCATCAAGCGTTACTTTTATGCCGCAGGAGCACCGAGATGCGTTCAAAGCCCCCCCCCCCCGAGGGGCGGTGTGTCTGTAGTTACCGAGATCAGGGCGCCAGCAGCGTCCGAGTCCTCGCCGGGCAGCAAACCTGTGGGAATGCACGTAACTGTTGGGACTGGGATGGAAACGGGGCAGGTGAGGGCAGGGCTGAAAGACCTCAGGGAGAGACGGACTCGCTGGGCCTTTCCCCCTGACAGTCCTGGAGGCCGAGCACTGCTCACCGACCAGGCGGGTGGGTACAGACCCAGGGCACGGTCAGTGAGAAAGAGAAGACAGAGGCCAAGCATGGAGCGTCACCGGCATGCAGGGAACAGTGACTACAGGGATAGCCCGGGGGGAGACAGAGCAGAGGCCCTGGTAACAGGTCAAAGAAAGGCCCTGGTGTGTTCGGAACTGTGAGAATTTGGACCTCGGAGCTGAGCCTGGGGCTGGGGAGAGGTGGGCGGGCTGGGGGACTCTGGACAGCTCAGCCACTCTAGGCAGGAGCTGTGTGAGGGACACTCAGGCCCCAGGGGAGCATGGAGGGCAGTGGGTAGGTGGGCAGAATGTAGCCTTGGCAGCAGCGGACCCAGAGAGAAGGCAGTTGGGTGAGCCCAGGGAAGAGATGGGGGGATGGGGGAGGTGCTCAGCTGCGGCCGCTTTCTACACATGGGGCTCTCCCAGGGCAGCCGATGCAGGTGCCCACCATGGGGCAGGTCACTTGCACACACCCACCAGGTGTGGGGCTGATGAAGAAGGGACAGTAAGAAACTGTCCATGGAGCCCTGGCCGGCGTGACTCAGCAGTTAGAGCGTCGGCCTGAGCACTGGAGAGTCTTGGGTTTGATTCCTGGTCAAGGGCACAGCAGGGCTGCAGGTTTGATCCCTGGCCCCAACTAGCTGTGTGCAGGAGGCAACTAACCAATGTGTCTCTCTCTCCCTCCTCCCCGCTCCACTCTCTAAAATTCAACGGAAAAATACTCTCGGGTGAGGATTAACAACAACCGAACCCATCCATGCGGTGCAGGCAGAGGCGGCGGTGCCCCTGGGAGCCCACCTGCGTCGGAATCCGAATCGAGACTTGATTCCGAGACTTCCACGTTGAAACTCGCGGAGCCGGGATCCAAGATCCTTTCCAGCTCCTTGATCTCCTGCGTTATTTTCTCTCTTTCGGCGTCTACGTCCATGCTTCTGCCATGAAACACGAGAGACGTTGGAAACCAGGCTGTGCGGGAACCTGCCCCTTCCGATGTGCCCTGCGTGACCCAGGCGCTCCCGCTGCCCGCGCCGGGTGCTGAAGCCACCGGCACGGGGCGTGCGCGCGAGGCTGGGTCCGAGGGTCCGACGGGCCGAGGGTCCGAGCGCCCCGCCGAGGCAGCCGCCGGGGCAAGGACAGAGCCCGGGCCGCAGGCCGGCGGGCTCAGGGTTGGCCCCGCAGCCAGGCCGGCCCCGGTGCGGGCTGACCTGGGGCGCCTGCTGCAGGAGCGGCGACCCCGCCCTCGGCCCAGCCCCGGCCCTGCCCGGGCCACACCTGGAGCGCTTACAGACGCAGCTCGCGGGCCGGCAGCACGCACGCTGTCTTCTGGCCTCCGTCCCGCTCCGGGCCCGGGAGCCGCCGCCGCCCTCGCCGCGCCCTCGCCGGCCGGCAGCCCCGCCGCTGCGGCACACGCTCCTCGCGCTCCTCGCAGCCACAAGACTACGCCGCGGGCCGGAAGTCCCGCCCCCGCGGCTGCGCACCAGGCCCGGGGACGCCGGGAGGGGCCCTGGGCGGTGGACGGGCCGGTGCTGCCCCCTCGCGGCAGCCCTCGGCACTGCCCGCGCGCATGCCCCCTGGCGGCCGACTGGCGGGATGCTCGGTGGGGCCGGTCCCCAGCCCATGCTGGCCCGGCCCAGCTCGCGGGACCCCAGGAGGTACCGTCTGTGCTCCGTTCTTCTCTGTGAATTGTATCTGGGGTGCTGGACGAGCCGCCAGTGAGGAAACCTGCCAAGGGGTCTCTGCAGGGCCAGCGGGGTGCCTGCCCCAGGGCAGGAGGGGACTGGATGTGCCGGGCAATTTTTTTTTTCTTTTTAATTTTTTAATCGACTTTTTAGAGAGAGGAAGGGAAAGAGAGGGAAACATAAGCGTGAGAAACATCCATGGGCTGCCTCCTACAGGCTCCCCACTGGGGGTGGAGCCTGCAACTTGGGCGTGTGCCCGGAAGGGATGGAACTGGGACCTCCCGGCCCATGGCTGTCCCCCCACCCCCAGCCGAAGGAGCTGTCCTCCCCCGGCAGCGTGCAGCGGGGTCTCAGTCCGCCTGGGCACTGCAGGGGCAGAACCAGGAAGCAGCTCCTGCTCCGCCATCCAGAGCAGGTGGGCAGTCAACATTAGCAGGACTTCTGTGCTCAAGGCTTTTACTGGGGAACACTTCAAACTAGACAAAAAGAGGGCTGTGTAATCAAGTCTGCGTCCATCCCACCCTCTGCCAAAGCCACAGCATTCTGAGGGGGCTGAAGTGCAGGGGTGCTCTGGGTGGCTACTGTTTTGGGCCTGGCTGTGGGCAGGCATACCCCCCAGAAGCCCCGGCTACTAGTACGGGCTTCCCAGAGCGGTTGTGTGCACACCGAGCCTCCGTCTAGCACTTCCCAACTACACTGCCGTCTCAAGCAGGCAGAACCACATTTCGCCAAGAGGCCGGAGCAGGTGAGTCGGGTGAGCTGAAGGACAGTTCCACGGTGATTTCTGGAAGGCTCTTCCCCGTGGCTAAGATCAGAGGGTCTAGCAGTTCAATCATCTTTTGAAAATTCAGCCACATGGCCCCTAAGAATGCTCCAGTTCTGGAATCCAGTCTCTCCTGCTCCCGGCCAGGCAGCAGTGGTCTGAGCTCTCCTGGATCCACAGGCAGGGCTGACACTTCTGCACAAACCACCCGCTACGACGAGGACCAGGCGCGTGCCCTGGTGTTAAGAGGACAGTCCCACGATTCTCAAGCATAGAGAACTGGCTAAGTCAGGAAGACAGGAACAAAGCAAGTGAATTTTAGATTTATTAAGAAAGCTGTCAATCTGAACAGGAGGGAACATTTTTAAAAATAACATCTACAGGAAGACAGCCAAAACGGCACAGAGAGTATGCTACGCCCCTACGTCAGCGGCTGGAAAGGCAGCCCGGCGACCTGGTGCTGACCCAGCAGGCGCTGCACACCCTCTGAGTTCCTGAGCTCTGAACGCCATTGTACAAAAGGCCACTTGGAACATGTATCAAAACCCTCCGTCAGACAGTTTTTCAAACCCGAAAATGCTAAAGAGGTGCACTTCAACGGCTTCACAGTGTAGAATCCATGCCGACCTCAGTCCCTGCGGGAGGATGGCAGCGCCCACCACGTGGGGCATCCACACTCAGGCCACCACTCGCAGGCGCCACCCCTGTGAAGGCTGCAGGAGTGGACTGAGCAGAGGGGCCGAGTGACGGCAGAAAGGCACGAGCCTCTGTCCAAGGCAATCATTGGAATTTCGGCTCACTTAGTGTTTTCCTTACTTGTAAAATCAAGGATGATTGATTGAACTTAGAATGAACGTTCTGGAATAAGAACGGATGACACGCATCAGAGAACTGCTGTTTTCCTGTTCGGTACCGTTCAATCGGTGGCTTTTATGAAACGTCTTCCAGTAGACCAGTGCTATAGCCGCAGGGAGTTCACCAAGGAAGGGCCACAGAGAAAGCTCACCGGGACCCGCCATGAAGCTGCTCCTCCTTGCGGCTGGCTAATAATACTGCCCTAGGTCATGAAATTGGTATCTCATGATAAACATGGTTACTGTGAAGACTGCGTATTTTAAGACACAATGGTATTTTAAAATTTAGTAAGTAGTGATTTCAAGATGTAAACAGAGCTGCAAGCTAGAAGCTTCTCAAGAGTCCTCCTCGTCCTCTTTAATTTCAGAAATTCTGTCTATGGATTTAAGGATTTCAGCAACAAGGTTCAGCGTCTCAGCTCCAGAAACTAGCTGCCTAGAATGGAAACGCGGTGTTACAAACTGCCACGCTGCTCACCAGAGCAAGAGGGACCGAGCAAGCGAGGTGTCCAGGGACACACGCGGGTACGTGTAGTCTTGGCTTAGCCCTGAGGGGCCCTTGCCGTTAGCGGGACGAGCGCCTTGCTCACTCCAGTGTTCAGTCCGCGGGAGACAGGTATGAGGACTGTCTGCGACACCACTGTCTCCCGGGAGCTTCCACTGCTCAGGCACCCTGCAGGGGCCTCCGAGGAGCCAGCTCGAGGGGGTGGGGTGACGGATTCGCCTCAACGTTCACCCCTCTCAGGTAAACACAGCCACCACCACAAAGGAGGTTAGAGCCTCCTGGTCCAGTACGCCCTATGTCCTTGGGGTTCACTGGACCATCAAAAGTGCACCCCCGCCCTGAGCCCTGCCACTGTGGTCAGTGGGCAGTGCCCTCACGGTGTGGAACCCCGCCCCTGCGACCGACACTCACTTTATGGAGGTGTGCGCGTTGCTCATGACCATGCGGAGGTTCTGCAAGGCCACGTCCGTGTTCTGCTTCACCACCGTCAGGCTGGCGCCCTGGCCCGAGCGCAGGGCCTCGTTCTCACGCTTGAAGTTTGAGACCTGCGCCTGGGGTGGAGTGAGCAGCAGTTAAGGAGTTTAAGGTGAATAGGGAGCATCCACCCAAAGCCAACAGGGCACCGTGGCAGAGGACGGGCCTCTCCTAACACCTCCCCTCCACCAGCCCAGGGGAACGGGAGAGCTGAGGACACCACCCCGGGTGGAGCGGGAGCTGTCCCTTCATCTGTACGTGCGGTCCGCCGGGAGGGAAGCCTGCAGGGGTTCTTCCCTGTCTTTTCTGGAATCACTGAATTCACAAAGACGTGAAACTCAAGACCTTCCAGTTACCTGCAGCAAGCTTATGTCTTGTTTCAGCTTCATGACATGATTTTCTGCCTTGACTGCACGTTTCTGTCACCAAAAACAAAAACCCCCAAAAGCATCACTGATACAGCCATGTGGACACCTGTGCCCTGAGCAGTGGCCCCGCCCACCTAGGCACAGCCATCGCAAGGGGACCCCTCACAGCAGTTCCGCCCTGCTCACTGCTGGCTTCCAGAACAGCCGGGGCAGAGCTCAGGTCCACCTTCAAATGACACACCCGACACTTCACAATGCCCCCCAGGCCACCCCGTGCGTACGGTCATCAGCTCCAGGTTCTGCTCCACCTGCTGGACCACGGACTCCAGGTCGTGGTAGTCACTCTCCTCCTTGATCATTTTCGCTTCTAATTTCCGCTCAAGCGTCCTCACCCTTGTTAAAGAACACACCTGCGTCACTAACACCGCACGTGACTAATCCTGGGAGTACTTAGAAAGACACTGCAATTGGGCCGATCACTACAGACCACAAATGCCCACTGTAGCGGAATGGACTGTCAGCGAGGCAGTCGTGAGGCGACAACCTCAGCACGTCTGGGTGCGTGCCAACCATGGGCCCTGCGGGGCATCTGACAGTCCGCTGCTCCATCCTCAATGTGGTGGATTTGGGACAACGTTTAAGATGCACTGAGCCCCGGCCGGTTTGGCTCAGCGGTTAGAGCATCGGCCCACAGACCAATGAGTCGCGGGTTCAATTCCCGTCAGGGGCACGTACCTCGGCTGCAGTGTGTCCCCGGCCCAGGTTGGGGTCGCGGGGGAGGCAACCTGTCGATGTGTGCCTCTCATGCTGATGTTTCTCTCCCTCTCCCTCTTTCTAAACAAAAATGGAAAAATGTCCTCGGGTGAGGGTTTTAAAAAAGTAAATAAATAAAAAAAGTAAAATAAAATGCACTTTGAGCCCTGGCCGGTTTGGCTCAGCGGTTAGAGCGTAGGCCTGTGGAGAGTTGTGGGTTCGATTCCAGTCAAGGGCACATACCCAGGTTGTGGTTTGTCCCCGGCCCTGGTCAGGGTCGTGTGGGAGGCAACCAGATGATGTGTCCCTCTCACGTCATGTTTCTCTCTCTCCCTCCCTCCCACTCTATCTGAATATCCTTGAGTGAAGATTAAAAAGTACTAATAAAGCCCTGGCCGGTTTGGCTCAGCGGTTAGAGCGTCGGCCTGCGGTCCTGAGAGACCCGGGTTCGGTTCCCGCTAAGGGCACGTACCTCGGTTGCAGTTTGTCCCCGGCCCTGGTCGGTCGTGCGGGTGGCAGCCACTCGATGTGTCCCTTCACATAGATGTTTCTCTCTCTCTCTCCCTTCCTCTTTCTCCCTCCCATTCTATCTCTACAAAAAATGGAAAAATATCCTCGGGTGAGGATAAAAAAAAAAAAAAAAAAAAAAGTACTAATAAAATAAAATGCACCTGGACACACACAGGAAGTGAGGCTCAGCCTGAGTCTGACCGCATGTCCCCATTTCAGAACGGACGCCCCACACCCCGCAGCGCAAGCGACAGAAAGGCTTACATTTCGGTTTGCGTCTCGGAGAAACTCTGCACCTCGGTCAGCTTTCTCCTTAGCTTCAGATTCTCATCCTTCAGCTGTGGAGAAAGTCCTCATTAGAAAGCCAGCGCCTTGCTCAGAAGGGCCTGCACTTCTGTGACGACGCTGAACTTCGCGGAGAACAGGACCCACAGTCCGCTCGCAGAGAAACCACGGGCGAGGGCAGCAACTCTGCTCGATCACCACCCAGCGTTACTCACTAACTCCTCTGTAGGCCGTCGTAGTCTACGTATACATATATGTATGTTTTTCCCCCCTTTCTGTTAAGTCTTAACTAAAGGATGTTTTTCTATTAACTTTAGACAGAATAGAAGGGAAGAAGAGAGAGAAGCGATGCAAGGAAGACACATCGATTGCCTCCTGCATGACCCCAACCAGGGCAGGAGATCGAACCTACAACGCAGGCACGTGCCCTTGACCAAGAATCGAACACGCAACCCTTCAGTCCACAGGCTGATGCTCTAACTGCTGAGCCAAACTGGCCAGGGCGGCCATTGTAACACTTAAAATTTTCTCTTCTCAAAACACGTAGCAAGACGCCACAGCTGACAGGTGGAGTGGACCTTATCTGCGGGGCAGCCCTCTGAGGGTCTCAACTTTGCTCCGTCCATTTCCACATGGCCGCACCTCACTGCCCATCACAGCCAGCTCTCTTCACACGTCCCCAGTCAGCACGGAGACGCTGGAGCAGGCTGCTGAACACAGGCCGTCTGGTCCTGGAGCCCAACCCAGGCCACCGAGGACACCAGGAGGCTCCAGTTCTCTCCAAGAACACTGCTCAGACACGGGCTCTGTACCAGGGTGCCGACGCACAGCCCCCTCACTTACTGCTTCGTAACTTATCTGCAGCGTCCGAAGGTGCCTGTCCCCCAGAGACTCTCCGTGGGCTGCAAAGTCTGCACCGGGGCTTGCCGCTGGAGAGCCACGAGAGTCAGAGTCACTCAGCGTCCAGGGGGGCAGGGACTCGGGTCCCGCCAGCTCCGATGGGCTGGAGAAGAAGGAGATGTACGTGCTGCAGGGTGATGCACTGGCTGTGACCCTTGAGTGTGTCTGCTCCACAGCGGATGGCAGATAGGCCCCGTTCCACCCGTCCTCGTCCTCGTCCTCATCCAGAAGGTCGCCAGCCCCTGTTGGGTCTTCAAAAAACGGCTGCTGATATTCCAAGCCGAAGCTCATGGCTTGGGAGGTCGGGGAGCTGCAGTTGAGTCCCAGTGAGTGCCTTGTGGCTTCCTACAAGACACAGTGGGAGGCAAGGCTCAGACCCAGAAGCCACCGCAGGCCTGTCTTCCTGGAACACAGACGCTCCATCTCTCCACCAGGGAAGGAGCCACACAACTTCCCCACCAGCAGCAGCTGCCTGGCTTTCCCCATGTCTCTTGCACAACCTCCTCCAAGGAACCCTGCAAATCAGGGCACGTGCTCTGGGGGTTTCTGTCAAGTCACAGCAAACGACTCCTGAAGTGTACCTTTGAATGAAGTCTGCTGTTGGCTGTGTCTTCTTTCAATAGGCTGAGGTTTTTGGTTTTCAGAAACTCTTTAAAGGAGAATGGATTTGCCTCTTCGAGATCTCCAAGCTTATCATCTGAAATAATGACAAATGTCACAAATGTGAAGTCTCCTGAAGGTCATCAAATTTCTCTTTCCAGGACAGGACCCCATCTAAAACCGGGAATGCCACCCTGGTCAATGCACCAGAACTCAGACACCAGGAAGCATTTAGAAAACTGGCCGGTAAGGCGGATCTACTTTCTCGTCCTCCTTTCCCTCCTCAGCCTTGGTTGCCACAGCTCTGGTGCAGAGACCACCTGGTGGGGGCGGCTGTCCCAGCTCCAAAGGCCCGCCAAGCTGGGGATCACTGCCGCACCTCCGTCCTTCCCCTCCTCACCCACCCTTTTCTCTCTCCCTTCCCCACCCCCTTCTCACCTTCCCACTACCTGACCAGCCGCACTGCGGCTGTTTCAGTCTACCAGTCGTCAGTGCCCAGGTGCCAACCTTGTTTTAAAGTTGGCTCTTGTGATTCCAGCCCTTGCTGTCTCTCAGACGCCTAGGAGTGACTTCCCACTTTCCTGCTACCCCTTATGTCTCGGGTTGTACTCTCCTTCCTTCTACCCTAGGGTCCCGGCTGAACCCGTGATTCCGCCCATCTGTTCTGGCGGCTACAGGCACATTAGGTGTACACTGCCAGGTGGACGATCCCAGCCCAGGCACAGACCTGCGACTTAGTGTTGCAGAGAGAAAGAAGGGATTGCAGAAGTTCTCTACCCCCAAAACGTGTCTCCTGGGCTCCTGATACACCTTGCTCAGTACACTTCCCCTTTCTGTAGACAAGATCTGCAGAGACACTGCCGTCCCCTCGGTCACGAGGATCCTCGGCAACCACAACTTTCCCTGACAGCCTGGGGGACCTTTAAAATACAAGCCCCTGGGCGGGCTCCTGCCCCAGGGGTGGTCTGCTTTCCGGGCCCGGCCTGCAGTTCTGAAAAAGCTCCCTGTAGGTTCTGACGCTCAGCGGGGCAGCGTGTCCTCCCGTCTGGGATACCTGCGAATGCTCCCGGGGATGCCTCCACCTGCCGGGCCCTGACTGACCACCTAAACTCTCGCCCCTGGAGGGCAGGCGGGCAGCCGCTTGGGGAGACTGAGGCTGCAGCGGGTTGGTTTCCAATCGCGCCTGCGGTCGAGGGCTCCTCGCTCTCCCTCCAGCACCGGGAAGCACGCTGGCCATCCTACAGGGAACTGTCTGGGGGGGAGGGTCTCCCCAAGACCAGACTGGAAGCTCCTGCGGCAGGAAGCTCTCCACCTCGGCGGCCCCGCGGCCGGGCACCCCGTGGCGCTCAGCGCGCACCGCCGGGTAAGGGGCGAGTGGAGGCTGCGGCGGGGCGACCGCGGGCAGCGCGCCCGGGGTCCCTGCGGCTCGGCTCTCACCTGCGTCTCCCACGGAAGCTAGCACCGGACTGGGCACATAGCACATAAACGTCGGCCGAACGCCGAGGAAGTGGGGGTCCGGGTCCCTGCCAGGGGGGCGCTCACAGTCTAGCTGGGGGAGACAAGACCGGCGCTCAAAGAACCTTGCAGCTGGAATAACAACAAGAGCGACTTCACCGCGCGCCGCGCCGGCGCCATGGGGCCGCCTCACCTGGGCCGGGCGCCGCCTGGCGAGGCCCGGAGCCTGGCGCCGCCGCGGGCCGACTCCCCCCCCCCGCCCGCCCGCCCGGCCGCCCGCCGCCCCGCCGCTCACCGTCCGGAATGACGAGGCTGCGGGCCCGGGACAGCGGGGTGGCGCCCGGGCGGCGAACGTAGCCCGCCATCGCCGCGGGCCCGGGGGCGCCGGCCCTCCCTAGCCCGGCAGCGGCCGCCCCATGGCCCCGGCTCCGCGCCGGCCGCGGCCCGAGTCCCACGGCCCCGTCTCCCGCCGCTCGGACGCCGCTCCGAGCCTCTCGCCGCGGCTTCCGCTCCGAGCACCGGAAGCGAGCGCCGGAAGGCCGCGGGCCGGCGCCGGGGGGGCGAGGCGCCGCCGGAAGTGACGGCAGAAGCGGCGGGCGGCGACGCAAGATGGCGGCGGTGGTGCTGGCGGCGACGCGGCTGCTCGGGGGCTCGCGCTCGTGGGGCCGCTCGCGGCTGAGGTGAGCCGGCGGCCGGCTGGGGCTCGGCCGGGGCCCGGGGCGGCCGGCGTCTCTCCGGGAGCTCGGCCTCTGGCTCCCCGGCGCCCACACGTGGCGCCGGGCGGGCGGGCTCGGACTGCGGGACCCCGGCCTCGTCCCCGAGGCGACCGCGGCGCTTCCCTGCCCGGCGCTCCCGGCCCGGGCCCCGTTCCCCATCCGGCTCCCCGCCGCCCGGCTGCTGGGGCCGCCTCCGCCCTCCACTCCCGGGCCGACGGGCCTGGGCCCCGGTCACGCGTCGCCTGCGCCCGGCCCCTTCGTGCCGCGCGCCCCTCCGGAGCCCGAGCCCGAGCGGGCGGAGCCGGGGTTCGGTCCACGCCGCGGCCTGCACCCCCGGGGGCCCTCGCCCCGGCGCGCTCATGCGGGCGCGGACGGGTGGGCCGCCTGGCCCGGCCCCGCGGCGCGTACGGCGGCCGGGCCTGACCTCAGGAGCAGGGTCTGTCGGGGCCGGGCGTCCAGACCCGCACAGGGAGGGGCCCGGGCCGGGCAGCCATGCGGGGCGGGCGGCGCCATTGTGACCGGGCCGGTGGGGGCGGGGCGGGCGGCCAGAGCCCCGGGGTGGGCGCACCCGCACCCGCACCCCGAGAGCTGCTGCTCTGACTGCCCTGTGTGCGGAGGGGCGCGGTGCTCCTGGCCACGCTGACTCTGCACCTGCAGGCCGTGGAGCAGGGACGCGTGTGTCCCCTTCCAGTGCAGACAAGACGGGACGCGCCCCTAAGCGGTCCCACAGGTGCCGGCATCGCAGGTCCGTCTCCACGGGGCACCTCTCTGTTTCAGGTTCGGGGCCCCTGCGCACAGGCAGTTCAGCAGCGGTGGCGCCTACCCCAACGTCCCGCTCTCCGCCCCCTTGCCCGGCGTGCCCAGACCCATTTTTGCCACGGTCGATGGACAGGAGAAGTTCGAGACCAAAGTCACCACGCTGGAAAACGGGCTTCGTGTGGCCTCCCAAAACAAGTTTGGGCAGTTTTGTACGGTAGGAAGTAAGTGCTGCTGCTGCTGGGGGTAGGGTGGGGGGTGCCCTTTGCCAGGTGCTTCCTGGGTGAAAGCCCCTGTGAGGTCTGAACGCAGCGACTGCGGGGTGAGTGGTGGCCGTTTCAGGGGGGTTTTCTCCCCCCTTTTCTGCTTTTGGGTAACTGGAAATTGTCAGCCACCGCAAATGTAAACCAAGCTGTTCTGTAAACGTCAACTTACATACATGGCTCTGAAACCATGGCAACCAAAGCAATGAACGGACTCCTCACCTTCATAAGTCTGTCCGTTTAGTTGTACTCACAATATTGAGGTTTTATTTGAGTAAATCTGTTTGAATGTTGGTTTAATCTGTCTTTTTTTCCTCCCCCTGTTGCCAGTTCTTATTAATTCAGGATCGAGATATGAAGCAAAATACCTTGGTGGAATTGCTCACTTTTTGGAAAAGCTGGCATTTTCGGTCAGTGTCCAGTTTGTGAATTTTGAGAGTATAGTTGGGAGGAATCTATATAATTTTTCTTTTTTGAATGGTTATTTTAGCCGGTGATTAGGTTGCCAAGTTAATGGTAACAAAAGGTTTGATTTCATGTGTTTTGAAAGCAAAAGTAAATCTTCCCCCCTAAAAATCGTGCTTTAGGGGTGGTTTTGGATTGCTAAAACCTGAATAGGCTTTCTTGTTTTTACTAGTCCACTGATCGCTTTGACAGCAGAGACAGGATTCTGCTCACCTTGGAAAAGCACGGGGGCATTTGTGACTGCCAGACATCAAGGTACCCCAGCTTTTACACACGCGCTTATCTTCGTCCACGTGGAACCGCTCTCATTCTTGGGCAGAGTCCCCCTGAGCCCCTCCTCAGAGAGGCCATGGAGCTCGTTGGCGAGAAGTGAGCCCTCGCTGGGGCAGAGTTGGGTGGCGAAGCACACGTGTACATAGAGGAACACATTTTGAGGGATGAGCAGTTCCCAGGAGGCCGCTCACCCTGTGATTTGAGCCAGGCAATAGCTGGGCACTGGGGACGCGAGAGCCAGGAACCAAGGGTGGTGGGAGCAGGGGGCACGAGCCGCGGAACTGGTTTGCAGTCAGGAAAGGAACGGCAGGGAACGCGACATTGGGCCTGGCTCTTGAGAGAGGAGCCCCAGCCCTAGGAGCAGCAGGTGCAAAGGCTCAGCCTAGAAGAACAGCGGTCTGCTCGAGGACAGGGAAAGGTCCCTCGTGGCTGGAGCTCAGATCTGGGGGCAGGGCCGGGCGGTGCTTGTGTCTTCGTGTGGAGCACGTTCAGAAAGGTTCGGAAAGCTCTGTTCAGGGCAACGCGAGATGCATGGACAAAGGTCACACTGTGTAAGTAGTTGATTCTCTAGACCCGCATGCCAGAGTGAGCGTCAGTAACGTGCTCACGTTTTCAGGAAAGGTCTGTTCTGAAACCGCTGGCTCCCAGCTGCCCATCAGTGAATTCAGGCTCATTGCCTACTGTTAGACCCTCTGTGGTTTTGCCTCCAATCTCTGACCAGTGTCCTGACCCAGACACGCTCACTCATTCTCAGCTCAGGTTTTTGTCCCTGCTGCTGTCCCATGTGGTCCTGCAGCCCCACTGAGAATGGCTCTGCCCTGCGAAGGCACTGGTGGCCCTGTCCCGCCTCGTAGGTTCGCTTGTCCGCGTGGCAGTTGTCTGTCCTGCAGACTCCCCGGGTCTGTGGTGCATCTCCTGGCTCTCCGGGTTGACTCGGTGCCCGTGTGGTCACTGCGTTGTGCTGTGAGCTGATGCACCAGGTGGACTAATCAGCTCACTCAGGAGACAGGCCACGGGATGAAGGGGCCTGTGCTTGAGAGAACGCAGAGCTACCTTGTCCGTTTTGGCCGGACGGCGTCTTGTCAGCGCGGCCTTCTTGCAGCTGTGGTTTCCGCTTGCTGAGAGTTTGCCCTCGAAGATGGGACTAGGGAGAGGCCAGGTGCTGAAGAGCCCCCGGCCCGCTCGTCACAACCTCAGTGCTGGCTGTGCTGTCTTTCCAGAGACACCACCATGTACGCTGTGTCTGCAGATTCTAAAGGCCTGGACACGGTGGTCGGCTTGCTGGCTGACGTGGTCCTGCACCCCCGGCTCACAGGTGTGTCCAGGCTGCTTGAGGGGCTGGCGGGGTTGGGGCACGGGTGTGCGGGAGCATTGCCCGTGGGGGCGAGCATTGTGTTGTGGGAGGCGTCAGCTCACCTGCCCATGGTTTGTGACGCTTTCACTGGAAGTGATGCTGATGAGCGGGGAGGTCACTTAGCACTCCAGACACCTCCTTGCCCCTGGCTTGTTAGCGAAATTGGTTCTTTCGTTTCAGAAGCACATCTCGCCTATCTTTGTGCACCTCGGCTGACCTGTCCCTGTCCATTCCTGTCCATCCTTTCAGCAGCCTGACAAATGCAGGGCTCTGAGCTCCCCGTCAGGAGGGGCAGGCGTGGGCCCTGTTGCTGTCGCAGTGGGTCTCACCACTGCCTCGTGCATCCTGGCCAGGGCCGCAGCTCTGCGCTCGGGTCTTTCTGGTACTTGTTACAGTTAGCTGACACTAGGCTGTGCCCGTCTCAGCAGCCCACCCACTGTCGTCCTCACACAGCTCAGCAGGTCCAGGGTCAGTGCCTCCAGGGAAGGCAGCCCAGGCTCAGAGCAGGGCGCTTCCCCCTTGCTCACGTGTCCCCCGGGCCTGTGCAGTCTGAACTTTACTTTTGTGTCTCTTGCAGAGGAAGAGATCGAGATGGCGCGAATGGCTGTCCGCTTTGAGCTGGAGGACCTCAATATGCGGCCTGACCCGGAGCCACTTCTCACCGAGATGGTCCACGAGGTGAGGGCTAATCTCTAAACCTGTCTGCGCCGGTTTTTAACTTTCTAGTTCTTGCAGTAACAGGGTCTCTCCCACTCCGTCTCTAGACCGAGCCTTCGTGTTATCGTCTGGTAGCTTTCCATGTGGGAGAGGTGGATTTCCCTTTGGTAACCCGAGGCTGTCACTGACCAGGTGTAGCTAGCGGAGTGGTGGCGGCTTCTCCAGGAGGCCGGGTGGCAGCGGACCAGTGCGCTCAGGAACTGGGGCGTCCTCCTGTGACGATGTTTCTCTCACTCCTGTTGTCAGGCGGCTTACAAGGAGAACACCGTCGGCCTCCACCGTTTCTGCCCCACTGAGAACATAGCGAAGATTGACCGAGAAGTGCTCCATTCCTACCTGAGAAACTACTACACCCCCGACCGCATGGTGCTGGCAGGGGTGGGCATTGAGCACGACCACCTGGTGGAATGCGCCAGGAAGTACCTCCTGGGCACCCGGCCGGCCTGGGGAAGCGAGGCCCCTGTGGATGTCGACCGATCGGTGGCACAGTACACCGGGGGGGTCGTGAAGGTAAAGCGGGACACACGATCTCTGACCTCGGGTCAGGGATGCTTGTATGACCTCAGGTTTTAGTTCATTTTTGTATTTGTTCTGAAGGTGTTATAACGAACTGTGTGTTTGTGGCTTTATCTTGAACATGTTCTGGTCTCAGCATGATACGTGTTCCCTCTGGAGTTGAGGGCTTGTTAGGACTTGTTTAGTTTCAGGGTGGGTTGAGGGTAGATCTGACCTGAGTTGTTGGGGTGCGGGGGCTGGTTCACTGTTCATTCCTCACGTTACAGCTAGAAAGAGACATGTCGCAGGTCAGCCTGGGCCCTGCCCCGTTCCCCGAGCTCACACACATCATGATAGGACTGGAGAGCTGTTCCTTCTTGGTAAGTCCCCGCTGGCTCCCACCGTGCTGCTGCCCGGGCCGGGCCTGTCTCCTCGGCTGAGCTCTGTTCTCTGGTCCCTGCAGGAGGCAGACTTCATCCCCTTCGCTGTGCTGAACATGATGATGGGCGGCGGCGGCTCTTTCTCGGCCGGCGGTCCCGGCAAGGGCATGTTCACCCGGCTCTACCTCAACGTGCTCAACAGGTGGGTGACGTTTTCCACTCGCTGTCCCCAGGGCCACAGGTCCAGTTGAGGGGCGTTAGACTATGCCGCCACCTTCCAGATGTCCCCACGTCCCCACAGGCACCACTGGATGTACAATGCGACCTCCTACCACCACAGCTACGAGGACACGGGCCTCCTGTGCATCCACGCCAGCGCTGACCCCAGACAGGTGAGGCCGGCCTGCCGCAGTCCTGCCTCAGATAAAGCTGCTCTGGGAGTGGGGCGCCCCCTGCTAGCTCACGCCTCCTCCTCATGCCTGCTCCACAGGTTCGAGAGATGGTTGAGATCATCACGAAGGAGTTCATCCTAATGGGTGGGACTGTGGATGTGGTAAGGAGGGCAGGGTGCCGTTTCTCACATCCCCACCGCGCTGGGCAAGCTGTCCTCTGTGCCCAGCCCACCCGCTGACCCATCTGCGGCTGAGCTTGTGCCTGTGCGGAGCCTTCCCTAGTCTGCACCCAGGGTACCCAGTCTGCTTGCACCTGGCTGGCCCCCTGCATGCTGTATCTGCCAGGTGTCCTTTTCAGGTATACCGACAAACCTGTTACAGACAAGTCTAGGTCCTCGGTTGCCCTGTAGAGCGGTGTGAGATAGAGTAGCACCAGATAGAAGGAGCAGCCACTCGGGGAGCTCCTAGCTTTTTAGTTCCTGGGTTTCTAGCTCAAGTTTTGATGCCTTACGTGCCCAGACGTCTTGTTATGTCCTGGGCCAGAGCTGGTGCAAATTGCAGATTTTATGCACACGCACACACACGTGTAGACACACATGCACGTGTACCAGCCCAGCGTGTGGGCTGTACCTCGGGTTGGTGCACTTCGCCCTCAGATCTTTCTCTGCACATTCCACGTTTTCTGTACCAATCACGTGGTCCCTTCCTAAGCAGAAGGAAGTCTTGATTTAAAAGAAAGGTGTGCTCACAAGCCACTTGGGGGGTTCCATGAGGTCCTGCTGCGAAGGCCTGTGGGGTAAACGTGAAGTATTTGCGGGAAGTTGCAGAGATAAAAAGAATCTGTCCCTAAAGTAGGAGTTACTTTACTTAAAGAATGAGAGTCGACAGCCAGTCTGCCGTTTGTTCTCGAAGTCTTGGGTCCCAGAGCCATCGGGTCGCCTTTCACACAGCTCCGAGTCCGATCTGGGCTCAGCGGACCTCCTGAGCCGGCCTGGCTGCACTCCCCGTTTCAAGTCTCACACTTGGTCGGAAGGGCTCACGATGGAGTCGGTAGATTGAACTGGTTCCCTCAGAATTTCCCAGGGAGTGAGGAGGACAGTTGCCTGGACTGGGGGGGAGCCCGGAAGTCCGTGTTGAATTCCTTTTTCTCATGATTTGACATGTGTCCAGCTTTGGGGTCCTGGAATCTGAGTGTGTGACATCTCCCCCTTTCCCTTCTGTGCGGCACACTTTTCAAAAAGTGAACCAGAGCTCCAGGGAGCACGTTTCTCCCTCGTTTCAAGTGTGCAAAAGCCCTGTTCATTGTGCTTCCAGCCCTGACCCAGAAAACGCACGGAAGTGGGACGGGCTGTGCTCAGGGCTTGGGCTGCAGCCCCTGTTGCAGACCTTGGGCCTGGTCACATTTCCCGAGCACTCGGCTGGCGGGGCCGCGGTGAGTGCCCGGCTGGGATGGGAGCTGGACCACGGGACTGGGCTGTCGACCCTCAGGTGGAGCTGGAGCGAGCCAAGACGCAGCTGATGTCCATGCTGATGATGAACCTGGAGTCCAGGCCTGTGATCTTCGAGGACGTGGGGAGGCAGGTGCTGGCGACCCGCTCCAGGAAGCTGCCCCACGAGCTGTGCGCGCTCATCCGTGAGTACTGCGGTCTTGGCCGGCGCTGCATTTAGTTCTGTGACCCCAAAGGGTCAGCACTGTCTCTGTCGTGAGGCGAGTCACCTGGTGTGAATCTGGTACAGCTCTGTAGCGTCCCTTGGAGTTCGTGGGTTTCGTCCCCCCTTAGACCTTTGAGTGTGACAGGGCTCTCTCCCTGTGACCTCACCTTAAGAGCAGGGTGCGTTGGCAGGGCTGTGGGTTCCTGGCTTCCCTGCCCAAGGCCAGCGTGCAGCCCCTGCTCCCGTTCCCCCTCCCCTCTGGCCACGCTGCCCGAGGATGGTTTGCCTTCTCTGCTCAGCCACTGACTCTTTTTACTTAATTCTTGTTGGGGTGGGCATGTCCTGATGCACTTGAAAAGTCATTTTAAACCTTTGACACTTGCGCATTCACTAAACAAAACTTGTTCCTGTCCTTGCGCTGACTCACCATGCAGTCCCCACACAGCTGCACCTGGGCCCTCGAGTCCCCAGCCTCCTCCCCTGGGTGGTGGTGATAGATGAGCTGCCTGGGGTCCCCCGTCCGTTCAGCGACCTGGAGACATGGAACGGTGTGTGCGTCAGGCCATCCCTGTCTTTGTTCCCTGTGCCAGGCAGCGTGAAGCCAGAGGACATCAAGAGAGTTGCTTCTAAAATGCTGCGCGGGAAGCCGGCGGTGGCTGCCCTGGGCGACCTGCGCGACCTGCCAGCCTACGAGCACATCCAAGCAGCGCTGTCCAGCAGAGACGGGCGCCTGCCCAGGACCTACCGGCTCTTCCGGTAGACGGATGTGGTGTGTTTCCACACATGTTTCTTTGGAGATGAATTTAGTGCAAAAACTCATGAACGACGCAAACTGCAGGGCGCACCCCCCAAACATCACGGCCACATTCAGTGCCACCGCACAGCCCAGCCCCGCGCCTAGCAGCTGCTGTAGTGAAGCCGGTGGGTGCGCACACCTGTGAGTCTCAGCAGGTGGGGCCACCGTGAGGTCACAAGTCCAGTGGTCAGGGTGGGCAAGTGCCACACCAGCTCATCGCCAAGGCGAGGGCGCCATCAGCCCTGCTTGGCTTTCTGAGGGGCCTGCCACCACCCGAGCCGCCGCTTCCTGTGTGGGGTGCGTGTCCACTGACACGATGATAGATTGTGCCCACTGTCTCCACCCTTGACCTGGGGCGGGGCTGTTAAAAGGCTCACAACTGGCAACTTTCCTGCAACGGCGCGGGAGCGGCCCTTCGCTTTCTCCCCGGGAGCCTTCAGCTTGACTCCGTGTTGCAAGCCTCTTGCTGTGTATTGAAAGATGGGTCTGGTTTCAGGGGTGTCGGAACACATGGGGTAGGGGGCTTCTTAGATTTGGTGGTCGGTGGTCACGTTTTAAAAGGGGAAGATTCAGAAGCTGTAGGTTCAGCAGTAGAAGGTCACACGACTGGTGACAGATGCACGGCTCCCAGACCTGGGCAGTGCCCGGCACACAGCTGCTGGCATTGCACAGGTGCTGGGGAGAGGTCCGCATGTCATCCATTCTGTGGCCCTAGGAAGCCGGGGGTGGGGGGTAAGGAAGTCAAATAAACCTGTGTGCACTGCTGCCGTTCTGCGCTGTGATTTGTCGGGGCTTGCCAGGTGCCTTCATAGCACCCCCAGTGCGGGCGGCCGCCCGGTCCCGCTGCCCTCTGTACACCACTTGCCATGGGCTGTCGGCTGCGGAGCCGGGTACTGAGTCCGACTGCAGACGCTGCTCCACTGCCCTGGTGCCACACTGGGGAAGCGCCTGCAGGGGCAGGCCCACCCCGCGAACGTGAGTGAAGGGGCCTCACCTGTCAGCTCCTTCCGGGCTGGGCTTGGACTTCTCAGGACCCGGCATCTTGATGAACGTTCTAGAAACTGCTAATCAGGTGTCTGTTTTGGAAGCTGGCCCTAAAGTTTCAGTTTGCTTGCGGGGCTCCCCTGCCCCCTTCAGGGCCCAGGTTCTTCATTCCCTCAGCCTCATGGGGACCACCCTCCCTGCCCTGGACATGACCTCGCTGCCCCATTGGTCAGCACCGTGCTTCCCAGGGACCAGCGGGCTGGCTGTCGCTGAGCTGACGACAGCTCGGCCTGAGCGAGAGCTGGGCTCCCGAGACCACCCTCACGAAGCCTCTTTTCCAGAGACTGGCCACTTCATTTGCATTGCTTTGAAGTTTTTAAACTGATTTGCCCAGTGAAATTCCATCCATCTAAAACCTAGTGGCTGGTGTTCAAGTGAATCACTGAGCTTTTGACCCGTGATCTTACCAGATGTGTAAGGTTTTCAGTTGATGGAGTCTAACAGCAGCACACTAGCAGAATTCTACACACGGTCCGAACACTTTGAGGTGCCCGGATTGGCTGAGCCGGCTCGGTGGGACGTCCTCATCCATCAGGTGGGCGCTTGTGCTCCTAAAGCTCATCTTGGAGGCTGATGCTAGTCACAGTTGGGTCTTCTAGTCGTTGGAACTGACTTCATGATTTGTTCACATCCAAAGTATTCACTTTAACTCGGCCGGTGTGGCTCAGTGGATGGAGCGTCAGCCCACGGACTGAGGTCCTGGTTCCGTTCCTGGTCAGGGCACATGCCCGGGCTGCAGGCTTGATCCCCAGTAGGGGGTGTGCAGAAGGCAGCCAATGTTTCTCTCACATCAATGTTTCTATTTATTTCTAAAAAATAAAAGATTCACTTTCCAGCTAACACAGCAGGGCAGGGGACAGGGTGTGGGCGGGGTGTGGATCGTGTGTGGACCGGGCAGTGGGCGGGGTGTGGGGGGGATGTGGGCAGGGCGTGGATAGTGTGTGGACCGGGCGTGGACCGGGCAGTGGACAGGGTGTGGACGGGGCATGGACGGGATGTGGAGCAAAACCAGCAGAGGTGAATGAAGGGACTGTCGGCTGAAGAGCAAACCTGTTTGTTACAAGAACACTGAGAAGAAAGTCTCCCTACAGGTGGTTTCTTTCTAGGACTCATACTTTGGCCAGACAGAGTTGAAGGTTCAATATGTGCATTTATTTAAAAATATAAATATGGAAAAATAAATAATTGTATACCCCTAGGTTTCCCCACATTCAAAGCCTAAGCTTGTCTCAAGAGATGGAATTAGACAGAAAGAAAGAATGGTCTCTGAACACCTTGAGCAAGAAGTTCAGCCTGGGCTGTGCCAGCCGAGGTGGTGGGTGGTGCCTCCTAAGCTCCCAGCAGTCACTGGCTGATGTGGACACCAGTCATGGGGACGCTGGGTGCGTGAGCAAATGGTCTGAAATCCTAGCCGAGGACGGGGAGGTGGCATCACGGTAGGAGGGCTCGGCCAGCCCTGAAACATCGGTCACATCCCCTTCATTCCAGCCCAGCAGCAGGGACTGAGGTAGCTCCCTGGACATTGGCTTCCGCAGGTGACCGCCTCAGCTTGGTCCCAGCACGTGCATGGCATCCGGGGCCCCAGGTCACCCCACTGAGCAGCCTCTCCGGTGCCAGGTCAACTGTGCTCAGATGAGGGAGGGCTGGAGGACGGAGACCTGGACGCTGGAGTGGCCGCTGACTTGAGAGGTGTGAGTCCCAGGGATGGTGACGGATGTGGCGAGGCGGCGTCGGGCCCAAGCCCTGCCTGCTAAGGGAAGCTGGGGTGTCTGCAGGGAGAACGTGTCAGTAAGCGGCTGGTTCAGGTCCAGGAGTGAGGGCCAGCCGCCCTGCAGTCCACAGGCCCGTCACGTTCTTGCTAAGGTGGGACAGCCTCTAGCAGCAGGTCATCAGCGTCCCCGAAGGCTGAGCGGTCTCAGACAGCAGCCCCCGTCCCTTCTGGGGCTTCAGGCGCTAGGTCACAGCCCTCGGGCAGCCTGCTCAGGAGACGGTGCAGATGGCGCTGGAGTGCTGCGTCTTCAGGGCCTGCTGCCTCTGGATCTCTTTGGAAATGCGTCTTTTAATCCCTACTAAGTACAGCTCGCGGTCGAACTTGCCAGCAGCCAGGGGGATGCTGTGGAGGGAAGAGCCGCAGGGAAGGGGGTGCCAAGGCCCTGGCCCCTCAGGCGGCCGACCCGCGCTCCCACAGTGGGCACTAGGAGCCAGGCCGGCTCCGCTGTGCTCGTTGGGTCCGGAGATAGCCGGGTCCACAGCTTCTACACGTCAGCCCTTGGCAGTGACCTCCACTGGGGCTGTGGAACCCCGCTCCGGCCCGGGGTGTCAGGACTCGGACACAATGGCCTGCACCAAGGTCCAAAGATGGTACCCCCAGGAGTGGGCAAGGGTTCTGCCCTGTCCCCGGCCTCCCCCAGCCTGGCCCTGCGCCCCGGAAGTGAAGAGGCAGGAGGATACTGACTTGTCTCTGCCGGGCCTCACTCTCAGCCGGAACAGGCCGTACACGGGGCGGTGGTCAGAGGTCTTGATCCCCGGACAGGAGGAGTACTTGAGTGGACAGATGTCCTCCTTGTGGCGGCTCCGGTACACAACCCGGTCCTGCAGGAGCCGAGGCGGGACCCAGATGCTGTCTGCCCTGCTCGCCCTCCCCCCGTGACGTGAGCAGAGTCCCGTCAGTCCTGCCGTGGGAGACCGTCCTGGAGCCCCGCACCCCACACCCCCTAATCGGCAGGCGTGCAGGCACTGGGAGGGGCAGGCGTGCCCAGGCCCCCCCCACGCCCTCATGCAACATCTGCTCCCCTCAGCTCCGTGGGAGCCGGCAGCGGCAGACACGCTCAAATCCGACCCTGCCCCTCGTGCTTGTCCACGGGCGGTCTGCAGCCTGGCATGTCCATCTCCCTTGGCCCGACCCCGACAGCACACAGCCCGAGTGACGGACGCTGCGGCGTGTGCTGTGAGCCAGGCCCCCACCTGCGGGACGACCCTGGGAGGAGGCACTCGGGTGCAGTCACGGCCGAGCCCGGTGTCACGCCCAGCTCAGGGCACTGCTCTCACGCCACCCGAACCCGAAGCCTGTGGCTCGGGTCCCGGCTCTGGGCTGAGCACGTCCAACCTGGCCAGCAGGGCCGGCGGCTCACCGTGTAGGACGGGGTCCTCTGCTTGGACGAGGTGTCGTAGGAGTCCTTCCCGATGTCGAACTTGTACGACGGCAGGAAGTGGATGTCTGGCTCCTGGAAGCCCCTGAAGACGGACCCTGGGTGGCCGAGCACAGCTCAGGGCGGGCGAGGGGCTCCGCTTCACCCCCTCCCGGGCGGGCCCAGCTCAGCTCAGGGCGGGCGAGGGGCTCCGCTTCACCCCCTCCCGGGCGGGCCCAGCTCAGCTCAGGGCGGGCGAGGGGCTCCGCTTCACCCCCTCCCGGGCGGGCCCAGCTCAGCTCAGGGCGGGCGAGGGCTCCGCTTCACCCCTCCCGGGCGGGCCCAGCTCAGCTCAGGGCGGGCGAGGGGCTCCGCTTCACCCTCTCCCGGCCCCGCCGCCCGGTCACACCCGCACACGCGCTGCCCCTCACCTCTCTCCATCTCCCGGGAGAGCTGATCCAGCCGCAGCAGAGCGGGCACGCTGGCCTCCCCGTCCTGCCTCAGGATGGCCTCCACGGAGACACGCCCCCCGCTCAGCCGGAAGTTGAAGTCCCCAAACCAGAACACCCCGTCGAAGCGGGTGGTGACGTCGGCTGGGGCACAAGCCAGAGAGTGCGTGAGCCCAGTGTCCCCACTGCAGCGCCTTGGCAACCGGACAGTCTGCGCTCCTGGCCCCGCCTGTCTCTACCCGGCTACCTCGGGGCAGGGAGAGCCCGAAGGCACCGCGGACTGGCCGCTCGCCCGAGTCGGAGCGGTGGGGACGCGTGTCCGGGGCAGGGACAGCCCGAAGGCGCCGCGGACTGGCCGCTCGCCCGAGTCGGGGCGGTGGGGACGGGTGTCCGGGGCAGGGACAGCCCGAAGGCCCCGCGGACTGGCCGCTCGCCCGAGTCAGAGCGGTGGGGACGGGTGTCCGGGGCAGGGAGAGCCCGAAGGCGCCGCGGACTGGCCGCTCGCCCGAGTCAGAGCGGTGGGGACGCGGGGACAGGTGTCCGGGGCAGGGAGAGCCCAAAGGCGCCGCGGACTGGCCGCTCGCCCGAGTCGGAGCGGTGGGGATGGGTGTCCGGGGCAGGGACAGCCCGAAGGCCCTGCGGACTGGCCGCTCGCCCAAGTCGGAGCAGTGGGGACGTGGGGACAGGGAGAGCCCGAAGGCACCGCGGACTGGCCGCTCACCCGAGTCGGAGCGGTAGGGGCAGGTGTCTGGCACGTTCTTGGGCAGGGCGAGGCCTTGGATGGTCTTGCTGTAGTCCAGCAGCCTCTCGTTGACCTTCCCGTCTCCAGCTGCAAGGACAGAGTGGTGGGGCCTCTCGAGGGGCAGGTGGCCGACTCGGCGGACACGGGTGGAGCCCACGCAGCGCTGGTCACCCAGCAGCCCCGCAGCCCCGCCCACTACCCCCTGGAATGGAGCCCGCAGGAGGCCGCCGGCCAGCTGGCAGGCCTCGGCCAGGGCCGCAGGTGAGGTCAGGCCGAGGGACCCCGCACCCTGCCTCCCAGGGAGGGGAGTGCTGTCCTTCCACCCCGCCTGGGTTCAGGGGCGGCGACTCACAGGTGAAGTGGGACGTGATGAAGAGGAGGGAGGTGCCGAAGAAGGTGAAGCTGATCCCCAGGGCCCCCTTGGTCTTGATTTGGGACACGATGCGCGTGGTCACCGTGGAGATCTCCACCTCTGCGTGGGAGGAAGCGGGCTGAGCGGTGCCCACCTGCAGCCGAGGGCCCGGCGCAGCAGGGCTGTGGGTGCAGGCGGCCGCCCACCTGAGCAGAACCAGATGAGGTCGCGGCGGATGAGCACGGAGATGTGCAGCGCCCCGTGGGCCGCGGACTGCAGCATGACGTAGTGCGGGCCCAGCGTCTCCTGCAGGCGGGCCTCCCACTCCCGCCTGGGGGGGCGGAGCCACCATGGGGGGGCCGCCTCCGAGGTCCAACCCCGGGAGCCGCCCCCACGGGCCGGCCTCCGAGGTCCAACCCCGGGACCCCCCACGGGCCGGCCTCCGAGGTCCAAACCCGGGACCCCCCACGGGCCGGCCTCCGAGGTCCAACCCCGGGACCCCCCATGGGCCGGCCCCGTCTTGCAGGGGGAACTGCAGCATGAGCGCCACAGGGGGCGCTGGGGCTGCTGAGCAGAGGCTCGGCCTCCATGAACCCCGCTTCCTCCTGGATCCCCCGCCCTGGAGAGGCTCCCGTGAGCGGGGCCAGGTCCTGACCCGGCTCAGACCTGAGCAGACGTTTCCCGCCCGCCCGGCAGAGGCCCGGGGGAGACCCAGGCCAGGTGGGAGTGAGGCCGGGGCACTGCCGCTGCCACCCCTCACCAGGTGACCCCAACAACGCCGGGGGTGTGCGGAAGACGGGGCAGGCGAGCACCCCGGGAGGGTCTGGCTGGGGGCTGCGTGTTCACCACCTCCCAGGTCAGCTGTTACCCAGAAGGTAAACCTTTTCCCCTTTAAATTCTCTGAGTCGCCTCGTTAGAGAAGGTGTGCTCAGCCTGGGGGAGGGTCTCAGGTCACAGCAGGCCCACCTCAGTGCTGTGCACAGGGACTGGCAGGCTGGGGGGGGGGGGCTCTACCTGTCGGAGCAGCCCTCCTGGACCCCGACGACGTACAGGTCCTGGGCGTAGTCGGCCTCGGCGGGCAGCAGGAGCTCGTCCAGGTTGGCGGGCAGCTCCTGAGAAGCAGTGCCTAGCAGGGGGCCGAAGGGGCCCAGCACGCGGGGCTCCTGCCCTCCCCAGGACGCAGCCTCTCCCCCACCAGCCTGTCCTTGCCCAGGCTCTGTCTGTCCCTGGTCCCATGCATACCCAGGCCTGAGCCTGACCCTGAGTGTGTGCCCCACACAGCTGGGGTGCAGCGGACCCCTCAGGGAGGCCGTACCCCTGGCCCTTCGCTCCACCCTATGGCCACAATAGCCACCTGTTTTGGGCCCTGTAAGGCCTGAAGGCCCAGGACAGGGCCATGCCCTGTGGACGGAGTGGGCGGCTCCCTGAGGACAGCAGAGCCACCATCCTGGACACCTGCCTCCTCCCCCAACTCAACGGGAATCACTCCCCTCTACCCAGGTGGCTGTGTCGTCCAGGCTCCCGGTTACGTCAGCCCAACCTCATCCGCAAAGCAGCCCTGTGACCCCAGGGACTGTCACCGGACGTCAGAAGACGGCCACGACATGGGGAGGCCCTTCCGTCTCGCCTCAGCCAACTCTCGGGCGCAGGTGAGCAACCAGGGGCGCTCGGGAAACGTCCCCGAGACCCCGCTTGTGGCAACTGCCCTGCCCCTCACCCGACGGGCGTCAGGATCACCCACAGCCCAGAACCAGGCCCCGCCCGGCCCCAGAACTTGGGCCCCCAGGCAGGAGGGTGCAGACCACCAGGCTGAGGACAGACCCTGCGTGTGAAGGGGTCTCAGGGGGACACGGGGTTGGCTGCAAGGGGAGCAGGGGGGCCGCAGGTTTCCCCAGAATCGCCGTGTGAGCCTGGGCTGCAGCCTGGACCAACCATAGCGGTCGGGATGCGCCCCCCACGCTGGAGGTGACGCGTCTGATCAACAGTGGCTGCGGGGAGAGGGCAGGCTGCTGCCCGGTCACTGCCGGAGGCCTCTCCGGGGTGTTGGGCCGTGGAGAGGCCCAGCGGGAACCCTGGCCTCGTCCTGGGAGGGGCGGGCGGCCCACTTACCTTCTGGCCCTGCATGTTCCAGGTGGCCACAAAGAGGGCCACGTTCCGGTCCGGGAAGTACCGGGCCAGCTCGTCTGCCCCCATCAGGGCCCCGCTGGCCAGGAGACTCCCCTCCAGGTAGCTCCTGCAGAGCAGAGAGGACAGAAAGAGGGAGGGGTCAGTGGCCGGACATGCCCCTCGGACCCCCAGGGCCATGCCGACGTGTGCTTCAAACAGCCGCCCAGCCTGGTCAGCTGGGAGCGCGGCCTGGCCACGAGGCAGCGGCAGGGTGGGGGACAGTGTACGGCTGGGCAGCTCAGGACGGCGCCAGGACTGAGCCCCCAGGACCAGCTCTGCTCAGGAAGAGGTCGAGGGTCCCCCGTCTGGTGAATTCGTGGCTCCGACCCCAGGAGAGCGGAGCCAGAACAGGCGCTTGGGAGTTGTGAGCAAAAGGGAAGACACACGGATGGCACCCAGGTCCTTTTCAAACCATCGAAACGACACAGATTAAACGTTACAGCCCGAAAAGCTCGGGAGGGACCCGTGTTCCCACGGGACGAGCCCCTCCCCCCCACGAGTGACGGCAGGTGCTCGGCAAACCGGCTCCCAGCGCACCAGACAGCACGGGGTCCTGCTGGGAGCAAACGCAGGAGATCAGGCCCCGCCTGCCGTCCCCTCCCTGCCCGAGAGTGGACTCTCCCTGCATGTGGCTTGGCCCCCCAGTCCAGCAACAGCATCTAGCTATCAGCCCAGGCAGGGGAGTCCCCGGGGAAGAAAGTGGGACCCAGTGAGTCTCCACCTTTATGTCCCGACATTTCAATGAGAAAATCATCACGTGGCTCTCGTGGAGGCTGCTTCTGAACCTGAAATGAAGGCCAAGGAAACGCACCGCCGGCCCCTGCCTGGGGGGGCCCTGCCTGGGGTGGGGGGCCCTACCTGCTCCGGACGTCCTTGGTGCGGATGGGGGCCAGGAGGCTGAAGGAGGATTTGGCTGAGCGCAGGGAGCAGCTGTCACAGGCCAGGGGGCTCGGGGGCCGGCCGGGGCCCAGGCTGCTGTGGGCCCGGAACAGCTTGGTCTGCAAACGGAGCTTGTAGTCGGCGTGATCTGCGTCCACCTTGTTTGCCGTCCGCAGGGAGTCAGAGGCAACGTTCCAGTCCATGGCGGGCAGTGGGCGTGAGGGAAGCCCGCTGGCCAGCCTGGGGCTGCTCCCAGCTGAAGGCCTCTCCCGGTGCAGGAGGTCCAGGGAGGTGCCCATCATCCCGGAGACACAGTTACCCCACGAGGAGGGGCTCCCGCCTGAGCCGCGTGGAGGCCTGTGGGTCGTGGGGATTTCCTGCAAGGAGGTGCTCAGGCAGGGCGGGAAGCAAGTGTGGACGGGGGGCGCGGGGACCTCGTCCTGCAAGGAGCCCCTGGAGGGGCTGGCCCCATCCTGGGAGCGCAGGTCCTCCTGGCTGTTTCGGAAACGCCGCCTCCTCCAGCCCTTCTCATCCAGGGACAGTGCCCGCTCCAGCCTGGGCTTCGTGGGTGGCTTTGGGGTAAAGAGTTTTGTCTTAGCCTGTGGGTCTTCATTGCTGATTTTTGCTGGAATGTCCAGAGAGACCACTGGGCTCTTCTCGGGGCCGGGACAGTCGTCAGTGGGTGGGGACCTTGGGCAGGAGGCCAGGTCTTTGTCTGTGTTTGGAAGTTGCCCCTTGAGCATTCTGCATTCAGGCTCCGGGTGGCTGTGGGCGGTGAGCTGCCTGGAAGTCACCTCTGAGCGCCCCAGGCAGGCTGACTTGGATGGCGCAGTCCAGGGCCAGCCCTCACCGATGTGGGCAGCCAACCCGACCTGAAGACGGCTCTTCGGGGGCTGCCAGCGATGCCCAGGGTCAGGGACGCGAGCTCAGATGTCCCAGGTGAGGCTGGAGAGGACCCGCAGGGGCTCCTGGTCAGGCCTGGAGTGGTCCAGCAGGGACGGGGCTAGATGCTGCATGGCCGGAGGCCTGGAAGTCCCGGACCCCCAGGGACCTGCGGGAAAACTGCTATTACTTCCCCGAATTTCCGGTCCCTGGAGGGCAGCTAGGTGCCAGGTGCCAGTGGACAGGCCGGGGGCTGTCCAGCAGAGACAAGCATTCAGACATCCCGGCCTGCCTTCCCCGGCGGTGGGCCAAAGCTCGGCCTCCTACAGGAAGCCACCTTCCCCAGGGGGCTGCCCCAGCAAGAACGCCCCAGCCCAAGGTGGCGGCCAGCTCGCGGGCGCAGCCTCCGACGCGGGCCGCCGGCCTTGGCCCAGGCTCCAGCCCAGCACCATCGCGGGTCCGCAGACCCCGCCCTGAGGGCCTGCGACCCCAGCCGGTCTGCAGGGGAGGCCCCCAAGCGCCCGCCCGGGCCTGCTCCGCCGGGTCCCAAGGCAACGACCGCAGCGGCGCTGGGGGTGGGGCGAGACGCGCCGGATCACTGCGTGCGGGAACCCGCCCGTGGGGGATCTCGAGCCCTGGGTCACCCCGCCCTGGCGTCCTGAGCTCCGAGCACCACCCAGAACCCCTGCGCCCCAACTCGACCCCGTGCCCGGACCTGCGCCCCGGGGTCACCCCGCCCAGGCCCAGGGGTCACCCATGCCCCAACTCCGCACTCAGGGGTCACCAGCCCTGGACCCACGCACCCCCGCCCGGGTCACCGGGTGCGCAGGACCCCGCGCCCCACCCTTCCGGGATCTGCGCCCCTACCTCTGGGCGCGCCCGCTCCAGCCCCGCGGGCCTCGGCAGCCGCTCACCGCCACCCGCGGGCGGGGCGGCCCCGCAGGAGCCTGCAGCGGCCCCTGGCGGCCGGAGGACCCAGCCGGCACCGCGGACGGGGCTGCGGAGACCCCGCCCCCATCATCAGACTTTCTCCCTTCCGCTGGGCCAGAGTGGGGGCCCAGACCCCCATTCCATCTCAGCGTATTTGCTCTGTCTGGACCTTCCCTGCAAATGGAACCCCAACACACCTGTCCCCCTTTCATGGTGCTGTCCACATTCACAACCTACCCACCACCCCGAGGGGAGCCCCTCCCCCCGGAGCTGCGGAAGAGCGGCCGCAGGCCAGTCCGCCCAGGCCGCCCCCGCGATGGTCCACGTGCGGCGCCCCAACACCCGCGGGGACCTGGGTCCTGCAGGCTCAGGGCCGCAAATCAACAAAAGCAAACAACAGGTGAGCGCCCAGAGCGCAAAATATTTTATTTAACAATTTGCAGTGTAACAATTTGCATTTAGGAAAAATAGCAGCTCCCACCTGGAGGAAGCTTCTTGAATTAAAAGTCACTAACAGAGAACAATGGGCTGGAGGAAGCCGAGGACAGGAGGGTCTCAGGCCCCAGGAGTCACACCCTGCTGACCTAGGGAACAAGAGACACACCGCTGGGGCCGGGCCTTTCCCAGTGAGAACTGTGGGTCCGGTCACGCAGGGCTGCGGACATTCTGTGGGCCCTTCCTACGCGATCCCCGAACCAGGGAACAGGAGGACCTGTGCCCAGTCCAGTCACACGACTACAGAAATTTAAAATACCAAGCAGAACTACAGAAATTAGTTCCTAATGATTTTTATAAATATTTTAATCTTTCTTCAGTCTCTTTAGATGTCACAAGAATGTGAACAGTTTTAGGAACAGTCGATGAAGCCTTGAAGCCCTGAGTCTGATAGGAGGAAGGCCTCCCTCTGCAGACTCAGGCGGCGGAGAGTCACACACCAGCTACTGACGGTCAGTGTGGGGACATTCCAGGGGCAGAAATACCAGCTTCAGGAGCTTCTGCCAAGAAATTATTTTAGCCACTTTGTTTACAACGCTGCCGCTGTCACCCGGTGAGAGGAAGCCTGCAGCTGGCCGGCACCCTGAAGCCACCAGCGGTAATGCGGCTCGGGCGTGTAGAGTGTGGCAGCCACAACACGGCTGCCCTAAGCCCGGCCACGCTACTCGCTGAAGAGACCCAGACAAAGAGCCACACTCCACCCAGGGCTGCCGGGAGGACCAGCGGCACCGGACAAGCTCTGCTGCGGCCTCTCCTCGCGGCGCGTGCAGCCAGGCCCCGGCAGCGGGAAGCCCTCGCGGTCCCAGTCGGGCAGAGAATCCGGCGCCACTGCAAGGTCTGTGCAGGAGAGACGCGGGGGTGCCGGGTGCCTGGACCTGGCAGAGGCCGGGCAGTGACCACGCCCTGAGGCCCGCCGAGGCCCGCCCACCAGCCGCGCTCTGGGTCTGCACCGCTGGGCAGCTGCCGACTGCGCGGCTGCAGAGCAGGCCTCAGTGTGCCCCAGTCACAGGCTCCCTTTCTTCCAGCATCTCGGGGGAACCGGGAGGAATCTGACGGACTCGCCGCCAGGCTTTGGGAGACGCCCTGGTTCCCGCAGTTCCAAGTTCCCCCGGCAGCAAAGGGAGTCGCTGTACTCGGGGTACGTTCTGAAGTGACTGACCGCTGTCCTGAACCCGCTCTGTAGGTGAAAGGTAGGAGCCACAGGCTCTCCCCCGTCCAGACCTGAGGGCTGTGGGGTTAACGCGGGTGACACTTCCTGCAGACAGTGCGGAGCTGCGGCTCCGAGTCCCTGCTGTCCATGTGGGCGCAGGGAGGCCGCAGGCCATCAGTCTGAGTGTTGGTGGAGTCGTTTCGGGCCGAATGCTGGTGTAGAGCAGGGCCGTCTACCTCAACACCGGGTACTTCCTCTGGCCAACCCTCCCCGACCTTGAGCTTGCGGAGGTGACAGAGGCCTGAAACGACACGACACGGATGTACCGACTTGCGCCCACCGCTGAGCTGGGCGACTCAGTGAGGGCTCAGCACGCTTCGCTGTGGGCCTGGGGGACAAGCCCGGAGAACACCCGCCGTCAGAGGGGAATGCTCGCTCTGTCCCACTCCAGCAGCCGCGGCCACTGGCCACTGGCCACACCCTCACAGACCCTGAGCACCACGGAGGTCGAGGGGTTCTGGCAGAGGCATGAACTGCGAGGTCAGGGTCACAGGGGGGAAGACCACCACCACTGCCCCTTGGAGCGGACATGCAGACAGTGGCCGGGTAGTGACGGGATGCCTTGGTCCTGGGAGAGGGGAGGGGAGGGAGGCCAAGCAGCGGCCTCACCTGCAGACGCCCAGGGCAGGGCCGCAGGGGGCTCGGCAAGGTGCGGGCAGCAGGGCGTGTGTCAGGGCAGCCAAGGCTCAGCGGAGGTTTCCCTTCTGCAGACCAAGACCCCCTGTGGACCCCTGCCCCCACCCAGCTCCCCTACCCTGGCAGCCAGTCTACACTGTAGAGGTGAGAGCTGAGAAGGGAGAGGAACAAGGAAAAGTCGAGGACGCCCGCCTGAAGGGCGCGGCCGCCAGATGGAGGCAGCGAGGCCGGCGCAGAGCCCGCAGGGAGGTGGGTCGGCAGGACGCAGCAGGGCCGACGCAGAGCTGGGCCGTGGGTCGGGGGAGGCTCCTCCCGCTCTGGGAGACTCACCTGTGTGAACTGCGTGGGGTTGTAGAAGGCCACGGCCGCCTGGGGGGGGTCCCCTGCCGGGGGGCAGTCACTGGGAGCCTGGGAACCACAGAGGGCCCAGCTCAGCAAGTCAGCGTCAGTTCCACGGACACTGCTGCTGAGTGGGGACTCGTGATAGGTTCACAGAAGCCGCAGAAGCAGACGGGGAGCCCGCTCGCGCCGGGGCCGCGCTGCTGGCGGCTGGCAGGGGAGCGGGGGAAGCAGGGCACATGCAGCGGGCGCCTCGAGGCAGGGCATGCAGAGCCGCGGGTGCCTAGCGGGCAGTTAGTGGGCGTGTGTGACCACTTCCGACCCAGCGTGCCCGAGACAGAATCCAGATTCATGTGCAAGTTCAAAGGTCACATGAAGCCTTTCAGCTGAGTCACTGGGAGAGCCTGGCTCCACGCTACACACCAAAGATGAAGTATTCCTTTATTTCCCACGCACGCTGGCCACAGGTCAGCTGTCGCTGTCCACTCTGCCCAGCCTACATAACCCTTTTTGTGCTTGATCAGAGAAAGTTCTTGCTTTCAAACGAGAGCACCCTGACCTGGTGGCTGCTGACACGCTCACACACGGTGAGGCTGTGCCCACGCCAGCCATCGGGGAAGCGATTCAGAGGCGCAGCTGCAGTCCACCTGCACGGGGACCCCGGGACGGGAAGAAAGGAACACTGCATCCTGCCACGTGACGCTGGGCAGCACCACGGTAATGTTAGTGACCGGCCAGTACAGTGCCCTAAGGAACAGAGGTGACCCAGTCCAGCCCTGGGCGAGGGAGAGCCACCAGCTCGGGTACCTGATTCAAGTGCTGGCTCACTTCTCGTGACAGCGAGCTCATCGAGCTGCAGCGCGAAAGCTACGGACAGCGAGAGCACAACACAGACGGTCAGCGTGCGGCTCGCTCCAAGCTCGGCGATTCCGAGAGCTTTAAAGAGCCGCCAGAGCCCAGAGGGAGAAGCCTGCATGAGCTTCCCTTCCCGCCTGAACGCAGCCTCAGCCAGAGCCGCCGGCCTCGCCCCGAGACGCAGGAGCCGGGCGCCAGGCTGCGAGCACCCAGCCCTGCAGTTCAAGCTCCCGGACAGCTGCTCACACAGTGTGCCCGTGTTTGTAGGAATACAATGGTAAAGAAGCGTTTAAGCTGCCTTTCCTACCCACGAACATTTGCTTTTAAAGGAAGAAGCCAGCAGACAAGATCGAGCTTCCTGGGCCTGGCTTCTGTGGTGGGAGCCCCTCACCTCTCCCCCCTGGGGACCGTCCACTGGGCAGGGCACCAGCTCAGAAGCCAGGAGTGAGGCTGCCGAACCCAGCGCCTGCCAGGAGAGACACATGCAGTGCGGGCCGGGCTCAGCAGCGAGTGCCCACAGGCGGGGACAGCCCTCGTCTGGCCCAGGCCGCAGGCTGCTGCACCCCACGGAAAGTGTCCTTCGGGGGTGGGGAGAGCCCGGCCTGCACAGCCCACGCCCCACTCGGCCTCCCAGCAGCCTGTGCCTGGGTGTTCTTCCCACCCTCTTTCCCGGGAAGGAAACTGAGGCCTGGAGAAGTGACTCCCCCAAATTTCAACATAACTGACGGGAACCAGGGCTGAATCTTGGTTGATCCAACTTCAGGAACTGCACCCTGAACCATTCCAGTTCACAGAAAGTTTTAAACATTAAAAAAATAGTCCCGACCTGGCCGGTTAGGCTCAGCGGTAAGACACCAGACAGGTGGCGACGATGTGCAGTCTCCGGGGACACTCGCTAGGAAGAGCCCTCCGGCAGAAGCGGGCACTCTCGGGGCACCATGGACACAGACCAGGAAATCAGGGCCCACGCACCTGGGGCTCCGAGGAAGGTTCGGGATGAGCTGGACCCCCAGCCGGCCAGCGCCCTTCCCTGCTAGAGGCTTCTGCGGGTGGGGCTCCCTCTGCATCTGTGAAGGAGCCGGAGGAGGGGTGACCACACCCCGGAAGGCGTCCCAGGAGTGCTCTCAGGGCAGAGGAATCAGGCCTCTCCAGGGAGATGAAGGCTCCCGGGGAGTCAAAGGTCAGGAGGGGGGCCAAACAGACGTGCACCCCGACTGCCCACCTGGGTTTGGTCCGAACAAGTGCGTTGGGATCGGGAGTGGGGCAAGTGGGGCAAAGAGGTCTGCGGGGGCAGGAGCCAGGTCCGCGCGCTGGGGCCCGCCGGGGTTCAAGACGTCCACGTAGCGCGCTCGAGTTCCGGCTGTGGGGAGGGAGGGGCTGGTCAGCCAAGGGCCCGGCTTCCGGGGAGAGCCAGCAGGGACCCTCGTCCCACCCCCCGCACAGTCCTGCTTGTGAACCTGCCCCACGTGTGTGGCACTGCCACCTAGCACACGTGCCCTGCTCAGAGCCCAGGCCGTCGACAGGACACATGGACGACCCAAACCAGCCTCCTCGCTGGCTCTGTTACCTGCTTTTCTAGAAAACATGTTCACAGAGGCTCTGGGGGGCCCCCCAGGCTCAGCGGTGGCAGCTTGGGGAGCGTTGGGAAGCAGCACCGGAGGCGGGGGCGGAGCCTTCTTCTGCAGAGGGACGGTGGCTTCAGGAGTTTGTTCCAAACCTGGCCGCGGGCAGAAGCCAGGGAAGGCAGCCCCCGCCCCGCGCACAGCCCCCCCTTTCCAACCAACCTCCTCCTCGGGCTCGTTGGTGTCCACCCATCGGTTCTTCTTCTCGTCCCAGACGATCTGCCACGATTATGAAGGACAGACCAGCGTCAGCAGACAGCTGGACAGAGTGTCTGACGCTGGGGCACCGACTCCACGAGAAGCTGGCGCAGCTGAGCCACAGACACCCGTGCACATCGGGAGCCGCCTCCAGCGACACTCACCGATTTGTTCTTGTCGTCCGGCAGGTGTGCTTCTGTCCTCTTCTTCCCTGACAGCCAGCGAGAGAGCCAGGACGCGCCACTCTGCACAAAACCATGACAACGCCTTGAGGACAACACAGAGGGAACGACATGGACGGTCCTGCGTGACCCCACTTGTGAAGTCCTGGGGGAGTCAGATCCACAGACAGGAAGTGGACCGCGGATGCAGGAGCTGGGGCACGGGTGGGGTGGGTGTTTCCTGGGACAGTCAGCTGGGAGGATGGACAGGCCCGAAGAGGACATGGCGGCTGCCCCACAGCTAGTGCCTGACGCTGCTGAGCTGTGCACAGGACGTGGGGCACGGTCAGTGTGGTGCTGTGTGCTCCACAGTTAAACTTCTGCCTCCAGAGATACTGTGTCTGTGTGCTGACAGGTGCGGGACCCGACACCCTCCCCATCTGAGCAGTGAGTGGCAGTCTGGGAAGTCAGCGTGGCCCCTCCACAGAGTCCCTCTGTGTCCCAAGCTGGAAGAGTTTACCCACTGGGAATTTCTGTCTTCGTCAAATACTGTACTGCACTTCTACTAAAAACACAGGGAGGAAGCAGCGATGGTCGCCCCCACTCGAAAGTTGCTTCTCTGGATCTCAGCAGGGGGACGGCCTGCCCTGGAGACCCCACAGTGACCTGCTCGCTTTCGACTTGTTTAGCTCACAATTCACACACATTCTGAATGAAAACTGCTCATAGCAGGTAGTAGCCATGACGGAAAAACTCGATGGACGAACCCTATTAAAACTGAGAACGTGTTCCCCAGACGGCGTCAGGAAAGTGAAAGGCAACGCACAGACCCGGAGCCTAACGGGGACTTGACCCACGTTGTGGAAAGACCTCCTGCAAGTCACCGACGACAAAAGCAAAACGGGGAAGACAGCGCACAGCGGAGGCCGGCGAGGGGGGATCGCGCGCCACGCTGCCCAGGAAATGCCCACGCAGCACAGCGAGCACCACCAGCCAGCAGAAGGGCCAACAGAAGGACCGCAGCGTCCACCCTGCACACGGGGACAAGGCCTGGATGGCGGGTACAGCTGTGGACGGCTGCTGGGAGGGCCCAGCGCCGTCAGGAGGAAGGGCACTAGGGCACCCACGCAGCAGGAGCTGCTACATGGTGACGCAGGACAAGCCTCGGTCACGTCAGGTTCACCCACAGCCAGAGCTCGTCGACGGCGACCGAAGTCAGGAGACAGGCTGGCTGTAGGGGTGGTGCCGACAGCCCATGGACACGAGGACGCTGGGAGGCTGGACGGCCCTGGCTCTGCACTGGGGTGTGCCATGGCCCAGACAGAGAGCCCCCCGAAGCTGCGCGCCCTCCACACTGCATGCGCTCGCGTGCAGAGGAGTCTGGCTGGCCCTGGCCAGTGTGGCTCGGGCGGGTGTCCCACGCACTGAAGACTGCCGGTTAGTCTCAGTCAGGGCTCAGGCCTGGGTTGTGGGCTCAATCCCAGGTACAGGCGTGCAGGAGGCAGCTGATCGGGGTTTCTCTCTCTCTCTCTAAAAAAATTAATAAAGGTATTTTTTAAATGTTTGGCTTAATCAGAAAAGAAACAAATGCCTTATCCTCAAGGGGGTTGCCCATGTGAGCTGAGCCCCCTGGGGCCTATTCCAGCCCCGCCCAGCTGGAGGTGGGCTGTGTGTTACCTTCTTGGGCTCTCTGGGCTCTGTTTTGGCTGCTTGTACCGGGCTCTTCACTTCAGGAGCAGGTGTCAAAGATGGAGGCTGCAGGGAACCCAGGCTGGCACCGCCCCACCCCGGGGGGGCCTCAGCGTCCTGCGGCTTCCTCGAGGAGCCCTGTCCAAGGCAACGAGGGAACAGTCACCCGGGCACCTCCCAGGAGCCCCCAGAACAACTGAGAGGCCGGATGGCGAAACCAAGGAGAGGGGAAGGTGGGGACGGGGGAGGGGTCCTGGCTCCCTGGACTAACGGAGGAGAGCCAGCCCGCACTTGACGGGTGACTTATCAGGGGGCATCACAGAAATCAGAAGGTGGGCTCTGGGTGGGAGAAAATGAACTCTATGCACAGAGCATCAAGACTGGTCGGCGGAACAGCGGGCTTCTTGAAAGTGAACTACCCCGGGGCTAGTAAGTCTGTCTCGATACAGCTAAGCTCTCGTGTCACTTTCCAGGGACAGAAGGTCCTGACGCCGAGCACACAGTGAGGTGGGGCAGCACCGATCGCCTGCTGACAGGCGTGCAGGCCAAGCGGGGTGTCCATGAAGACGTTTCCAGAAAGCAGCTTGTATAAAAGCATCTGACCCTCCCGCTTGGGGATCAGAGCGAACAGAGGTGGTATTTGTACCAAGCAGGCCTGATACAGTGAATCTCAACCTCAAGAGCAGGTGCAGAGCCAGGCAGGGGAGGGCCTTAGAGAAGCTGCAGCGAGCACCGGCTTCGCCAGGGGTGTTTCTGCTCCTGCACCTGACCGCTGTTATGCCAGTTCAGTCACCCTTCCCCCTCATGTCTTTACCAAATCGTCCTTTTTTAAGGATTTGAGCTTTTTTAGAAGTGCCTTCTCTTTAAGAAACACTTTAAACAACCGTTTCGAATGCTCAGCACCACCTGTCTGCTGGGCTGAGGAACAGCTGTGGGTCCCTACCGGACGAAAGCTGGGAGAGTACCAACCACATTATCCGATTTGCCACCAAAATCCTCTTCTCTCCGCTCTGCCAGTGAGCTTCTTCCGTGGGTGTCCTGTGGCAGCGTCCCTGTCAACAGCAGAGAGGACCCGTGACCCGGGGCCGAGCGCAGGACAGAGGAGGGGCGTGCAGGGCCGGCCTCCCAGTGCTCCGCCAGAACCAGGGCAGTGGTTCTCCTCGGGCATCCCCTTCGCTCTGTCCACGAGGCAGACAGGGGGCACGGCCAGGCAGAGTCCACGTGCAGGTCACAAGGGCACAGCCAGGGCGTACCCCACGGCATGCGGTCGTGCCCCAGACAGCCACGCCTCACCCTAACGATGGTCACGAGAACCACCAGCCTGCCATCCAGTTACCACTCAGCCTAAAAGAGCCGGGGTTTCGGCCTACAACACGCCCCGTAACTTGTCTTGAGTCCACACGACTTCAGTCTCTTCCCCTGACTGCTCCTGGAGCAGGAAACCCTGCTGAGCTCTGCTCTCAGCGACCTCGGCAGACCCACCTGAGCCCTGGGTCCGGAGCAGCTGTTCACCTTCCTGAAGAGACGGTGTGCTGGGTGGCATGCCAGGCCCTGGGTACAGCGCTGCAGGATCAGGCCCAGAGGGCTCTGCGAAGCCAAGCACAGACCCTGGGGCTCCACCACCAGGCCCCGGCTCAACAGTGCCTGGGGGCGGCACCGGGAACATTGGCACCCTGGCAGGGGTGGCGGGCTGGCCACCGGGGAGCGTCGGTGGAGCTGCATGGAGACAGTGGAGGAGAGAACGTCAAAGGTGCTGAGGTGAAGCCCATCAGCTGAACAAGCTCACTGGTGGTGACCAGACAATTACGGGGTGTTCTGCGCGGCCACGTTTCTTACTGAGACACAGGAGAACCGATCACTAAAGCAGAAATTGCCACAGAATCCAGGACATCGCTGGTTTGGGGCAAAGTGAGCAAATACTTCTTAGCGCTGAGGACTGGACATGGTTAACGGCGACATGGGGCATGACCCTAACCCTAGCACAACCCGGACTCCACCTCCGGGACTCAAACTGGCCACCCACTCGTCCTCAGGTCATTCAAAGCCATGAGACCTGCCGGGGTCAGCAAGGGAATAAGCACAAGAGGGGGAGACGAAGGTGGTACAAAGCTTCCCCTCCATTCTCCAGGGCTGCAAGCTGCCATCTTCAGCAGGTGCGCGGGCCCTCCCCCTGCGTGCTGGCTCACCTACAGGCAGCAGCCACATGCCCTGCTCAGCACTGGGCACAGGGGGCGCCAGTAGTGGATTCTCAGTGCCCAGGTCCAAGGGCTGCTCGAGTCCTGGGCCGTCAGGCTGCCCCACCTCGGAGCTTGGTGTGCTGGGACAGCGCTGGGGGAAGACGGCACCCTGACTCCACACCACAGCGCCCTCCTGAGGGAGAGACTTCACGTCGGGACACAGCGGGGCGGGGGAGCCGTCCGCCCCTCCCACTGCCCTGCTCACTCTGCGCTTTAGGAGCCCCTGCCTCCCGGAGAGCGGCCTCCCACTACACCCGCAGCTCCGCGGCCCCACCGCTCACACCCCGCCCCCGCCGCTCACACCCCGCCCACTCTCGCCCAGCCCGCGCCCAGGCCCGCGCACCTGCACCTGCTTCTGCACGCGCTGCAGCTGCACCAGCCAGGCGGGCTCCACGAAGGCCTCCTCCTCCGGCTTCGCTTTCAGCTGAGGGTCGAAGAGGCGTAACTGGGAAGAGACCTAGACACACGAGAAACAGGCCCGTCATGACCAGTGCCCACCTTCTCTGACCTGGGATGAGCATGCCCGGGTGCCACACGGAGGCAGCACATCAGCGGTGGCCTCTCCTGAGTGCCGACACGCCTCGCACATCCCAGCGACGTGAGTGGTCAGAAAGCGAGCCTGGGCGCTACAGCACACGAGGGCTGACCTCTGGAGTTGTCGGTGCGAGGTCACAGTGCCTGGAGCCCTGGGGCTGCCCCTGCTGCCCCCTGATGACACAGACCGGAGGTGACCGAGCCGAGTGCTGCTCTGACTCAGACGTGCACACACTTGGACGGGGCAGTGGGTGGGTCCAGATGAAACAAGTTACTAACTGTGAAGCTGTCTAAAAATCCCTAATAAACTTATTCAGGTATCACACAAGCACATTTTCAAAAACAACGCTCCTCGGGGAAGGGGAGACCTAACGGTGTGACCGCTCTGGCGCTGGCTGGGCAATGTCCACTGTCTCGTTCACCGTTCGCACAATGCTAAGCAGTCACGCTATTTCCACGTCCCAGAGCGGGAAACGAGGCCTGCAGGGGGGCAGTGGGACCCAAACCCAGCTGTCGGACTCCCAGGGCTGACACTGGTGACTGCTGGACGAGACTGCCTCTGGATGGACAGTCCTGGAGACAGGTCCTTCTCACCTGGAGGCACTGCTGAGTCTCTGTGCCCACGAGGCGGCAGCAGGACTCCTATGCTAACGCGCAGGACCCCAAAGAGCGCCTGAGAATGTCTCAGTGCAGGCCCGCCCTGGCGGGGCCGAGGCCGAGGCCGAGGACGCACCTGCAGCAGCTGGCTGATGAGCACGGGGGAGTGCCGGTGGGGCTGCCGCAGGACGCTCCTGGCTATCGCCTCGCAGTAGTGGAAGGCCTGTGTGGCCAGTCCCATGTCGGCCAGGCGGCAGGAGTAGATGAACTTGAACACCTGAAACAAGCAAGTGACCACCCTCAGCGGCCCCGCGGCTCCTCCGCACTTCCTGAGGCTGCCCCACAGCCTGCTACAAGCTGACAGGTATTCGGGGTGTTCTGTGGTCTCGTGTGCCCCGGCAGCCCCACAGCAGCACCAGCCCCCATTCCCTGAGAGTTCAGACCAAAGGAAACAACCTTCAGAGAGCCACCGGGCTATAACTCAGAGGCCGCAACTCAGCACACAATGGACGCCCCCCCAGCCAGACTGTCCCAAAGCCACTGTCTACTAGCTCAGGGTTATGCAAGTGTTCACACACACTCACACGTTCTCACATGCTTGTCCACACTCACACATGTGTACACATATACAATGGCCCACATGTATGCTCACATACCACTTGTTCCCTCATGTGCATATACTCACACACACTTGCACACATACTGACATGCACACACATGCACTCACTCTTGCATCGGATAACACTCCCCCTCATACTAAAAACAGCTGATAAAAACAAAATACTCAAGATCTTTAATGTTTAAAATATAAAGACCCTGAATACAACAAAATCCTTAATTCAACAGGGTTTATTCTCAATCGTCATAAATCAAATACCTCTCCAAGCCCTGGCTGGTTTGGCTCAGCGGTTAGAGTGTCGGCCCACAGACTCCCCAGAGTCCCGGGTTCAGTTCCCGCTAAGGGCATTTACCCTGGTTGCCGTTCATCCCCAGCCCCGGTTGGGGTCGTGTGGGTGGCAACCACTCAATGTCTCTCTCTCACATCGATGTTTTTCTCTCTTTCTCCCTCTCTCCATCCCGCTCTACCTGAAGATAAATGCAAAAAACAAAACAAAAAAACCAACGTCTCTCCAAGATTTCCAGAAACACAGGGCCTTTGCACAAGAATCCCAGATGCCTGCGCCAGCAGACCCGCCAGCCCGCGCTCACCTGGAAGTTGGGCATGGGGCTGGACTGCGCCCCCAGCGACTGGGCGTACTCATAGGCCTCCGTCCTCTGGATAGCTTCATTGGTCGCAAACTTCAAAAATGGCAAACTGTTGGGGAAACGAGCGTGTCGGCCTCGGAGCAGCCCCCAGGAGCGTGTCACACCACAGAGGGTGCGCAGCTGCCCTCCTGGCTCCATTTTTGGGTTCACTAATGGGGGGCGGGGGGGCGTGTCCTTCCAAAGGAAAACACAGTTATGCAAGTCCTTACCTGTGGTTCGACCCAATTAAGACAAGTTTCGTGGTTTTCTTTGTGTAAAACCCAAATCCCACCTCGGCCATGAGGTAGCAAAAGTGCGCAGCATCCAAGAGGCCTTTTGAAGCTGAGGAGTCAAAGTGGGCCAGGGCTCAGCCAGGGGCTCTCTGGGGATCAGACTACAGACAGGCGCTGGCCGGTGCCAGAGGAACGGAAGTCTGTGGCCCCTCCCACCTGACCCCAGCTGTCTCCCGTGTTCCCCGCACCAGGGCCTCCCTTTCGGCACCAGACCCACCTAGCGTGTCTCCCATTGTGGCCATTGTCCTGGACTCCACGTCCATGTTGTTGTTCAGGTTGGACAAAACCATAGCCAGGTGCGGCCTCCAGTCGCCCCACTTCTCGTCTCCGCAACACTAAAGCCGCAGGGAAGCAAGCAGAGCACACCCTTATCACGGGAAGGGGCACCCCTGTCGCTCGGCAATGGACAGCAAAATGCCAGTCTCATCCTGCGATGAAACCTTCCAGGAGCCAGTGCCCACGACAACAGGGCCGCGGGAGCAACGGGGTGAGCTCCCCACTGACCGTGGATGCTGCAGGCATCCGCCCGGACATCAGCTGGTAGACGGTCTGCAAAGGGTCGTTGATTGGAAGACTGTTGGCGAACCTGGGGAAACACAATGAGAGAAAAATCTAACTTGACTTAAAAACAAGACACAAGTCTGGTCTCATCTCAGCCCCTTCAGTGACCAGTCCGATGCTCCACCTGGGCAGTGCACACAGCTCCGAGCTCTGAAGCACCGCAGTGCAGGTGCATTTCCCAGCTTTCTGTGACGAGAGCCAGACACCTGTGTGCCTCAAAGAGCTGCCAAGACACTGCCGGACCAGCTGGTCACACCTAGAAGCTGTCAGCCCAGAGATGCTTTACCTGGTCATGACTCTGGCATGTGTCCGGCTGTCCATCTTGCTTGCGAGTAACAGGGCATGGCCCCACAAGCCATTTTTCATCGCAGACTCCAGAGCATCCTGCAAAGCAATGTCGTGGTGAGCCGAGTGGGCACAGGGCACACAGGACACGAGTCGGCGGCCACAGACCGCACGGTCCCGTCGCCAGGAAAGGAGAAAGAACTCAATGGCGGGGAGACACATGCCTCAGTGGCCCCCAGTACACCTGTGCACAGCTCCGAAATCAAAGACAAGCCCACACGTGACTCTCCCGCACCCACTGCCGGGCTGTGAGCCTTGCTGCGCACGCTGCTTCCGCAGACTCTGCAGCACGGAGGGCGAGCCGCCCTGGCCCGGTGGCTCAGCTGTCGAAGTGTCATCCTGATGCACCAAGGTTGCAGGTTTGATCTCCAGTCAGGGCACATACAAGAATCAACCAATGAGCCCAGCCGGTGTGGGTCAGTGGTTGAGCGTCAACCCTGCACCAAGAGGTCGCCCGGTTCAATTGCCGGTCAGGGCACATGCCCAGGTTGTGGGCCGAATCCCCAGTGTGGGGTGTGCAGGAAGTGGCCAGTTGATATTCTCTCTCATCAATTGATGTTTCTATCTCTCTCTCCCTCTCTTTCTCTAAAATCAATAAAGAAAAAAAATTTTTAAAAAAGAATCAACCAATGAGTGTGTAAATGGAACAACAATCAACGTTTCTCTCTCTCCTTTCCCCAAAATCAATAAATTGTTGTTAAACCTCATCTGAGGATATTTTTCCATTGATTTTTAGACAGAGTGGAAGGGAGAGAAGGAGGGAGGGGAGGTGAGAGAAACATCGATGTGAGAGACACATCAGTTGGTTGCCTCCCACACGACCCTGGCCGAGGACTGAACCTGCAACTCAGGTCCGTGCCCTTGACCAGAATCAAACCCAAGACTCCTCAGGCCTCGGCTGACGCTCTCACTGTGAGCCACACCGGCCAGGCCGATTCTTTATGAATGTTACCACGGAGACCACTGCTCTCGAGGAAGGACTGCCCCCACACCTGATCCCTGGCACTGAGCCACGCTGGGCAGACGCTGAGCCACGCCGTGGTCCGGGAGCCCAGGACTGACCTTCTTGCGGCCGTACAGCAGCAGCTCTCTGAACCGCTCCGTCTCTTTCTCCAGCGTGTCGGTGCTGGTGGCCTGACTGTCCGTGAGAAACGAGAGCTGGGCCTCCCCCGACTCCTCCTCCTCGGCTCGATCCAAGGCCTCGTTTGTAAAATCAATCAGATTGGCCTCGTTGGGTGACTTCCCAGGAAGCCACACTGTTTTGTGGTCTTGTAACAACAGTTCCGCGATGTCTGTTCCCACCACGGTCTGCAGGGCGGCAGGGACAGAGAGAAGAACAGGGGCTTCACTACGGACAGGACGTCCCACGAGCCCTGCTCCGGCGAAGACCCTCAACAGGTCTCTGCAGACGAGCACGCTAGGAGGCCGCAGCTCAAACGGTCACAGACTGCCCGACAGACTGACACGCGGGCCCACACCTCCCTTTGCCCTCACTGTCCTCTGCTTGTCCCACTTCTCGCGTCACTGCTGAGACAGCTCTGCGTGCGCGTGCGCGTGCTCGTCCCGGCAGAGACCCCGTCCCTCTCCTGGGGGGTCCCAGAGGCTCCAGGCCACAGAAAGAAGTGTTTTAAAGGTGAAAAGACACAGACCCCATTCTGTCTGCACATCAGAACGATCAAGTTCCAGAGAAGATTTGCAGACTCTTTGTCGATTAAGTTTCCGTTCTGCAAACATTGTGTGGCTTTGCTCTGTGCAAAATTAATAACATCCACTTTATGGGTGTCGTCTCTGAAACAAGAACAGCACTCGGTGAACAGCAAGCGCAGCGGCAAGGCCACACTCGGCCTCGGCAGCCCACCGGCCGCCCCAGGCGCCCGGCGACGTACTTGCCCAGTGGCCCCGGGAACGCGCGCATCTCCTCCTGCTCCGGCATGTGCTGCAGCAGCGTCTGCGGAGAACAGGCGAGGGGAGGGAGGGCAGTTGAGGGACAGGCCCTGCCACTGCCCACCTGTGTCGGCTGACCTGAGGACAGCCGGTCCCTACTCGGGAGGCAAAGCTGCTCCATCGTGGGGCACGGCCGTGTCTGGTCCGCAACGGTGACTTTAACACTTCATTTTAGACAGTGAGACCCATTCCCCCCAAACTCTGAACCAATACATGTGACAGGTCTGTGGGGCTGCAAAACAGTGCCTGCCCCACATGGGCCCCCTGGGGCAGCCCCCCACCCTGGCCATAGGAGCACAAAGCACCACCTCTCTACCTGTTATCGAAAACCACCAGTAAGCCCTGGCCCACTTGGCTCAGTGGTTAGATTGTTTGCTCATGGAAGAGTCATGGGTTCGATTCCTGGTTAAGGGCATGTACCTGGGTGGCAGGTTCTATCCCTGGCCCTAGTCTGGGTCATGTGGGAGACAGATAATTGATGTTTCTCTCTCCCGCCTTTCTCCATCTCTCCCTCCCTCTCTTCCACTCTATCTAAAAATCAACAGGAAAATATCCTCAGGTGAGGATTAAAAAAAGAAAAAGAAAACCACCAGTAAACCAACACCAACAGTACCCTCCCCTCAAAATCAGAAAGGCAAATAAAGATACAAGATGTATGGCCAAATAGAACAAATAAAACCCTATAACTACTTTTTTTTTTAATCCTCACCAGAGGATATTTTTCCATTTATTTTTTTTCAGACAGAGTGGGAGGGAGAGAGAGAAACATCAATGTGAGAGAGACACATTGGCTGCCTCCCCACAACCCTGACCAGGGCCAGGGACCGAACTGCAACCGAGGTACGTGCCCCTGACCAGAATCGAGCCTGCGACTGTTGGCTGACGCTCTGACCGGCCATGCGAACCTGACCGCTCTGCCGGGCCTTCTCAGAGACCAGGGAGAGCGCAGGGCGGCCGCGGGCCTGCAGCCACCCCGGGCTCACCTCCATGCTGTGCACTTCCACCAGGGCGGGCTGTCCTTCCGAAGGCAGATTGGGGATCACCCGGATGAGCTGCCCGCCAGGACCGAACCTGGCACAGACGTGAGGCACGGAGAACTTCTCGGGAGACGTGGGTCTCGACGGAGCTGCAGTGAAGGATGTGGACAGGAGACAGCAAGCTTGTCAGTCCCGAGTGCTTTGGAGCCAGACTCGTAGCTTGGATGTCAGGAGCACACGGCTGGCTTCCAGAACATTCCCAGAACGACTCACTTCCAGTTGAAAGTTAATAATTGCTAAACATCTCATTAAAAAAGCAGCACTTCAGCATGTTAGGACATCTGAATCGTCAGGAGACGAGAACCGGTCTCCTCACATCCGAGCACGGCCCGGAGCCAGGCACAGGAGGCCCTTCAGTGCCTCAGTTTCTGTTCTCACTTGGGAGCGAGTGGCCACGTGCAGTGCGGTGCCAGAGCGACACCTCGAGTCCAAAAGGAGGGTGCTCACCAGCTGCGTGGTTCGGTGGTGGAGCACAGTGCTGGGCACCGAAAGGTCACCAGTTCGATTCCGGGTCAGGCCACACACCTGGGTTTCGGGTTTGATCCCTGACCCTAGTCGAGGTGCATATGGAGGGGAGGGGGACAGGCAACCAACTGATCTCTCTCTCTCTCTTTTCCCCCTTCCTCTAAGCATGACCTCGGGTGAGGATTGAAAAAAATAAAAAAGAGGGTTTTCAGTTGCAACACTACTTCAAGAAGGAAAGTCCACTATTACGTTTCAGAACTTCACACTCTTCCACAATTTTTAAGACCCAGCGTTTAAACGAGTGTTTCAAGAGGGACTGAGAATGTGACCCGTGTGACAAGTCTATGACCGTTTTCTAGGGGAATCAGAAGTTTCCTCCAGAAGCTGCTTACCTGTGAGGTCGGCATGGGAATATGAGGCCCGCCCAAGACCCCGCGGAGAGCCTGCACTCCGCACATGAGGGCAGGTGACAGTCGGCAGGGCAGCTGTCAGCCCCGTGAGCCACACTGCAGATGAGGGACGCCATCAGCACATCGTGACAAGCCCCGTCGCTCAGAAGGATGGGCGTGCTGTGACACAGCTGTCCTGACTTCCAGGGACGGTCAGGCCAGGCCACCTGAACCCCCATCAGCTACAGCTCACTCCCTGTTTCTTGTCCCAGGCTTGTGAAGCTACCCCACAGGGTGACTCGGTGTCCCCTGCACCTGTGGGCACATAGGGCCTTGACCACACACACCTTGCTCCATGGTGGGCCAACCGGTGTCAGCAGGGTAGCCGTACTCTGGGAAGCCCTGGGCACTGCTGAAATTGCTCACGTAGGTGTCATAGGCATAGTCCCCGTGGAAGGAGCCCGGCGGAGGTGGGGCCTCATAAGGACCCCCAGTCACATTGCAGCTTCTGTAAACCTGACTCTTAGGACACACAAAGCCAGGAGGTAAAATCAGTCGCCGTGAGCGCAATTCACATTTGGAGCATGCGGTCAGAGCACAGGGCGGGGGAACTGAGTGGATGGAGGGCCTGCCCACCTGCCCGCCCAGCGCCAGCCCGGCGCCCACCTGCTGCGAGTGGGCACTGAAGCTGCTGTGGCGGCTGTGCACGCTGGGCGCACTGCGAAGGCTCTGCCCCGAGTGCTCACTGTGCACACTGCGCCGGTCCACGTCGTCCCCGTAAGGGTCCCTGTGGGGCTCAGGGTCGTCATCAAAACTCCCTGTGAAGCGAGGGTCGTACCTCCAGGGGTCGTCATACCTCTCGGGCCTAGAGGACCAGTGGGGCAGAGGCGAGAGGGCACTGGGGCCACCGGGCGCGATGCACTGCTGCTCAACACTCAAGCCCCCTCCCCCGGTCCTCACGCCCTGCCGCCCTCCCGCCACTCAGTCCACACTGGTCGGAGCCCACCCTCGAACTCAGGCCCCGTGAGAAGATTCAGAGACAATGCTGCAAGTTCATGGTCAGCTGTCACGCGTCTCACGGACACTGGGAAGACAAGGGGGCACCCCAGCCCCCAGGCATTTGTTCTGAGGCCCAAAGGAGAAAGGCAGGGAGGGTCAGGTCCATGCACCCCTTTCAGACAGGGACTGTGATGCCAGCTGTTCACCAGGAACCCACACCAGCCGCAGCTCCTGGGTCATTTCCAAAGTACAGCTTTGACTCCCATCCACCCCTCAGCAAGGTGCATCTTACCCACCTGTCAGCGTAAGCGTAGCTTTCTTTCCTGTACGGGTCGTACTCCATGTCATACCAATACCTGCGGTCATAGGGGCGGGGATCCCTGAACCCAGAACCATAGGCGTATCGATCCCAGCGACCCGGATCTGTAAGCAAGGGATTGACAGGAGAATACAACATGCATGAAAGACACTGCCCGCCTGCCCTGGACCAGCTGCGCCGCCCAGCACTGACGTATGCTCCCAGGCTGCCTGAGACCAAACTTTCCTCCCCAGAGTCAGCGCGACCCTGGGGTGTTATCTGATACCGCAGGTCCTGGCTGAGTCCTGCCGCATGTATAATCCTTAATGGCCGTTGGTTTTTTTCTCAGTACACGTGATTAAAACAAACAACAAACTGGCTATGTGACATCTTGATTAAATTCTTGCCCACAGTTTCTACTTTTTAATGGTCAATCCCATAACTATGAATTTTACTCATGTCTTTTCTAATGTGGCCTAGAAAGGTTTAAGAAATATTCTCAAAACTAAAGGACAGCTTTATTTATTTTTTTATCCTCAACCAAGGAAATTTTTGCATTTATCTTCAGATAGAGCTGGAGGGAGAGGGGGAGGAAGAGAGAGAGAGAAACATCAATGTGAGAGAGAAACGTTGATGTGAGAGAGACACATCGACCAGTTGCCACCCACATGACCCCAACTGGGGCTGGGGACAAACTGCAACCGAGGTACATGCCCTTAGCAGAAACCAAACCCGGGACTCTGGTTTGCGGGCCGACGCTCTAACCGCTGAGCAAAACCAGCCAGGGCTAAAGGACAGCTTTTAAAGAGTCCGGTAACATTAAAACAAACCAGATGCACCTTTCTGGCAAGTGTGTGCAGAATTCGTGCTTGAAGTGATGCAGACACGAAGGGGAAGCAGAGGCCTGTGAGCAGGTGCGCTGCAGGCTCGAGGCCCTCCTCTGCACAAGCACAGGACACAGCTGGGCAGAGGGCGGAGCAGGGTTCAGGGACGTGTGACCAAAAGGCACACCCTGCCTGACAGCAAGGGGACAGGTCTGCACCTCCAACACTGGAGCCACGGCCACACGTGGCCACAGAGCACGGCAGACATGGCTATTGCCACTGAGAAGCTGCTTTTTCATTTTATTTCCTTTGATCAATGTGAACAGTCACCCGTGGACAAGGCAGCTCCAGAGCTACTGATAACTGTGTTCTGATAGAAAAATCAAAGAAAACTGCTAATATGATATAGACATATTCATGCTGAGATTAAGATGCAACTTCTGAATGAAAAACAGCATTCTAATTCCTTCCAGATACAGATTACTTGGGCTCTTGAAGACAGGAACTAGAGAAGGGACTCTGCCTAAGGCCCGCAGAGCGCGCTCGCCATCTGCCCCGGCTGCCGGCGGCTCCACCCACCTGCGTACTCGTACTGGCCGCAGTAGTAGTTGGCATAATCGCTCTGGCTGCTCCATCCACGCCTGGAACCGTAGTAATCTTCAGGATGCCCTTGCCTGAAATCACAGTGTCAACAACAATCACGTACTTTTGAGAAGAGCAGCAGGATCTCAGTAGAGATTGTACTGGTCGTGGAAAACTCTAAACAGAAGACCCAAAACCACACAAAGACGAGATTGAGGGATTCCCTATCACCTAGTGGGTTAGAGTCTCTCTTAAGACAACTATGTGAGCGCCTGGCCAGTGTGGCTCAGTGGTTGAGCATAGACCCAGCACCAAGAGGTCGCCAGTTCGATGCCTGGTCAGGGCACATGCCCAGGTTGTGGGCCAAATCCCCAGTGGGGGGCATGGAGGCGGCCAATCGATGTTCTCTCTCATCGATGTTTCTGTCTCTGTCCCTCTCCCTTCCTCTCTCTAAAGATCACTATGCGAGTGTGTCAGCCTAGAACCCAGTGCTCTCGGAGCCGGCGCCGTGCAGCCAGGGCCCAGTGCTCTCGGAGCCGGCGCCGTACAGCCAGGGCCCAGTGCTCTCAGAGCCGGCGCCGTGCAGCCTAGAACCCAGTGCTCTCGGAGCCGGCGCCGTGCAGCCAGGGCCCAGTGCTCTCGGAGCCGGCGCCGTACAGCCAGGGCCCAGTGCTCTCAGAGCCGGCGCCGTACAGCCAGGGCCCAGTGCTCTCAGAGCCGGCGCCGTGCAGCCTAGAACCCAGTGCTCTCAGAGCCGGCGCCGTACAGCCAGAACCCAGTGCTCTCAGAGCCGGCGCCGTGCAGCCTAGAACCCAGTGCTCTCAGAGCCGGCGCCGTACAGCCAGAACCCAGTGCTCTCAGAGCCGGCGCCGTACAGCCAGAACCCAGTGCTCTCAGAGCCGGCGCCGTACAGCCAGAACCCAGTGCTCTCAGAGCCGGCGCCGTGCAGCCAGAACCCAGTGCTCTCAGAGCCGGCGCCGTGCAGCCAGAACCCAGTGCTCTCAGAGCCGGCGCCGTGCAGCCAGGGCCCAGTGCTCTCGGAGCCGGCGCGTGCAGCCAGAACCCAGTGCTCTCGGAGCCGGCGCCGTGCAGCCAGAAACCCAGTGCTCTCAGAGCCGGCGCCGTGCAGCCAGGGCCCAGTGCTCTCAGAGCCGGCGCCGTGCAGCCAGGGCCCAGTGCTCTCGGAGCCGGCGCCGTGCAGCCAGAACCCAGTGCTCTCGGAGCCGGCGCCGTGCAGCCAGGGCCCAGTGCTCTCAGAGCCGGCGCCGTGCAGCCAGGGCCCAGTGCTCTCGGAGCCGGCGCCGTGCAGCCAGAACCCAGTGCTCTCAGAGCCGGCGCCGTGCAGCCAGGGCCCAGTGCTCTCGGAGCCGGCGCCGTGCAGCCAGAACCCAGTGCTCTCGGAGCCGGCGCCGTGCAGCCAGGGCCCAGTGCTCTCGGAGCCGGCGCCGTGCAGCCAGGGCCGAAACATGCTCGAAGGCGTGGACCTCAGACCAGCAGAAGCCGAAGGCCCCAGGTATGAAACTGAGCCACATGCCGACTTTCAGACCCTCACAGACCAGACTGCACCGAGCGTCCTGAGCAGGTCAAGGTGCGCCCGGCCCTGGTGGCCCTCGGAGCTGACCGGCAGGGGCCTCGCCTTGCACCGGGCAGGCTGGCTTCACTGCAAGCCTGCCTGTGCCCGCACTGCAGACAAGTGGAACTCAGCAGGAAGGTCAACTGTCAGAACAGGCAATAAGATTCTTGAAAGAATTAATGACATTTTTGTTTTGTTTTTTTAACATCAAGTTTTAGATAATATTATATTTTGAATGAACTTCTCTCGTCTCACTCAGCTGAGCCAGGGCTTGGCAGGCACAGCTCCGAGGAGGGAGTGCGGGGCCTCAGCACCCGCTCTCGCCACCCCGTCGTGAGAGCAACTGTCTACATGGGGGCTCCCGGAAAATGACCCTAGGCAGCACAAAACCAGGACACACACCTGGCCCCCAAACCCTGCATCCATCAGAAAGAACAATGGCAGAAACGAAAGGGCCATGCTCACCTCGAGCAGCTCCCACAAGGGTGTGATCACAGCAGCATGAGAACGACGAGCTGATGCTAAACACTGCATGGAAACCCACGTACACGCATGTACCCGCACTAAAGCAGGGCAGGAAGGAGAGGCTGCTCACCAGCACTGCCACAGTGCCGTAAAAACGGCAGGGAAGGTGACAGACCTTCCATGTAACCGCCCAGCCTCTGGTCAGGCATCTCTGCACACCGGGCCGGCTCGGGCCTCTGCACTGAGTCGCCACATCCCTCTGCAGTGGGCAAGCAAAAAAACCCCAGAACAGCCAGATGTGCCCTGGCTCCACCCACTTCTGTGATCCCTTGGCTCCCAAGCATTCTAGAAAACATCAGCCCATTGCTCTCACTGAATCGAAACACTTCCCAGGTGACGGGGGGCGCCCAGGTGCTAAGACCCGGAACCTTCTCACATAAAGCACCAGTACACTGGGCTACACTCAGGTCAGTGTGTCCCTCTGTGGCACTGGCAGAGGTCAGCTGACAGCAAAGGCTCCCAGACAAGCTCCCAGACACCGGAAGAGCCAGCACAAGGAGCCCGAGGTTCTGAAAGACAGCTGAGTACACCAAGTCCACATCAGCGACCAGACCGTTTCTGTTGAGTTTAAGGGACCACATGCCCCTGGAGCAGAGCCTACACCTGTGAGACATCACTTCGCCCGGTGAAGGCTTTGGGAGCGGGCAGAGTGGGACACACGGACAGCTGCCCTCCCCTCATCCCGACTCCACCAGCATCTGGGCAGGAAGCCTCTGACGGGTGCCAGGGCTCCTTCAACGCCCCTCGTTTGTAACCACAGAACCCAGCCAGGGTCAGTGCGACAGAAGCAGGACAGTGAGGTCTGGGGTCTCTGGCATAGGAGGCAGCGTTGGGGAAAAACATGGGCTTTTAGGTCAAGGGGCCAGCTGTGTTCTGGCCCAAGCCTGCCTGGCCTAAGCGCCAGGAACTCTCTGTGACCCGTGGTGGGGACAATCCACAGGGTAGGAGCTGCTGCCATCCAAGACCCTGAGTGTTCCGTCAGCGAGCCCCAGAGTGTGTGTGCGCCCAGCCATGAGCCATGGCCTGGGCCGGAGAGACCGCCCTGGGGGCCCGCACCAGGTCTGCCACGTGGCCACAGCTGCATGGCAGTGCGCTGACCTTAACTGAACCGCATCTTGAACCTGTCCATATGACAAAACAGTGACACAACGGGGTCGTGTGATTCTTTACAGTCTTCAAACCACAACATCACTGACACAGCCAGCAACACAAACGTCCATTACCTGGCAGATGGCCGATCTGAGCAGTGACTCGCCCGGGAGCTGGGCCGCTCGGGCTCGGGGTAGCGGTAGTTCTCAGCGTAGGTGGATGCTGCACTATTGTAGGGCCTGTATCTGGGCTCGTACAGGCCATAGATGTCCTGTGGGAAGACAGGTTTGAGTGACATCAGCTACCAGTGAGGAGCCAGCCCACCCAGTAAGCAGCAGCAGCTCTAAGAGGTACAGACGCCGTTCTCCCAGGGGTGCTGGACACAGGTCTTCTCTGTGCAAAACATAAAGTACAGGATGACAGCCCCGGCAGACAGCTGACTGCCCTAAAACCGACTGGCCAGGCCCTACTCAGGAGACACCAGGATGTCAGTAGGGACCCCCAAGAAGCTGTGGCAACTCTCAAGGGCTCCATTAGGCTTCTGCTTCCTGAGGAGCCATATAGAGAGGTACCATCTCAGGTAAGCATCCATTTGAACGGGTCCTGAAACTACGGGCAGCCTCCAAGAGAGGACATTCTATCCTTAGAGGCTTCCAGCCCTAGTACAAATCACTGACTGACCCCAGCTCTGCCCTAAGGACCTGAAGCAGGGGCAGGCGACCAGGCACTAGCAGTGCCAGTCGTAGGCATCTGAGAGCCTGACTGCCGCCAGCGGGCAGAGGGCAGGAATCATGCCACGTGCATTTCCTGACTGGTGCCGGAAGCCAGGGTAACGTGAAGCAGGCAGAGGGCTCGGCCCCGGCGAAGCTGACCTCCGGCGCTGAAGCAGTGCTGCGCACAGGCCCCAAAGACGTGGAGCTTCCCTGCCTCCCTGCTACAGGGGTAAAGTCGACGCGGCTCCTGTGGGAACCTAGACTCACAGGTCTCGGTGGTCAGAGGTTAACTGCTCACACACACAAAGATGCTGAGGGCCCATGACAGGGCACAGGCCTCCCATCACCTGACCTGACCCAACCTCTTCCGAGCACAAGGCCCCAGATCAGTCCCCTGCCCTGCCGTGAGCCAGTGGTTTCGACCTCCCTGGTCCACTATCCCGCTGTCTCGGCTGACCTGGAATGACACTGGGCCCGGACTAGGGGGGTGACGAAAAGTAGGTAATAATGAAATGTGTCTACTTGGACCCCACTTTTACAGACAAAATTGGTCCAGCAGCTCCAGCCAGGCAGCTGTTTTTCAGGATGAAACGGAACCTAATCTGGACAGCACCTGGAGCCTGCAGTGCTGGAGAGGAGAAACCTCTGTGCGGCAGCGGGGTCCCTCAGCTGGCAGACTCCTAGACACCGGGGAGAAGCTGGTGGAGTCTCACCTCTTGCTGTTTCACTTGGTTTACATGCTAAATCTAACTTTTTTCCCTAAATACTTTTATTCTGAAGGAGGGGTTTAAAAGACTAGTTTTCCTGCTGCTTCTCAGGTAGGTTTCTGATGTCACAACCACACGCAGCTTTAAGCAGCTCTCCGGCTCCCTAAAGTCTGCAACTAAGAACTTGGGCTCTGCAGACCACTGACTGGCGCGACAGGAAGCAAAGGCCTTTCTGTCCCACAAGTTGGAGCTGTGCGTTATACAGGGACCAAGCAGGCATCTCCACGGTTCAACAAGCTAACAGCTAGTGGGACTTCCGTGAGGCGGGCCGTGCTTGGCAGAGCAGAGCCCTTATCCCACAAGCAGTGACCAGACCAGCGTCCTGCAAGGGTTCTGAACCAACAGAATTCTGCCGAGGAGCATGTGGAAAAGACCGCTGGTCACAGGGTCCACCGTCCAAGCTCAGCCCTACCTGGTAGCAGAGTGGAGCTGTGCCAGGGTCTGGAGGGTACGGTGAGGGGTACTGGGCTTGGCAGCCATCATACGGGGCTCTGTAATAGTAAGAGGACGCGGAGTCCAGGGGCTGCGGCTGCATCCAATGCTGGCCCGGTGGCACAGCTGCCTGGCTGGAGCTGCTGGACACGACCGACGCGCTGGAGGACTGAGGTGGCCGAGGCAGCAGCTGCTGACCCGAGTCAGCTGGAGCTGGACTTGCAGGTGGCTGGGCTGGGTTCTGGGGCTGTCCTTGTGCTAGTGGACTTTCTGGGTTTGAGGGTTCTGAAGGTGCTGCTTTGGGCCCTTGTAGGGGAGGAGCTAGCTCCTGCTGGGCCCTGTCTGGGCTGCACTGGTCCTGAGCGCCTTCTGTCCTCTGTTGGTAGAGATGGTCTGGGTTATGCACCCCAGGCCCAGGCTGTCTGGGATGGTTGGGGATGGTTTGCTGATAAGAGGCTGGGCCATCAGAATGGGACAGGCTATACATTCTCATGGGATGTTCCAAAGTCCTATTTAGTGTGAAGTCCAGTGCTCCTGAAGTCTCTTCCCAATTACTGGGGTGATTTGCCTTATTACTGTGGGCTTCCGGGGCAGTGTTTGTGGGCGACACCAACGTGATGCCTGTGTTCCCAGCAGGGCTGTTACCCAGCTCTGGGAGAGCGTTCTCTGAACTGTGAATCTTCTGACCTTCTGGAAGCAAGTTCTTTGGAGCTGGATGAGAGGGTGGTTGAACCAGCAAATTAGCAGGTTGGGTGGGAAGAATTTCAGAAACGTGTGGAAAATTACCCTGGCCAAGGTTGTTAGGCAGAGGTGAGCAGATGAGAGAGCTGGCTGGAACCCCAGACAGAGGTGTGGCTTCTCCAGAATCGCTCCCCATGGCCCGGCTGCTCATGGTAGACCTGTCCCCAACCCGAGCCTCTCTCCAGGACTGAGTCTTCTCATTAGGACTCGACGAGGACACAGAAAAATGAATGGGCTGAGCCAGATTAGAGCTCAGATCAGGCTGAGCAATCAAGACCGGTTGATTTTGCAAAGATTCAGTGGGTGGTGAGGACAACAGACTGGCATAACCAGAACCTGCCTGAGACAGGAGAGCCTCCTCATCTCCCATCTTGGGAGGGTTCTCGAGGTTCTCAGAAGCACCAATGCCATCCCCACTCTGCAGGGGGGGGAGGCAGCCTGGCTGCTGGGACAGCTGACCAGACACCCCCTCATCTGGAGGCTGAACCACTTCAGACGGCTGAGGTTTTCCAGGCACGTGAAGCACGGGAGCAGCAGGGGCTAAAAGGACGTTGCCCCCAAAGTCTGGCAGTTCGTTCTGTGCCCACAGAGTCGTTGCTGGGCTCTCACACTTCACGGCTCCCTGGGCCCTGGTCGAGGGCCTCTTCTCAGGTGTGGGAAGCACAGTCTCCAAGGGTGGCCCCCCAGGCTGCGGAAGCCTGTGACCGGCTTCTGCAGGTGCGAGAAGAGGCAGAGGACAGACCTGGGGTGGGAGGAGGGTCTCCATGTTGTCTGGTGGCTGCTCCAGGTTGCCAGGGCAGGTGTCAGGCGGTGCAGCGGCTGGTCTGCGCTTCTGGTGAGCATGGGTCTCCCTTACCTCACCCACCACATTGGCACGATCTGCCTCGATTGGTTTTACTCCGACTAAGTGGGATTTCACTGGTTCAAAAGAACTATTTGCACTTGTCTGAAATATCCCTGTAGGTTTGGGGGGGCTTGGGGTCAAAGGCTGGGACAGGCTGCTGTGGTAATTCTGGCTCACGGTGGTCTCATCTGTCTCACCTCCCACAGGAGAAGAATCTATTTGCTTAAAAAAGCTCCCTGAAGCCTCATCCTCAGGTTTTCCCACTTCCTGCTGGATGAAAGTGCCCAGGTCCTGGGGCCTGGCTGCACTGGGGACGCTCCGGTGGCTCTTGCTGCTGTAACTAGAGGACACGCTATCAGACCGCACGGGGTGCAGTGGCATGTCCAGGGCCTCGAGATTCGAGCCCCCACCTCCAGTGTGGCCTGCGACAGCGAGCCTGGGGACCCCGGGCCCAGGAAGAGGCCCGCATCTGAGCTGATCGCCTGGGGAGGAAGCATCCAAACGTGGGGGCTCACTTGGCGGAACCTCTTGGTTCTGAGTGAAGTCTACGTTCTCCACGTTCTCACAGCGCGAGCCACCAGTGTCGCGAGTCCCTGCACCGGCCGCGCCACCCCACAAAGCAGCAGCTGTGTTCTGAGCGGTTGGTTTATCGCGCTGGGTGCCTGCAGACTGAGGAAAGTAAGGTTGCGTGTCTCCACCCGGCTGCGCGGTCTCGCTGCGGGAGGCTCTGAGAAAGGCCTGGTAAACGCCGCCTGCTCCCCCAAGTGCAGGAGGAGGGCCCAGGCCACGGCTGGGGGAGAAACCGTCCAAGTCAGCCGGACCAGCAGAGCCCGCGTTTTCAGAGGAGAGGGTCTCCTCATTTTCCGTCTCTCCTCCGCGGAAAAACATGGAGAGCGCGCCCGAGTCGGCTTCTGGCAGGGCCTGGCTGCTCCCGGCCCCCAGTGGGCAGTGTGAACGGCTTTCGGGGCTATGTACCCGAGCGAAGGGACTCACAAGGGCAGGGGTTGGCAGCTGCTCTTTATTCGCTCCTGGGTTCGGCCTGAACTCCTGGCCAGCCCGGGTATTCCCAACTCTGAAAGTCTGCCTGAATGCGTTTTCAAGATCAAAGTTACTTGCTGAGTAGTTTCCACTTTGCAGGAAGGCTGCCTCATCTCTTCCACCACCGGCCAAGGGTCCTGTGCCGGAAGGGCTGTGCCACTCGTGGTCAGACCCCTGAGGCAGGCTGGACAGCGCAGGGACGTGGGAGACGCTGGAGGCCGGCGGTGCCGCATGCGGAACAGGTCCTTCTGGGCAGGGCCAATAGTGCTGAGCCGGGGGCTGGGGGCCTCCCTGCACCGGCCCCCACTGCCCTGGCATCTGCTGACGAGGCTGAGAGAAGAAAGGGGACGCTGCTGGAGCCGCGGCACTGCCGTGAGTGTTCTGCCCACTCGGGGGTCTGTCAGGCCCAGGCAGGTCCCCGTGCAGAGGGCCCCTGTGAGGACTGCCAGAACCCGCTCCTGGAATGTACGGAGCCTGAACTTCGTGCTCCGAGCTGGAAGCGACCTGGGCACTCCTGTTCACCTCAGGCCCCGGCGGTGCTGGAGGGGTCAACACACTGGAAGGTGGACTTGCCACTGGCCTGGGCTGTGACGGAGGTCTCGGCAGAGGCTCGCAGGGCCCTTGGGAGCTATACGCAGCATTTGTGTGAGGCGCAGGCAGACCAGGGTGCTGAAGAAATGCTGGTGGGGCCGAGGCGGGCAAAACGGGTGGGCTGCTTCTGGACGAGGTGTTTTCAAGTGCCTGTCTACTGAAAGCAAACGGATCCGTTACCGGCTGCAGTGGGCAAGTCACTGAAGCCAATGGTCCACTAGTGACCGCCTGTCTCCTGTATGAGCTGCTGGACCAGAACATGCTCGGAGGGCTCCCAGCTGGAGGCGGCCCCACCAGGCTGGGTGGGACAGCCTGTGGCGGTGGCTGCATGGCTGAGCTCTTGCACAATTAGATGCCGCTTACAGAGAGAAGCAGGATCTAGGTTATTCTTAATTTGAACTGAAAAAGAAAAAGAAAAGAAAAAATTGGCATACAATTCATATACTAGAAGACCTGGTTACAATCAGAAAAACTAAGAAAAAAGAACATGACAGATAGTGATTTCATGTCATGAAAGTCCCGAGGATGCACCTCTCCGACCCCTACTCCTACCCAGAATTGCCACTGTCTGGGGTGCCAGCACTGGACGGGAACACACGTGCTGGTTGTGCCCCAACCTGCTGAGTGACTTCAGACAAGTCACTGCCCTCTCCTGGGACTGTTATGCAACCCAGCTAAGGACCCACTGGAATGGCCGCTGCCTCCGTCATGTCCTCACCAAGCTGGTCGGGATAAGCAGAACATGCCAGTCTGATTTACTACCAGGGATGTGGTCACTTTTCCTGCTAAGACTGTGCATCACAGTTTCCATACAGGGGACTTTAAATTTCAGAAGGAAAACCAAAGTCTAACATTGGCTCTTCCTTTTTCTTTCACGAAAGAGCGCTATAAAGCACACAGGAATATAAGCTGCAAAATAAACACGAGCCCTGGCCGGTGTGGCTCAGCAGTTAGAGTGTCAACCCATGGACCGAAGGGTCTTGGGTTCAACTCCCAGTCAAGGGCATGTACCTGGGTTGCAGGCTTGATCCCGGCCCCAGTGACTGTGCAGGAGTAAAACTAATCGATGTGTCTCTCACACTGATGTTTCTCTCCCACTCCCTTCCTCACACTATCTAAAAAAAAAAAAAAAAAAATCAATGGAAAAATATCCTTGGGTGAGGATAAGCAAAAACAAACAAAATAAACAGGAGACATGTATTCACCAGAAAGCCTTTACCCTACCATGTAAAACGTCCCATTTTTTGCACTGGACTGGCTGCACCCCAACAGGAAAACCAGTGCTGGGCTGTGACCGCCCGGCAAACCCAAGGCCACATAGAGCAGCTGTAAAGTGACCAAGTGACTGGATTCAAACCTTTTGAGTAACAGCTGAGTGCCAACAAACCACTCCAAGAAAACAAAAGGGAAAAATCCTCTTTACAGTGTTTTCTGGTGTTTGCTTTTTGTTTAATCCTCATCTGAGGATATTTTCCCATTTGTCTTCAGATAGATTGGGAGGGAAGGAGAGAGAGAGAAACATGGATGTGAGAGAGATACATCAATCGGCTGCCTTCTGCACGCCCCCGACTGGTGACTGAGCCCACAACCGGGCATGTGCCCTGACCGAGAATCGAACCCGGACCTCTCAGTCCATGGGACGATGCTCACTCCACTGAGCCACAGTGGCTGGGCTGTTGTTTTTTAATAAAATACATTATCACCTTGAACAGCGAACTTGTACTTTCAAGACAAAAATCCAGGTTCTGTCCTTAGAAGCCCTTTTCTGTTCATCAGGCCTTCCACCCTCACCGACGGATGAAAGTTCAGCAATCACAGAGACAAGTGGATCCGGGGCGGGGAGAAATGGCGAAGGACTAGAGTTTCAGCCACGTTTTTGCAGACATGCAATGTTTCTGTTCTTGGAAATCTGTCTACTACTCAGAAAAAAGAAAACACTTATGAGTGTATTTTAAGTAAAACAATTTACAAATAAAAGTTTCTATCCTCACTTGAAAACGAGTCCTATGACTCCATTAATTCACTATCATCACTGCCCACACATGCTGTCCTAGACCAAGAGAAAGCCCTTTCCAACTGACAAGCACTTTCAATCAGCACAATTCACTCAGATTTAATGGACTATATATGAGGAACAGCATTGGGACTTTGTTAAATTCTAAGCTGTCATTTTATTTTTTATCCTCACCCGAGGACATTTTTCCAATTTTGTTCAGGTAGAGTGGGAGGAGGAGAAAGAGAAACATCAATGTGAAAGGGACACATCGAGTGGCTGCCTCCCGCACGACCCCAACTGGGGCTGGGGACAAACTGTAACCAAGGTACTTGCCTTTAGCGGAAACTGAACCCGGGTCTCTCTGGACCACAGGCTGATGCTCTAACCACCAAGCCAAACTGGCCAGGGCATAAGCTGTCATTTTAAAACAAATGACGTTCACAGCTCAGCTTTGTAGAGACGGAGGGTAGAGCAGTCAGAGCCTCTGGCTCCCATCTGTGGAAGAGACACCTAGGACGTCTCCCAGTACACAGCTTCCTCCTTGTAAGGCTCCAGCAGAAGCCCCTCAACCACTCTAAGTAGTTTTTAAAAAAAGAAGCGCACAGGCCTAGAGGATCTGTTGGTCAGCGGTCCCTGTGAGCGCAAGGCCCGCATCCGCCTGAGTGGCTCAGGCACACTTCTTTCCGCAAATCAGTTTCTTCATAAAGTGAGAGAATTAATACGATGATTTCTCAGGTCCCTTCTGGTTTAATTTTAGGAAATTCTACGTGCAATAGATTCTAGGATGCCCTAACTCCTACCTCTGTTTAATAGAGAAGTCTTATCACAATCTAAATTTCGCAGGTTTATACTTAAATATTTTCCTTGCAGAAACTCTTAAAATCATTTTCTCAACTCCTGGACTAAGAACTGTGTTAGCAGCAAACAGTACCATGTCCCTACAGAGTAGCACTGCCTACTCCCCCTCAAGCACAATTGAGAACTTTCTAGCAATATATCAATTTCATTGGGAAAAATCTTTTAAAAATCTTATTCTTTTAACCTTTTTTTCTCTATTCACCAGCATAAAAACAATGCACTGCATACCATTTATCTCATGACTATCAGGAATTTTATTGTCCAGTAAATCATTCTGTAGCCTCAAGTCACCTAACTTTAAAAGACTGTTTCAGAGACACCAGCTGATCTTAAAAATACATTATTTATAAACCTAGGCCTTCCAGTAAACTGAAATTCTTAAGCACAACCTGTTTTCAATATAAATCCCTGGCCACTGAACTGAGCTAAAGCACACTCCTGCCCTCCCGGTCTCTGCCTCCAGCGGTGTGTGTGGCCCAACAGGAGTGCCAAGCAGCACCTGAGTCAACTCCTCTGCCTACAGTCTCCCCCACTGTGACCCCCCTGCCAGACTATGGGACACTTGACCCAAAGACACCATAAACTCCAACTTCCCTAAGAACAGAATCAAACACATTCAGACGTTAAAGAAGCAGCAGCGAGGGTGTAAACACTGCTAATAATGACAGAGATCCACAAGGGCGCCCGGGAAAGATGTTGATGGAAGCAGGAATCATGTTCAAGTCCACACACTGCCCTCAAAACTCTCAGTACAGTTCTGAGACCGATCGATCGCAGTAAAAGGTGAATGAGTCACACGGCACAAGAAATAAGCGATTCTGCCTCTTTATCTTTGTAAGATAACAGCACTCACAGCCCTATGCAAAGGGCAGGGGGTAAAAAAAACAAACCGCAGGGAGGGTGGTTGTGCTGAAACTTACAAAAGTGTCGCTCCGGGGACCACAGTGAAAACAAAACCTCTACAAGCAACCTCCGCCCCATCTCCAAGCCGTTTCAAAGTGAAGCGGCAAAAAAAAAATAAAAGGGTTTTAAACGCCGGCGGTGCGCTCGGGCTGCGCACTGTCATCCTCGCATTACGCAAAGGGCAGAGCCGGTTTGCACACAACCTCTGACCCCTAGCACCGAATACAAGCGCCCGGCCCCGACCGCCCCGACAGCAGCAGTGCTGCCCCGCGGTTCCCACGGAAACCCACCGAACACCCGCGTGGCTCGGGAGGGATCGCAGCCGCGGGAGACAGAACCACTTCCGCGCCCCGGCAGCAAAGGGCACGCTACGAGACCTACGTGCCTGTGCTCTTGAACCTGGGGCAGGTCCGGCCTATCCTCCAACAGCCCCCACGCCGCGGCCGCCACAGCTGAGCCGACGGGCACTTGCCAAGGACCGGCCGTCCCGTGGGCTCCGCGTCAGTCTGACTGGCGGGCCACGGAGCGCGCAGGTCCCCCGGCCCCGCAGGCGCCCACCCGCCCCGGCGCCCCGCCGCCCCGCCAGCACCCGGAGACGCACCGCCCGCTCGGGGCTGGGCCCGACCCGCCCGCCCGCCCGCCTCCCTCCACCCCGACCCCTGCCCTCACCGGCGCGCCTCAGGGAGGCCGAGGCCCGCGCCGGCTCCCGCCCGGCCCCTCCGCAGTCCTGGGTGCCAGCCGCTCAGGAGCCGCGGGCGGAAGCCGGCCCGGCAGCTAAGACGAGCGGAGACATGGCAGCCGCTGCAGCCATCTTGGCACATCCGGCTCCGGTCGCCGCGGCCCCAGCGCCGCCGACGTGTCCGTCCGCGACGTCAGCGCGCGCCACGCCTGCCCGCCACGCCAGCCGGCCCCACCCCTCGCAGCTGTTCTCGTGACGCACTGCCCCGCCCTCGCCCCGCCCCGCATGCTAGCCCCACCCCTAAGAGCTGCTCACCATGGCCCATCCTTGGCCTCACCCCCGGCTGCGTCCAATCCTTCACTGCCGCATCCCTTGGCCCCGCCCCCGCCGGCGTCCAATCCTTCAACGCCCCATCCCTTAGTCCCGCCCCTTGGTCCCGCCCCCCGCCTCGTCCAGTCCTTCAACGCCCATCCCTCGGCCCCGCCCCTAGCCCACCTGTCCGGCAGGGCGCGCGGGGGGCGCCCTGGGACGTCGCCCCGGTTACGCTGGCTTTCTCGCAGCCGTTTCTCGTTTTAGGATGCGAGAAGAGTAGGGGTTCCTCAATCAGACGCAAGGGAAGAAGCAGTCTTGAACGACCGATGCCAGCAGGTGCACCCGCCGGGAACTGCTACTGCTGAATCCAGAACCCAAGCGGCGCTCTGGCGCAGGCGCGTTCCTCTCATTCGGTCGTTGGACTCGAAGGCTGGTAGACGGACGGGAGGCGAGAGCGCATGCGCGGACCGCCACGGCTGAGTGCGCGTGCGCACCTCGCGGCGGCCGGCCAGTTGCCTGGTTACGGCTGTTCGCGTCTCCCGTTTCTAGTTTTGTCCGGGAAGTTGGTGTCGTCCACACCTACCTCCCGGGAAGCAGTGCCGGTCTGCTCCACGGAGCCGTGGAAGGGGCATGAGCTGCCGGCCCCCAGTCCACAGGCTGCCGTCGGAGCCCCACTGCCCGCCTGTGCGCGCCTCGGGGGTCGTCCTGTGGGCCCCATCCTCCCCTAACCCCTCTGCGCCTGTCCCATGCACACACTCCGTCTTGGCCGTTCCCTCCGCGAGGCGTCGGGCGCGCAGTTCCCAGCTCCTCTCTTGTCTGCCCTTGTACCCCTTGACGGCCCAGCCGGGTCCCCTAAACCGCGGAGCCCCGTGGACGGAGGCTCCAACCGTTGTTGAATGGATATTTGTGTTGAATGAGCGCGACCCCGAGATACCGAGCAACAGGTTAGGCTGCTGGGCCTCTCAGTCTCCTCCGCCCCGTGGCTGCTGCCTCCTCCTACCCACCAGTAGGCAACATCCGAGCCTTCCCTTGGAGGATCTTAGGGAAGAAGGGGTGCTGCCATTTGTATCTTCCTTTTCCCACCGAGAAAAGGGAGGCCGGGCCCACTCACCTGCACACCTGCCTGGCAGGAATGGGGAAGAGCAGCAGCCCGCCCCACTTGACCAACTTCTCCCAAAAGGCAGGAAGGGTGGGTGGCAAGTGTACCTGCGTGACATCGCCTGGTGGCCGAGCTCTTCAGTAGCGGCTGCTGCTACTGCCACGGTGGCTGAGGCACACGACCTGGGGTGGGAAGGCACCCCGGTCACCAGTGGGACCTAGAGGCCAGGGAGGAAGGAAGGAGTGTGGTCTGGCTGTTTGTTTGCTATGATGCTGGCGAGAAAGCAGCCACGCTGTCAGAGCCCCAGGCGGGTGCGGGGAGCATTTCAGCCTGTGTGACGTGGCCGCTCCACTAAGCTAACATTTGCCTTTCAGAAATCGAGTTCCCAGCCTATTTCAACAGAGTTGGGGAACTCAGCCCTGGGTCCCATGTCCTTGATCAGTTCTTCCTGGTGGTCGTTGTGCCCCGCAGTCGCTCTGTCCCAACAAACCACTCGGCAGAGAGAGATGTCATTGTTAGCCCTCCTCCTGAAAAGGGGGAGCAGAGGCCAAGGCACTGACTGTCCCAAGCTCAGGGCTGCCTCCTCTTCACTCTCAAATTCAAAGAGCCCAAGAGCTGCGGCCCAGACTTGCCCCTCTTGTGTTCTGAGGAGTCCAGTGTGGCCCTGGTGGAATCTAACCTGGAGAGACCCTAAGTTGCAGAAACCAACCCATCCTGGGCAAATGCAAGGCGTCAGGGCTCTGGGGCAGGGATGTCAAAGACGCAGCACTGTGTTGACTTCTACGGGTGACTCAGGTTCCCAAAGTTGACAGGCAAGGGCCTCCTCCCTCCTGCTACGCTTCTGAATGAAGGCCTCAGGTTCTCAGTTTGTAGCCTTGTGTGGAGGAGAGGGCTCTGGGGCCAGGGCGGAGCCATCAAGCCTCTGAGCCAAGGAGGCCAGGGTTCTGAGCCACAGAGCCTCTGCTTTAAAGCCCAGCCTGCTAGATGCTGTGTGTCCGTTGTCAGCCTTCTTAACCTCCCTCCGCATTAACCTGGGGTTCAGGAAAGGTTGGAGTTCAGACAAGGTGAGCATGTGGACAATTTGGGGACTGGAAGGGGGCGCTGTTGATACATATACTGGGACAACAGGCATGTATTAGAGCTGTTTGGGCAAACTGGGATGTGGGTGACAGTCCCTGCAGAACACCTGGACCTGTGCCTAGAAAGTGTGCTGCCATGAGAGCCATCCTTATTCTTTTTTTTTTTTAATCCTCACCCGATGATGTTTTTCTATTCATCTTCAGACAGAGTGGGAGGAAGAGAGAAGGAGAAAAAGGGAGAGAGAGAAACATCGATGTGAGAGGGACACATCGACTGGTTGCCTCCCACACGACCCCGACCAAGGCCAAGGACGATCCACAACCGAGGTGCGTGCCCTTGACCAGAATCGAACCCACGACTCATTTCGGTGGGCCAACGCTCTACCTCTGAGCCAAACTGGCCAGGGCGCCATCGTTATTCTTGATCAGGCTTCCTTTCCTTTGCCTGCAATGTCCACTTCTCAATAGAAATGTCACCAGCTCCCGAACCCCCCCTAGGTGGGCTAGAACCAGCTGCAAAGTTGTAGCCGAATCAGGGCAAGTAGCTCCTCGCGCAGAGTTCCATGACAGAGTTGTTGTCACATAAGCCAGAGCACACCGGGCCGCACGCTTGCCAGGATGATGAGCAGAGGATGTGCCCGAGAACCTAGCTGTTCTTTCCATGATTACAACAGCCTGCCTCTCCTATGGGGCCATCCGTCCAAGGAGACTGCCCCTGGGCACCCGATGGGCCGCTTGGAACCGCAGTGGCCTCCAAGCGCAGAGTACCTGCCGGAGGGCCATCAACTCGTTAGTGTTTTGATTACGTGTTGAAATAATATTTAGGATATATTGGATTAAAATGTAGCCACTAGAAAGTTAAAAATTCCATAGTGGTGCCCAGCCGGTGTGGCTCAGTGGCTGAGCGCTGACCCATGCATCAAGAGGTCACTGATTTGATTCTTGGTCAGGGCACATGCCCAGGTTGTGGGCCCGATTCCCAGTGGGGGGCACGCAGGAGGCGGCCATTCCATCTCTCTTGTCACTGTTTCTCTCCCTCTCCCTTTCTGAAAATCAATAAAGAAAAAAAATTCCACAGTGGTTAGCATTGTACTTCCACCGGACAGTGAGGGTGTCAGTGGTGAGCAAGGACCCCCACGCGGCATCCCAGCCTGGGGCTGGGCTTGTGGCTTCTCAGCCATGGAGCTGGCTCTCTCTTGACCACCAGCCCGGGGAGTGGGGGGGGGGCAGCAGTCTCCGAGGCCAGGCCACATGCCTCCACCCTTCACTCTCCTGGCGTAAGGTGACTGCATTAAGTGTGGCTTGCAGATGCTTGTCGGGCAGGCCTGCTCCATGCCGGGCACTCTCCTCAGCCCCTGACGTGTACCTTCGGTCCTGGGCACTGGGCTGGGGAGGGGAAGGGGGGCCAGTCCCACTTGGCAGCCTGGAGCAGAAGTGCATAGGGTCTCAAAGTGGGGCAGGCTGGCAGGGAGGGCTTCCGGAGGAGGCGATGAGCTGAGGAGGACGGGATGGTTGGAGAGGCAGGCGTGGGAGTCGGGTCCTCGGGTCTGGAGGTGGAGATGGGTTAGGGCTAGCGTGTCCTATGGACCTGTGCACCGGGCCCTGTCGGCATACGGGGCACCGCGGCGTGCGCCCAGGCCGGTGTGAGAAGAGTGTGCAGATTGGGGTGGAAGGCCAGTACATGAGAGCCATCCCAGACTCCTGGGGGCGCTGCAGGAGCAAATCCACGTAGGGCAAGCAAGCGCGGACATGGCCAGACCGGACAAATGTCACCCCCGTCCTTGTTGCTGTGAGTGTGAGCATGGCATTGTCCCTCCTGTGCATCCTCTGGAAATGGGCCTGGCACCAGCCATCTCAGAGGACTTTCTGAATCACATCTAAGTGGATAAACAAGTGAGGACGAGGTAGAAAGCACAAGGAAGGTGCCGAGTCTGCACCCACCAGGGGCCACAGAGGACCGAGCTGCAGGAAAGCTGCGTGGTGGCCCCTTAGTGCGGCAGGGTCCCTGGAGACCGTCCCAAAACTGCACGCAGAAATTCACGTGCCAGGCACTGCTAGGAACTGGGGCTGGGGCTGGGGCTGTGGCTGTGAGGCAGACTGCCCTGGCCCCTGGACATGGGACAGCTGCAGATGTCTGGATCCCACTGCCGGGGGCGTGGGGTGAGGCAGCGATGGGAGAGAAGGAGCGTTTGTGGCCGAAGCAAACAAGCTTCTGTAGTGACAAGGGTCTGGACCCGGAAAGCGGGGACGTGGCTGGTAGGTCCGCACTGCGGGGGTCCTGCAGGCCCAGCAAGGGGATTTGACTTCTGACAGCAAAGGAAGCTTCCCGGGGCTTTTCCGCCAGGACTGCCGCCCTCAGGCCTCCCCCAGGCTCTCTGCAAGGCACTAGTGAGAGCCAGGAGCCCGGACGTGGCCTTAGGGCCCTAAGCAAGCGGCAAGGCTGCTGGGGCCGATTGATGGGGAGCCAAATCCCAGGTGGCCCTCAGGGCAGGACCCGACTCCCTGGCTGCCTGCTGCATCTGCAGCCCTCACCCAGCCCAGCACAGCGCTCCGCACTCACTGGCCCAGGGGACATCAGGACAGGAAGGTGAGAGTCCCGAGCTTCGGTGGTGACTTAAGTCACAGGCGTGGGCTTGGAGGCTGGGGTGGGGGCTGTGGATGGGGAAGAGGAAAGGCCTGGGTGGAGCTGGGAGGAACGCCAACATCTGCAGGTTGCCAAGTGCCAGGCTGGCTGTGACATTAACTCCTGGCAGTGACCTTGGAAAGTCCCTTCTTGAACATGCTTCCTTGTCTGAGAAGTAACAGGCTGAGTGACATAGGCCCTCCAGCTCCCTGCCCCCTCCCAACATGGTCCCGGGAGTCACTGGGCCCTGGCTTGAATGGGTGGACTTGAGGAAGTCACCCACCTCTCTGAGCTTCAGCTTCCTCATCTGTCAAATGGGCTAACAGCACTGTTGCAGGAGGTGGAGAGGCACCTGGCCAAGTGGAAGACCCCATCAGGACTCCTGCTTGCCAGAGGTGCACTGGCAGGGCACCGCCAGCAGGGGGCAGCAGAGGGCCACCTCTGAGTGGGCAAGCTGGGCCTGCTAAGTCCGCCCTGTTGGCGGCTGGGGGTGCTGGCATCAGGGACACCCAGGCTCCGTCA